GAATATGTGCACAAACCCTCAGTTAGTAGATGATATTATAAGTAAAATGGCACCAACTCCATATTATTCAGAGAAGTTGTATTGCTGGCAGTGTGCTTGTCCCTTAGGCTGCAACATTCATTAGGAAAAGCTGACTAGGCTGAAGCTGGAAAGAGATGATAACGTGTTATGATTTTCATATTTAATACATTCCTTGGAAGAATGTGTGTGCTGCAGATTGATAGAAGAATCAACTGCTACTTTTAGTGAAAGACTTTCTACTCTGCCCCACAGCTAAAGATGGAATCACTCAGCCAAGAAATTAACTTTTCGTCTTTTTACCTGCTTTATGTATCAACTGGACTGGCTCAGTGGCAGCCAGTGAACACTGTTATACAGTTAACTGTTTTGTATTTAAGACTCTTATCAGAAAAGAAACAGAACCAGTGCTATTTATTGTTGGGAAGATGGTGTTTTTTTACTTCAGTGCATCAGCAGGGATTAATCAGAATTTACTTGGGGTTTAAGATTAAAAAGTTAAATGAGGATCTTTAGAGGGGCCTTTTAAAGTACTATCTGAAAGCTATCCAGCTATTTTATGCAGCAGGATCAACTTAATTAACCTATGTCGCCTTCAAGGTGATAGACAAGTCACCTTTTGCACTGTGATACTTATATTAAAAAAATACACTTTGATCAAAAGTTAAGGCCAGCCACACAAAATAGGTAATTATTTAACTATGCAGTGTATTGTTTGCTTTCCTTTTTTCATTTTCATATTCTAATTTAAGAAAATGAATGGAAATAATTCTCTGCCCGACACCCTTTCCACCATAACAAATCCTGGCATTAATTCACTACTCGATATACAGTACTTATTTGGATGGAATGGCTTGATTGTAAATTTCTCCTTAGCAGCTGCTTGAACTGCTTTCTCATTTGATTGATTTACCACGACACAAGATTCGAGTAGGGAAATGGACGGTGCTTAGAATAGAAACCTGATTTTTTTTTAAATTGTGCTTTTCCAGTTTCATGAGTAGACAGGAGAAAGCAGTGACAAAAATAAGCGCATATATTTCCATCCCTGTTGACCCAAACCCTCTTGGTATTAAAATAGTTTGAGATCGCTTGCATTTCTTAGAAACTTGTGGGGAATGCAAAGGTAGGAGAGAATCATGCACATGATTGCACAGAGCTGTGGCTTCCAGTTGTGTAATCTTTAAAACATTTTAATGTATATTTTCCTCTACAGATTTCAGTAATTGCTTAGAGGAGCTACAATAATGCTAAGTGGTTGTAAAACTATTTTAGCATTTTATAGGAAGGTGCAAAAGAGCTTGGAGTGGTTAATATCAGTCAGTATATTTTTTGACTGCAGCTGACATTTCTTTCACAACAGCCACAGTTTTGTAGGAAAGTGAAAACAGAAATCAAGTATAGTCTGGTGTCTCCATGTTTTTGGAAACTCATCAAAGTGGCAAGTATCGTTTAAATCTGATGTTATGGTATCTTGCATTTAGAGTAGAAAAAAGGAGCTAAATCATGTATTCCACTCATTTCTATTTACAAACGGGTATAATAATAATCCTTGCATTTGTTATAGCGCCTTTTCACGTCATCTAGTAGAATATATATAATAATAATATATAGTATAGTATAAGTGCTAGATTAGATACAGGTGCTAAATAGAGCGAGGCTCAATTCTGTGAAGCTTTGCGCTCTGTAATTGGGAGACAAAGATTACCTTCTTGTGGAAAGCCATTCTGACTTTATTGATCAGGAATTTTGCAGATGCCAGGTGATGAAAAAGATCACATTTGATTTTTTTATATATACAATATATATTATATATATATAGATTAAAAATAAGTTTAGTTTTATAAAGACAACAGGTTTTAATTTATTTGCAGTAACATTTTGATTTAATTAGCATAGTTTATGTGTCTATCTAATATTATTCTAATTAAAACTTAATTATAAAAGTGTAATAATAGTGTGACATCAACAACAACTTGCATTTATATCGCGCCCTTTACGCCGGACAGCGTCCCAGAGCACTTAACTGTGGCAGAGCCCAATGGCGAGCCAGGGGATGCGGAAGGTGACCATAGACACTGTCGAAGAGGAAGGTCTTCAAGCGTGACATGAAAATGGGAAGAGGGGGCAAGGTGAAGGATTAAGGGAGAGAGCTCGACAGCTTTGGGGCGTAGTGGCTGAAAGCCCGACCGCTGATGGTGCTGCGGAGGATCCAGAGGACGAGGAGGAGTCCGGAGCCAGTTGAGCGGAGGCAGTGGGTAGTGTAGGTAGAGAGCAGGTTGGAGAGATGGGGGGGTGCCAGGGTGTGAAGGGATTTAAATACAAGAGTGAGGATCTTGAAATCAATCTGCTCTGTGACAGGGAGCCTTTGGAGTTTGACGAGGACTAGGGTAATGGAGGTATGGAATTTAGTGTGGGTGAGAATGCGGGCGGCGGAGTTTTGAATTAGTTGAATTTTGTGAATAGTGGAGCAGAGGAGACCAGTGAGGAGGGCGTTTGAGTAGTCCAGGAGGGAGGTGACGAACGCGTAGACATCAGATTGAAATACACAAACTATGGTGCTTCCGAAATTAATTTAAAGAGAGAGTACATAGCATAATGTTATGAATCTACATAATCCAACTTCAAGTAGCACCAGCAGTGCCTAGCATCGCTGTATCTAAACTACAGATGATGGAGTACACACATCTCTGTTTTCAACCTCTTTATGTAATTGATATGCCACATTAATTTTGAACGTATGTTATAAACCAAATACATTATAAAGCTCTCTGCACAACCTAGTTATTTTTACTGAAATGTTGCACATTGGTGCATTGATTCCTGCTGATGTAAATATCTGGAGCAAATGTGAATATGATCTTGTTGCTTAATAGTTATCTTCCTGCAGGAAGATACAACAAATTGGAGTACAACTTTCAATTTCCAAAATTACATGTAGAATATCTCTTCTATGCTTACATTTTTAAAGTAATTTGCAGCCTGGTTGAATTTATTACACGAATGAACTTGGAGACACATGATGAAAGTTGTAATTAAAATTGAAATAATTCAGTAGTAATTGTTCACCAACAAAACTTAATTCAGTTATTTTAACAAAAGAAATTGGGCATCATATAATTATATTTATCTTTTTAACAACATATACCCCATTCTCATTATAAGTTTGTAATTTATTGGGCTGCCTCTTTGGAAGACAGTCTGACCTTGAGTCATGTTTCTTTTATGTTGCATTTTGTGATATATAGATGTTCACCACAGTGGGCAAACTATTTAAGTGTTGGGCTCAACAGGCCTGTGTTTTAATGAGAATGGAGCGGTATCATCAGTGTGGTTTTATATTTTGTTCAGATTGGGAGTTTAAAGAAATTGCTTAAAAATTCCTATTTACATTTTTCTCTGACCATAATATTTATACATTGCTGTTTTAAGATAGTTGTAACAAAGAACATGTTTACAATTTAGAACATATTTATATTGTATGCCATGTTTTTATGTATAATTTATTGTATACAAGTATTCTTTCTTCCCTCCACCTGCACTCAAAATTACCACCTATGGTATTAATGAAATTCATGATTTAGGAGAAATGGTATGTAGAAAAATATATGTCAATACTCATTTATATATTTTTCTGTGTTCTATATTTTTCTATTCCCTTGAGGTGTAGATCACTGAACAACTATTTGTTATGTAAAGCCTTATATTTGCTTTTTCAGTTGTTGAGGTGAGGTTAATGTTCTCTCTTTCTCATACTGCATTCCTACTGCAAATTTGATGCAATTTCACAGATTTTAGCAGCAATTCATTACCATATATGGAGTATTAATGGGGTTTCTGAAAGTGAGAATTGGGCTGCTGTCAGGTTCCTGAAACTGCTTAATATGGAGCATTTTTAATGTTATTGAACAAACATCGGAGTTTAATATTTTGTGTATGTAAACTGAGGCGTATCTTCATAGAATATGAAATTTGGGGACTATAGAGGCAGCATTACATCTTCATGATGTGAAGATCATCATCTGTTTCTTTTAGTGATGTGACAATACTGTAATAATATCGCATTCATTTATCACTGTGCTAATCAGACTTCTATTTGTGTTACTAAATAGAACCTATATATATTAAAATGCAATTTGGGAGGAAATTATACTTTCATAACAGTGATAACAATTTGTGCTTGCATAGCACCTTTCACGTTGGCAGAATGTCTCAACTATTAGGACAACTATTAATATTTGTTTTTGATAATATTGAAAGATTAAATTTCAGAAAAATAGATATTTCAACTGTCTTCAAGGCTACATATAAATGTGAGTTTTAAATGATAGGTACATGCTATAATTTCTAATTTTAACTCTATGCAAATAGAATTTTTAAGGTAGTGGCAAATTCTTCTGCAAAAAAGTAAAATCTGCTTCACACCAGATGCAGTGGGTATCAAAGCACCCACTGCATTTTCATGTGCTGCACTTGTGCGTTCTTGACCTGTGATTAATACCCGTCGAAAGTAAATTTTATATTACAAAAAGGTAAACTTTTCTTTTGCTTTGTTTTATACTACATTATGAATTTAGTATGCTATTGAAAACAGAATTCGGTACGCTTGTCTGGAATCTACATCTTCTGCATGCATAGATGGACCATTTGATATTTTAGTTTGGAATTATTAGTGGATTAATTGAAAATTGCTAGCGTTTTCTACTGATCATGCTTATGTTCTGTTGCTTTTTTCAGAGAGTTATTTATTGTTGCAGAAAAACATTTTCAGTTTTATGTTTTGTAGTATTCTGTTTTAAAATCTAAGTAGATTAAATATGACGAATTAAGTAACTAATAACTACTTTTTATACTGTCACTGAGGCAGTAAAACTGATCTGAACCATTTTGTACAATTTACTTTCTTAATATACAAAGGAAACCAAATTGAATGATTTGTTTGTTTCTTTACAATGAAATATCTGTTTTTGTTGCTTTTGCAGGCAACAAATTCATCAGGACAAATAAGAATGGAAAGAAACCTGTCAAAAGGTTTATACCACACTGCCACCAGCTTCATGGGCCAACAAATGCTGGAGATTTCAAGTAGTTCACGTTTGAATCCACAACAAAAATATCACCAGCCCACAGAGAGCCTTTCATTTTCTCAGCCTCATTCAAACAAGCAGGCAACATCAGTGACAGCAGTTCATACTAATTCTATGATAGACAACTTGAAGTTGCCTATGTCAAGCAACGGAAGGCAAGGCAAACACTGTGTTTCTGACATAAAAGATTGGAAGACAGGGCTCCAAACCAGTGAAGAAATGCCATTGACACGCTTAATCTCCTCCGGGAGTGAAAGCCATCAACGTGAAAGGACAGGAAGTAATAGGAGCATCAGGGCCCATAGTTCAACTGGCAGTCAGGAATTACCTATACCTGTGGCTCAGTTAAAGCCCATTACAGAAAAGCTGATACAAGACACTTTTCAGGATGTTTTTAAGAATCGCCTGACAGATGAAGAGCATAGCCACAAAAATGTTACTGTATGGAAAACTGCTACTACACTGAAACAGTATGAAAAGCTGCCCTTGGACTCATCCAAAAGCAGTATGTTTTCAGGACGTTTCACCACAAGCACAGAGGAAGATGACGCTAAACAGACAGGTATTCAAGATGTGCATCTGTGTCTTGAATGTGCTGCTTAGATTTTTATAATACCTGATTTCCTCCAGTCTCAACATTGATTATTTCCTTTTATGTTCATATGTATTTTTACTGCCAGTAGATCCTTGGTTTGGATATGTTCATTTCCATTACATTGATGTTAAAAAGCTTATTTTTCACATTCCACTCTAAAGTCAGTAATTCAACGCATGTTTGTGCTTTACATATAATCAGTGAATAATTTTACACTTATAAACAGGCGTTACAGGTGTTACCTTTTGCCATACAACATCATTGTTGCATTGCCATTGTTTTGACATGCTATCAATTTTTAATGCTCCTCTGTACAAATAGTGGTCAATACTATGAGTGAAATAAGAATGATTTTAAATATTAATTTTGCTTTTTGTAAATAAGCAGCACACTATGATTTAATAGTCGGTGATCAAATTAAAATTTATTTTGGTAAATGTTTGCTCATCAAGCTGGAGAACATTAGGACTGGAAAATGGAACATTTTCCCATTTCAGCCACCCAGTATCATTGCTCAAGGACTCCAAGGTCAGTTACAGCACAACTACTTGCAGGGTAATGGTCCATCTGTTCGAGAACTGCTTCCTGAAGTGGGTGTCCACTCACTGCCTGCTCCCAGCATCACGTGTACAATAACAACCCTTTTGTATCATCTAGTAATTCCTCAGTAGCCTGATTGACATCTTTGCTTGCTGTTTTCAGTCATTTCTTTGGTTCTGTTTCAATAGCTAGGAAAGATCTGTACAGGCAGAAGTAGGAATTACTCGACAGTCTGTAGGAAGATGGTTGGGATCACTTTGGCTGCTTTGCCAGACAATAATAATAATAATAATCCTTGCATTTGATATAGCGCCTTATCACGTCTTCCAAGAGTTCTCAAAGCGCTTCACAAAATATATTGTAAGGTGGATTGACAGCATATTTTGTTGGCGAAACGCAGCAGTGTCCCACAATCAGTCGTAGATTGAGTGACCAAATTAATATTATTATTTTAAAATTTATTTTCTTTTAAGGGATTGTTACCCCCAGAAAAACAATCCGCAAATCAACTAACAACCGGGTTCCTAATTACTGCTTGGTAAACAGAGGCGTGTAGAGTAAGGAAACTTGCCTAACGTTTTGCCCCACCTGGAAATCGAACCAAGGTCCTCTCGCTTGTGAGGCGAGTGCTCTAACCACTATGCTACAGGATTCCACATTTCAATGGCTCTGATTCTTGGCTACTTCTGCCAACATGTCAATTTGCGTTTACATGGTGACTGAAGTGTCACTGTTGTCAAGAGGCAGAACTGAAAGCAATACTTTGCTTTGTCTCAGATAGTAGACACCCTCATATATATTAATAGATCAAAGGCATGTAAATTGTGTTTAAAGTTTACTCTATTCATCCCAAACAACTTGAGGACAATACTGCATAAGTGCAACAATATTTCTCTTTTTCACATTAGCCATCTGTGGGCTTGCTGATATTGCCAATATAATATCATCCAGGGTTTTGTTCCATAATCCGACCCTCACCAAGATCTAGTTTGAGACTGTCCAAACTCATGTAGGATCTTTAAAAGCCAACTGAAAGAATTACATCCTGTTAATGTGGACTAGATTTGAACCAAAGCCCCATAGGTAAAAGGTGAATGCTTTAAAACACACAATTTTGTACCTATAATATGGAGTCTGAAACACTTTAGATTATTTCTTAGGTTGCATTGATATTTTAAATAAGTGATCAATCTAAGATAATGATGTAATGGGGGTATGCTTGTGGATTGTTCCAAGTAGATTGTTTATCTTTTGCGAAAGAGTACCTTGAAAAATGGAGTGAAATGCTACTTTGATTGCTTTATTGACAATGTGTTAGGTTAACTTTAGAAGCATTTGTCTCTTGAAATATATTGCACCTTTTGTTTCCATAGTGATCTTTCAGACTCAGAAAAATGATGCTGAGAAAGTTGTGAGACCAAGTCTGGATGTGCTGAGGCTGTCAGCTGAATTCTCTGCTTCAGATAGTGACCTCAATAATTCCACAAGCAGCAATGAAGAATTGCAAGAAATGGAGTCTTTTGAAGACGTATGTGTTCTTAATGCACATCCTAAACCAGCTACAGTAGGTGACCCAGAAGAGGCCAATCGATCAACCTTTTCTAAACATGAAAGTTGTCCTGATGAGAATAAAGAATACATTATGTCTTCCAAAAAGGAGCCACCATCTGACCAAAACATCTTTAGGACTTCTAAAGATAATAATCTTTATGAGGAGCTGCAGGTTTCATCAACTCGATCTGTCAGAAATGAGTAAGTGTTATTCATCTATGGTGTAAATAAAATTCACTAATTAGGTCCAAGTGTTTGAATTTAAAAACAAATTGCCTTTCTCAAAAATCTCACTTCAAATAGCTGTATTTTGATAAATGAAAAAGATTAAAGGAAATGCAGCAGTGTGATACTTACAGATACACATTGTGTGCAGAAGTCAGATGTCAATTTTAGATTAAAGAAATATGGAAAAAAAATTGGTTAGCAGTCTCCGTTACAGCAGCTTGCTTTAACTGTGGTTTTTTGTGGGTGCATTAGCTGCTGAAAAGCTTGGTCTCTAATTGAAACTTAGTACAAATTCTTCATATCTTTCCATGAGTCACTTTTGTGAAATCTGCCTTTGTAACAGCTGTCTCAGGCTGCACTCATTTTATGTCACCAGAAAAGTAAAGTTCATGCAAATGTTGCTCAACTACATTTGTGAAAGAACACACGGTACCATTAATTGAAAACGGAAGCAAGCATTTGTTTAGTGGAATTAATTTTGACTGGAGCATTGAAAAAATGTCTCCTTCTCCCAGTTTATTACCAGTATCTTTTAATGTACGTTTAACTTTCCTGTAATCATGATAAAAATTGTGTTAACGCTCATATTTTAAAAAAATTGAGAGTAGGTAACTATAACATTTGTAATTGCTGATGAGATACTAATGTTTTCTCTATTTTGTGTCTAGGATGACTAAGTACGATAACTAAGGGGTAGCTTGGTAGGTACAATGCTTGAGCATTGAATTCGGAAACCTGACTTTAGCTGAGGGGTGGAAAATAAAATAAAGATCACTAATTATACTATACATTGCTTGCCACCTGCATGGTGGAGATTAACTAAATGGCACAATTGTTACTTGGCATAATTGATTTTGTCTGATTCCGCACCATGTGTGGGCAATGATCTTTAGCCTTGTCACCAAACAATACAAGGTTTAACATCCTTTTGTTCTAGAACATGCACTTTCAGAAACTAGGCACTTTGAGCATGATAACACGGGCTAAGTGAACTGAATGGCAGGAACCATAGTAGCCACAATCTACAAGTGGTGTTAATGTTCAAAGAGCAAAATAAATATTTGGGACTTGGTGGAGTATTTTTTCCATTGCTGGAATCATGCAACACAAAGGATTATTTTATTCATAGAAATTTATTTATAAAATTTGTTCATAAAATGAAGAGTAGAAGCTTTGATCATATGTCACCCTCGTTTTTCCTTCCTTTCTAAACATTGCATTCATACTGATGTTGTTTTCACATGTCAGTAGATCTCTGGTATCTATCTGGATCTAGTAGTTTTTTTTATGTGTTAGTCCAGACCGTGATTATCAGCAAACAGATTATTCAACTGTATAGGCATGATTCCCATCCCTAGCCAAAGTTCACAGAATTTCATTTTGCAGCAGAGGTCACAGAATAATAATCTGTAGTGGAAACCCCTTACTATTTTTCTCCTCACTTTCCCTAGTTCAAGGATACTGAGGCTGAATGCAGCACGCTAACTAAAATCAATCAATTTAGCAATAATCCAGGGGATTGAACCTGGCATTTTGCTGGGTTATTTGACACAGTCGCATGATGTTAGAAGGCTTCCACATGGAGTTTCTGAGGAGCAAATGTACAATTGTAAAATTGCTAATTTAATTTTTCAAAGTGTAAAACGACCTAGCATTCTCAATGAAATCATTAAAAGAAGTGCTGCAAATTAAAAATATCCAGAATAAACTGTATATCATGCACATCTGTATATCCTGTGCAATAGTAAAATAATGGTAAATGTGCAACTTACCAGTACAAAGAACTGAGATCCTGTTTACGTCCCCCAGTCGGGATCTATTTTAGATATGGTACTCATTTTGTCAACCTCAAAAGAGTGAAAGGCTGACTAAACTTACTGGTTTCAAATGCTGATCCCAAATTTGATGTACAGCTATCTAAGATGCCCAGGTTGTTCATATAATAGTGAAATATGATGAACATATGCACAAGTAAGACTGACTGGATAGACTGAGCCATTTATGGGCATAGGTATTATACTTGGGTGTAATCTTTCTATTCGTAATTATATAACTTTAGCAGAAAATTATTTTAATGATCGCTTTTATACAGGACTTTTTATATTTTTATACTGAGCTGAACAAAAACATTTAAAACTACTTGCCAATTTCATTGTGATTCCTGAATTCTGATCTTTATTTCTACTAGTGTGAAATAAAAAAAATTGTATTTTCAAAAGATGTGAATTCATATCTAAAACCTTAGTTAAAATGAACTAAGTTATTAAAAATAGTGAATGCTGAAATTGAACATTTTAATGCACAGGATTTTTAATTTCAAACAAAATGATTAAAGTTGGATTTAACATATGTAAATGTACTTATTTTGTTCTAATTTTTTATTTTACACATTTCGTACTGATTCTACACTTTTTGTGTTGATTTTACATCTGTTGCAGACTAAACAATTTAATTTAACTGTGGTTCAAACGGTGTGTTCAAATTGAAAGCCACCCAAGGTTACCGACTAACTTGGTGTTTAACATATGAAGTAGAAGCCATACACCAGAGCTTAATGCACTGGTTCAAAATTCAAAATTCAAAAGCTCTGTTATCTAGTATTCATTGGGAAATCAAAGTATTTTGATTATAAATACAGACCAAAATATATTTTATATATTCAGATCAAAACTGAGAATCAGAAATAATACCCTGTCAGGTAAATGTCCTGAACACCCCAATGTGCTTGTATGTAATATTAATTAATTCTTATAATAGTGAAATATGATGAACATATGCACAAGTAAGACTGACTGGATAGACTTATTAATAAATAAATGTTAATGTATGGACACCTATTATCTTTGAGTCCTGTTAGTCCAGCACAAATTTCATACATAATCGGCATAATAACTTACAAACGATATTGGGCATCTGATGTGCTTTAAATTGATAGTTATTTTTAAAAAGATACATGCAAAAGCACATGATGCAGTAATATGATTATGTGCAAAACTGATGAGCTATTTTCGGATGTAAGCAAATCTTTCACAAGTCAAAAATTGTCTTAATTGTTGGTATAGGTGTTTGTTTTAAATTACAAAAGTCAACTTATTAATAACTTCAGATGTTCTGAAGCATTGTTCAATTATTGATGATTTTCATTGTAATTCCCCGTAATTGGTTACAACGCCGATGCTGTTACTTGGACCAGACTTAAAAGCAAATACTGTAGCAGGATAGTTTCATTTGATCGCTACTGCATGTAGTGCTCATAAAAAGTCCAGCGACTTAACTGCAAAATATGTGAAAGTTGATTATGTCACTTGTAAGCTTGGTGTAAATTGATATACTATATATCTTTAGTTAGACACTGATGATTGTGAAAGTAAAATTAAAGGAGCCCTAATGTTGTCCGTTTGCCTCACAATTGCTTGCTTCAAGCTGCTTCATTGTAGTCTGGCAAATGGTTCTGTAGGGCTTCAGACCACAGTGCACCATGGCAACAGAATCTAAATATATAACTTGAAAGGTTCAATCTCCAGCATGTTTTTGTGTGTAAGGGAGCTAGGGTTAGGCTTGATGCCAAGGACCAGAAATAATTTGATGACAATCCAACAATTAAACTAAATCTGAGAGATAGAGAGAGAGAGGGAGAGACCAGGGGTGTAGTCCTAGCATTTGAGAGACTAACAATACTGCAGTCTTGATGCACACAACACATTCAGTTTGTTAAAGGTCTCTTTGAAGAGCACTGAAAAATAAAGAGGATAGAAAGGAGATGACTGTTTTGAGGCCCATGGTAAAGGAAGAAAGACCAAGCTTTTGCCCAAGCTTCTTCAGCAGCATTGAAGAGGACTTAGCACAGATGGATTGTCTACTACAGAATGTAAGAGATATAATTCAAGCTGTCAGCTTAATCAGGATGTTACCAGGAAGCAACCTGATGAAGAGAAGGATCCCTTGTTTCCTGACCTATGACCCGCAGCCCATTACAGATTGTCATAAATTCTGTTTTTTCTTTATATTGGTTTCTCTTTTTTCTTTCTCTTGTTGCCATTCTGTTTTCATGCTGCTGTTTCATTTGTTACACACAATTGCCTCCACTGTGGACCACCCAGATTTTACCCTAGGGGAGGGGGAAGATATGCTTTTAAAGATCCATGAGTGAAGTAGTCTGAGAAATATTAGAGTGATTCAGCGTAGTAAATGTATTCAGTTTTTGTTTGTAAAAAAAATTAAACCCTGATAGACTTTTTTTTACTATGTTGAATATTTTTTAGTGATTGAAGCAGCTTTTACAATGTCTAATCTTCATTTAACTGCAATAAAATGTTTCAAAGAACAAGCACCATATGTTTTAATATAAACCACTGTAAGATATGCAAACCAGACTATTTCCAGTGCCATCAATTGTTTTAAATAATTAGGAAATGGACTAAAAAGTTTACTGTTAAATTACAAAACATAGTGATTCATTTTAGGCTTCTTTTACTTGGAGGAAGAGTACAATCGTAAATATAGTTGTGCTTAATTTTTTTGTCGTACTTGGCATTTGCCTACAAAATACAGTCACTACACTTTACAGTAAATCCTTTGAAGCACTTTGAAACATCTTCCTGATATGAAACACTTTTTTTCAAATGCAAGGGTTAATTTTTTTATTATGAAAAAGTATTGTTGAAGTACAGATGTATAGTTCAGGAACTATACCACTTCAATTTATAAACCACAACAACAACTTGCATTTATATAATGAAGAGGGAGAGGGAGCTTCAGCAGTTAGGTGTATCCTTGAAAAGAAGGGTTGTTGATGAGAGTGGTGAATATCAGTCTTTGTGTTATATTCTGGGAGTCTATTGACATTTTATCATCTTATACCTTTCAAAACATACTTTGTGATTCCTACAACCTCCCATGAATAAAGAAGTGACTGGTTTCCTAGATAACGTCCTCCAATTTCTAGTCTAAAGTGCTCTGTCATAGTTGGTCCTTTCATGCATTTTAACAAACACAGTTGTCTTAATTTGTGGAAAAGCTTTAAAGATAAACTTTTTTTAAAAAAAATTGTCGTTTTACTGCTATGCAAATCTATGATTGAATAGCATGAATATAATCTCACTTCTTATTTTTCCTCATTGTAATTGTAGAGGATGCCTTTCACTTGAAGGATTTTTTCACTTGCTGCATACAGTAGAAAATGCTGTGGAGAAAACAAAGGTGACTTATTTGGAGTTATATCAGACTACTACATTAAGTAGTGAAAAATTTAATGAAATCACAAGGTAATTGTAAATCTGTTAAAAATGATTATTTTGTTTAGTTCTCTTTAAAGTATAATGGTCATATGTGCAATTTATCCTCATCCTGTTTTTAACATAAAACACACAATTTACTTTTATTTTTCAGAATTTCACTGGTCTGTTCAAAGCACCGAAATCTACCAACTATGCTTATTGGCACAATATTTTTCAGATTTTAAAGTACTATCGCTAAACATAATAAAATGTTTGTTAAGTTGCTTATTGTTGGCACAAGTTCATTTAATATGAGTTAATTGAATATGTGTTTATATACAAGTTGGCTTCTGAAATTTCAGTTGAATAATTTGCTAGGAGTATTTAGGACCCCCAAATTCCACTAAATGTCCATTATTTTTGTCGCTCAAGCCTTTCTTAATACAGTATCTATTGTCATTTTTACTTCTCTTGTAGTAAGTGTAATAGAAAAGGCAGCCTGGACACAGAAAGCCTGAAATCGTGTGGAGTAGTTATTCTTCACCAGCTCCAGAGGTTGTCACAGAATACATCTCATGGTTCCTTGTTATCTGAAGAGATTTTGCGCAAGGACTGTCAAGCTGTTGTAGAAAGCGATATCAGGTAATTCTTTGTTAGAGAAAATTTCACCAATGAGGTTGGCCTATGGAAAGATCTAGGGCAACTTATTGGAACCAGTTGGAACTAGTTTTGTTTGTTATTTCGTATTCATTTTTCCAGATTACTTTTAATGAACATTTCTGGTTTGTATTATTTAAATGAATTCCTAGCCTCGATGTGAGAATATTTTAATGGCTTGATGAAGCAGATAGTAAGTTGACCTTCCAGTGACAGTGCATGTGTAAATTAACATGGAATTGTATTTACTACAAATACTATAGTACTCAACTAATGTTAACATACTGGAGCTACTGTCACTAACACCAGTCAGAGTTATTGGTTTGGGAACTCTCATTAAGAATGCATTAAGAACTAAAGCATGAAAAATACAATCATTCTTGGCTTGATTTGTAATTCTTGCTGTATCTCTTTTAAGTACACCAGTTGAGATAAGTAAGGCACATGTTATAAATTTCAAAAGCAATTAACGTAACTGGATAAAAGGATGAGAATCATTATTATGGTGCTTTGTACTTGAATTTTAAACGGTATCGAGCTAATGATTGCGCTGCTGTTGATTACCAATGTAAATAGCGCTTATGAAGTATCTATCAAATTGGTTTTGTCCTTGTTAAATATGATAGCTGGATGGAAAAAGCTGCAAAATATCCTTAAACTGTGGCTTCTGAAACAATGGGGTTGAAAATGTGGCATTTGCAAATCAGAAGTCACAATGGTAATTACGACTTCCTGTTTGTGATTATGAAATGGCATGAAAAGATTAGACTAGATCATCAGTCTTAATCCAACCATTTTTCAGACCAAGGGAGAGCAAATGGCAATTCAGAGTTCAAAAATCTGTCAGCAGGGATGACAAGTGAATGCATTATTTTAACTTCCATAGGATATATTTAACATTTGAGTAGGGAATGTGAAAATATGCATTTGAAAGTTGGAGCAGGATTGAAGTATCATGTGTGTGATGCATCCATATGTTTTAAAATTATTTAATTAGTTTATGTTCGAACTATGAAAAGAACAATATTAGGAGAGAATAAAAGACAAACTCAAATCCTTGAAATCTATTTGTCAATTTAAAAATGCAGATGTTTCATTAATTTTCTTTATTTCAATATTCTGATTTCTTTAACTGTAGATGCTCTTTGCCTCCTTGTTCTGCCAAGCTGTGGGAGCACTGGTACTGGCATGTGCGTTGTGTGTTGCAACATCAGGGGCTAACAGTAGATGAAACAGCAGAAATATTTGGCCCTTTATTGATTGGAAAAAACAGCAAAAGCTCCAAAAAGGTAACACTGATAATAGTATTTCATGAACAGTTACTAATAATTAGTTTATAATAAAAAGTAATAAAATACTAATAACATACTGATCAGAATACTAATTAATAAAATACTAATAGTAGTGCTATTAAAAATACCTTTTTCCAAAATGAATATTTATATCTATGCATACAGTATTATTTTTTGAATACTAACATAGCTTTGTTTTATTTGTATTGTGATAGTTTTTTTTTTGCATTTTAAAACCTGGTTTTGTCAACCTGACCTGTCTCCTGCAACTGAGAGGGAGTTGTAAGATCTGCTCTTATGCCCTGCAAATGCTCCTGATCCTGGCCACTAGGAAGCACTAAAGACTGCCATAGATGAGACAGCAGAAACATTTGGACAGGTGCCCCTATGATTTTCGTCTATTAGGAAATGCACAGCCTCCACACAATGCTTCCTTGATCCTTTTCTGCTGAGAAAAGAGCAGAGTGGAATGCTGGCCTGAATCTGTCCCACTCTGGGACACTGACTATTAGCATTATGTTCACATTCATCAAGCCAGACAAATATCATTAGCTTTATAATTTTCCCCCAACATGGATATTTCAGGAAGGCTCCTATAAAAAAAAATCCAAGTGGTTGAGCCAGGCAGGACAGAAAATCACAAAGTTTGTTCTGTAACGAGTTAGTTGATCTCAGCTGAAACGGATTCTTAAGCCACGAGAGGGGAAAAAATCAACCAGAATTTCCACTCCTAACTACAATCTAGTGTTCCCTCCCTTAAGTAGTACTAAGTCTGAGACTGCAGAAAAACATGTTATGCCACAATCTAAATTAAGTATCCAGTGACCTGTGTTACAAAAAGTGCTTCTGTTTACTTTGGTGGAGGACAGGATCAGCATTGGCTGAAATGTTTTCTGACATTCTCTGACTGACCTCACAATAAAAATTAGCACTTGATTCAGGTACTGAAAGGTAACTTGAATCCATGACCTTTCGTTGGTGGATGGATATACCAGATGAATGAAAATAAATTGATTATAGAAATATTCAACACTTATAATATTCCAATAATATTGCACAACAAATGCTTTGTATGCAATATCCATTGGAACTGGACATTATCCATTTGAACTGGGTCTAAATATTGTAAGTGGATATTTCATTTGCTGTAAGGTAAAACTTCTCTTCAACATGGTAGCACAGTACTGTAGTTAGGTGCTGAATGTTAAGTATACTAAACTGGTAAGCTTGAAAAAATAGAAAAAACGTTTCATGTCACAATCTATCTCTGAATTAAGTAAAATTAAATATTTACATCATGTGGTTTCTGTGTAGTGTGATCTATATTTTTTGCAGCAAGTGATTAATAATTACATACATTTGATATTGTACCTTTATCACATCAAAACTTTTCAAAGCACTTCATAACATTGAGTTATTTTGAAATATATTGTCTATCGTCATGCAGGCAGTCAACTGCTCCTGCAGCATTCTATAAATACCAAAGACATGAATGACAGATGACTGTTTATTGGTGATTTTTTGGTTGAGTTAGGAATACTGGTCAAGATGGGAAAAATCTTTCTGAATCATCAGAAAAGGCAAAGGGGAATTCAGTTTTATATCTCACTAGCTCTACCCGTTGCAGCTTTGCTCGCACCCAAAGGATCCAATATATGGAATGTAGATTGTCAAACAGACAGACACACAGACAGACGTTTATCTATACTCAGCTGGAAGCACTTCTATGGGAAGACTCCTTTTGGGAGGACTCCTTTAATATATCTTCTCTCACAGTCTCCTCCAGTCTCTCTCTCTCAGTCTCTCCCACTCTCTCTCTCTCAGTCTCTCTCTCTGAGTCTGTTTCTCTCTGACTTTCTCTATCTCTCCCACAAAACACAGTCACTACACTTTATAATATATTCTCTTTCACAGTCTCTCTCTGCCTCTCTGAGTCTCTCTCAATATATCAGTTTCTCTCTCTCTCTCTCTCTCTCTCTAAGTCTCTCTGTCTGTCCCACATGGGAGGACTTTAGCTCCCATGAAAACCAGAAAAAAAGTCCCATATATTTGTTGCAGAATATAGATGTATCTCTTTGAATGGTGTCTGCTTTCCTCTGTCGCTACACAGTTGCAGAATACAATGCATACCTCATATTTGGGGGCTTAATTAAAGCAATTTTTAATATAGCTCATCAATGATAAGAGACCCCCCCAAAAAAAAATATGTCCATGACACTGCCAGATGCAAGACCATTTCAATGGGGTATAAATCGTGTCTCTACGTCAATCGGTTATTAGGTGATTGTCAGATGCACTGACACACACACAGACAGACATTGTTGTTTGATTAATATAGAAGATCAGTGGCACTTATAACAATGCTGCACTCATTTTGTACTGCATTGAAATTTCAACCTTTGATGTATTTTAGTTGTTATTTAAAAAATCACCCCAAAATATACATTACAGTAACATATATACTGCATATATATACAAAAGTAAATGTATTACAGTACATTATTATAGTGTATACATAACACCATTTCTAAGATATTTTTCTTCAATTCATTATACTCCATATCCCATGGGTTAGTAAATCTAATGAGAAAAATCACTTCAATAACTCCTCTAAGAGGTATCTTAGGTAGACATATGGATATCTCCCCTTCTTTGTAAAGACTATCCTGAAGGGACATTTCTTCAGTTATTATTTTGATGCTGACAGCCTGTCATAATGCTACAGCGTTGTAGGAGTCATTTTCAACTTGCTGCCTTTACCCCAGTATATTATTTTTAGTTGTTTGTTTGAGGAATAATCTGTCCACGGTGGACTTCAAATTCTGCATCAGGTGGAGAAAATAATTGTCCGGAATTCATCACTGCAGTATCTTTCCATCGAGAAGGTCACTTATGTCATTTTTGTTAGACATTTTAGCAGTAGGTCAGCAGCTGTAATACCATTACTCAGTCATTCTTGATGAAATAACAGGTGCTCATTTGAGTCGTGATACATTGCAGCCGAGGTGTGTTGTAACAGAAGGTTGCTTTGAACCACAAAATATAATTGGAGGAATTAAAAATGGACAATAGAATCCACTTACTATTAATTTCGGCAGAAAAGATCTGTTGAGTATTTGGTGAACAGAAATATATTCAGTAAAAATATAACTGATCCTGCAGTTTCCTCTTTTTATCCATTGCTTCATAAGCTAGATATAAATGTGTGTTCCACTATATACACCAGATAATAGCACACATTGACAGTGTATTTGTTGCTTGAATGATGAAAAGGTGACTATTCCACTTGTAAAATGTTCTCTATTGTTACCAAAGGTGCTTGGAGAATTGCATCTTTTTTTACCCTCAATCGTTTCACCAAATATGACTGCCTAGTCATAGATTTGGCAGATGTGTCATTACATTATGGACAAATGTGAACACCATTTGGGACATATTAATTATTCCCAAATAAATGTTTTTGTTTGCATAGGTGGAAACAACATTGTTCAGGTTTGGAGGCTTGCTGATATTATTATGTATAATAATAATTATATTATGAAGAACTGTGCGAATATTTCCTATATTATAGTTCCTAGCAGGAATTGATAGATTACATGAATAATAATAATAACCTTTGCTTTTGATATAGCCCCTTATCACATCTTCAAGACATCTCACAGTGCTTCACAGAATATGCTATCTAATATATCTAATAATATATAATATTTATAATATATATTATATAATAGAACAGACGGAAATATGGTGAATGGAGTTCAATGATGCCAAATGTGAAGTAATACTTTTGGATAGTAATGATAGAAGTTGTAAATATGAGTTAAATAGAGAAATTTGAGGGAGAGCAGATGAACAAAATGATTTTGTGTGCTCATAAAAAAATCTTTGGAGTTCATGTACAGATACAGAGAATGATTAGGAAGTCAAGTGAGATACTGTGTTTCATAGCAATATTTATACAGCAGAAAAGCAGGGACATACTGTTGTAGCAATACAATACATTGGTAAAGCTGCACTTACAGTATTCTGTTTAAAGATGATGTTTAAATGCGATATTAAACTGAGGTCCTGTTTGCCAGTGCAAGTGGATACTAAAAATCCTGTGCCACTATTCGGAAAAGAGTATTTTGTGGTATCCTGGCCAACAATTCCCCAGATGTAATTAGTCATTCACTTCATAGCTCATGGGACATTGCTGTGCGCAAGTTGGCTGCAGCATTTACCTACAAATACACAGTCACTGTATTTTATAGAAATTCTAGGAAGTGCTTTGAAGCAAACATCAGGTTTGAAAGGTGTGTCAAATGCAAGGATTATTTCGAAAGGTTTTGAGAAAATAAACAATGAATTACTTTTTTCCTCCTGTGATGGGTCCAACCAGTTACTAGAGGGCATGACTTTAACATAGCATAAAACTGTCTAGGACTGAAACCGAGGCTGAATTTCTTCTTTCAGAAAGTGCTAGGAATTTGGAAGTACTTCCACAGATTAATAGTCTTGGAAAGTTGAAATATTAAAAGATATGGAGAGCAGGGTAGGAAATGGGATTACAGAAGTTGTTAGTATTCAGTGCCTTGAAATGGGAAATTGGAGGAACATGCTCAATGGTTGAAATGGCTTTCTTTATTAGTTTCTATGAATGGATATTTTTGTATTGATTAGTTGCAGTTGCATAATACTGTAATAACAGAAGTATTTATCAACGTAAAATAATTTAAATTCTCTTTGAAGTAGCTGCATTCCTTAATCTGCAAAATAGAAAGTGACAATTTTAAATATGTACTGACATATGACAATTAATGAGAAGCAGAGTAAAATTCCTACCCTGCTGATTCTTCCATTGTGAATGCAGGCAGACTGAGCAGGGTGAAGTTGCATGATACTTTTTATTTCCTGGTAATCCCACACATCCTCATGTGTCATACCTCTCATTACTTGACTAAGACACAGGATGTAGGGTAAGAAGGTAGCTCAGGAAAAAATATAGTACATTAATTGTTTTTATTTAATTCTCTTAATAACTACAACAAATAGGAAGTAAATAGAAAATAAATATAAATATATGTGCGCAGGAATAGGTGTGATGATTTATTGCTTTGCTGATACTACCAATTAATATTTTCTGTTTTTATTATTAAAATAGGCAATAGCATTGTTGAAGAAAATCCTCTCAAAAGCGACTGACAGCCAGTCTCTTCAAAGTGATGACTCTTCTTGCAGTTTACCTTCATTTCTTACTGATGGTGCAGTTGCGAAGCCAGCAAAACCCTCTCAGCAATATTACTTAAATGCAAAACAACAAGGTAATAATAATAATCTAGGCATTTCAGAAATTATGCAGAGCTTTTAAATTGTTTTTTCAGAGCAATTTATACAAGAAATGACTGACAAATTTCCCTTTAGGTCATTGGAATAAGGCATGGGGTATTTGATATTGAGAAATGTAACATAATGGACATTGTTGTATTAAATAGTAAATGTGAATAGTGCAACTTTAAATAGGGTGAGTAAGGAAAAGGATCTGAGTGTGTGGGCTCATCAGATGTTTAAAAGTTCATCACTTTGCTTGATAGCAGTAGTAGAACCTAACATATTTGTGAAGTAAGTGAATCCAAAGAATGAATCCAGACATCTAAGGAACAGTTAATATTTTATAAATCACTGGTGAGAGCATTGTTGTTAAAAGGTGGAGGTAGTGGGAAGCTTTCAAAGAAGAACAATGTTTCTCGGATGTCATAGTGGGCAATGCAATACATATTACAATACAAATTTACATTCATTCAGCACCTTTCCCACTTGGCACTGTCATCCACAGGCATGGGGTTAACTTCCATATATATCCGGATGACATACAACTCTATCTCTCTGCCTACATTCTTGGTTCCAGGACGACTGCTGTTTTGACCAGTTGCCTGTTGGATAACAAGTCCTGGTTGAGAGCTAACTTTCTCCAGTTGAGTGTCAATAAGACAGAGGCTTTTCTCTTGGCTTCTGTCAGCACCTTCTCACGTCAGGAGCTGACAGCATCAGTCTACATGGATGCACAACCCCAGCGCAGGAGCCACTACCGAACTTCTTGTCTTTTTCGCCCCACCCTACCTCCGTGACCTTCTAAAACCTTACCAGTCTGCTTGGCAGGCACTAGCTTACATGGCTGTCCCCTCCCCTATCTGCCCCACTATCTGCGGTCAGGCCTTCAGCCTTTGTGCCTGCACCCTCTAGAACTCCATCCCAAAGTCCCTTTGTCTCGCTTCCTTTGTCTCCTTCAAGGTCCGTCTCAAGATTTTCCTCTTCGACCGCACCTTCATCATTTTCATCATGTAATTTGTTGTTGTGGGACACCATCCCATGGAGCTTAATAACACAAGAGTATTGTATTCCAGTCTATGTTGAGTAAGTTAGCTGGGGAGCAGTAGGAACACTGCATTTGGACTTAGCAACCCAACGCTGGTTGAGGGGAAATCAACCAGGATTCTTGCTCCTGATCTAGTCATTCTTGCAGGAAATAGTGAATATCAAGTGAGGACAGAATCAGAATTGGTGATCAAGATGAGGATCACTGAAGCTCTCTATTGTTGTATAGTCTGGTGAGACTTGCTATCTTAGTTCAAACTGGGAAGAATGGGAATTTCTGGTGCAAATAAAACGTAAGGCCAGTTCCTTTTGGAGCACCAGAGCACTCGCCTAGCAAGCGAGAAAACCTGGGTTCGATTCACAGGCAGGGCAAAACGTTGAGCAAGTTTCCTTACTCAAACGCCTCTGTTTTCTTAGCAGTAAGTAGGAACCCGGTTGTTAGTCGACTGGCAGATCGCTTTTCCGGGGTAACAATCCCTTTAAAAAAAGAATAAGTTGGTCACTCAATCCAAGACTGTTTGTGGGACACTGCTGTGTACAATTGACCACCGCGTTCTACCCACAAAATAAACAGTCAATTCAATTTAAAGTATATTCTGTGAAGCGCTTTGAGATGACTCGAAGACATGATAAGACACTTTATCAAATGCAAGGATTATATTGTTAAATCGGAAACAAATAAAAGCAAATATTTAATTGGTGGCTCATTGTTTTAGATCATCCAGCTAGAATTTAATTTGATGGATGCAAATTTAAAGTGTGCAAACTGTCTCTTGCAATGTGTAAATGAGTTAATGATCATAGCCTTGATAACAGTTTTCCATGATTTTTTGCTTAGCAGAACTTTCTTTTGTTTACAGAGTTCAACGAATTGTTGAGCAGTAGCGAGGATGATGACTTTATAGTAAATGTTCCTCTTACAGGTAAAGTAATAACTAAACAAGCGTTGATCACCAGGTCCAAAGTTTATTTTCTCTACAATTTCGCAGTTATATGTATTCCATGCTTCACAGACCTCTAAGTGATGCACAGTGGGTAAAGGGATTCTTACTGCTCTGAGATATGATACCCGTATATTATCCAAGTTAAATTGTTCAAAAAATTCTGTTTAATTGTTCTCTGTGGTTGACTTAAGATGAGGATCAGATTTGCACAAATATGTCTACTTAACATCTGATCAGAAATCTTCTTTTTCAAAAGTGTTTCCCTTGCTTACCTAATCCTATGGATTAGTCCTGTGAAGCTAGGAGGCAGTTATATCCTTTGTCCTCAGTAAATGGGGAGTATTATAACTCAATGCCACACCAATGCTAAATGGTAGAGAAAGATATGATTTCAATTACCAGTGTTTATTAATGTTGATGTGTTCTTGTGTATTGTGTTTTCAAATTATTGTTCAGATGGCCTTCAAGCTGCCATTTTGTGCAGAATTTCTTCTTCATATTATGAATGGAGAAGGTTTCCTGCAGCCCCTAATCCACATTCAGAGGCTCCTGAAGAGGCACTCTGCACAAAGTGCCTTCTCTTATCATTGCTTCTCATCAGTAATTTGAAGCATGAAACATAAAAATAGAGGAAGGTCAAGAGACACCAGTAAGTGCACATGTATCTCCTGTAATTAGGATTATGCATCAGACACTCTTTTTAATCACCATTAAAAGTTTACTACAATTGTACACAAAATATACAGTCACTACACTTTACAGTATATCCTGTCAAGCGCTTTGAGACATCTCGAAGATGTGATAAGGCGCTGTATCAAATGCAAGGATTATTATTTACAGTTTTGTTTTCTTTTTGTGTTATGTCCAACTTCCTCATAGCTATGTTCATTTAGTTCTGTGCTTGATGCTTCCCATATTCAGGTTGGTTCTCACACACACACTTATATATAAAATGTATATTTTTTATATATAATGTGTGTGTATATATATATATATATATATATGTGGGTTCTTACTCAATTGTATAGTTATTTCAGGCTGGTGTTAGGAAACACCACTGCATCTTAGATGCGTGTCAGTGGGGATACTGTTTTAAACATTATTGGTTCACGACCATTCTTAAGTAGCAGGGGGAAAGGTTTATAATAAACACAACAAAAACAATGTTGGTTCTGCATTATGTTGTGGCATGGAGTAATTAGGTTTGAGTTCATACTGTTGATTCTGCACAGCATGATCCCAATTTTGGTTGTGCAGCACTGTTGATATATAAGACACAATATTTTTTATCTGAAAAAAAATTAGTCTAGAATTTTTTTGGGTTAGGAAAATCAGATTGACAAATCCAACCTTTTTGTTTGCTTACAGTGAATTTTAACTAAATGATATGTCACTGAAAAAATTGGGGGAATAGTAGAACTTGCTTATTAATGGAATGAAGTGTGTGTTCTTTTGTCCATTTTATGTTATTTATAAAGGCATTAGGTATAATTTAGATAAAAATAAAATATTTTTTTAAAATTATTTTTATTGGGAGTTTATGAAGTCTGAGGCACTCTTGCAAAGATTAAATTTAAAAAAATGCTGCAAAATTCGGTGCTGGATGCTGCAGAACAAAGACAATTTTTCAATTAATTTTATTTCCAACAGTGGGACAAGAGTGTTGAATTAGTTCCACAAATTGCCAGGACTATAACATACATTTGTCAAGAAGATAGAAATAGTTGTGGTCCCAATGTTCTAACACTGTAGTTTAGATCAAACTACAATATCCTTAAATATGTTTAACTTGGGAACATAACTGTCGCATTAACTGCACTATTTTTATGTAAGCAATATTGGAAAGCCTGCATGCATATTAATAGGAAACTGATATTAGATTGAACTGCTTGCAACTAACTCCAACACTAAAATCTCGTAAAAGAAACACTACTGCTAAAAGAATATACAATGTGTTTATTTTCTCAACCTAACTTTTTGGCTGTTCATAAAACTACTAGATTTGATTAGCTGTGAACAATGTTTACTGTTATAGGGCTTCTGATCCTTCCATTTGTTTTAATTCTCCAATCCTAACATCCTACAATTTGTCTTGTACATCTGGTATAACAGTTAATGAGATCAAACATCAGGCTGCAGAATCCCCCCAGTTACATTGATGATTTGTTTTTCATTTCTCTTATTTTCATAGTTATAGCCTTTATTCCATTAGATACATGCCAGATGTAAAGTACATCAAATTTTGAGCATTACTATATTCTATTTTTAATTTGTAATACTAATTTAATAGATTCTCTGGCTTATGAAGACTCAATTTGTTCTCATTAAGTCTGGAAAGCAGAGGGATGCGCAGTAAACAAATCTTCTAATAGCTGTTTTCTATTTATTTGTCATCTGTGACATTTTTACAACTGTACATCAGCACTCATAGCCAATGACTGTTAATAGCTCCTTTAAGTACTGCACTAGTAATACTGCAGCTGCTTAGCATTGTAACCTTCTCATTTTTATAGTTTTGAAAATAGTTCTGTTTTAAGACTGTTGTTTCGTCTCTGAGTGATTTTATATAATTGTTATGTGTAATTTTGGTAGAGGCCACAGCCAACGTTTTAGATTTTTCCCTCTAACATTGATAAACGTTGGGTCAAAAACTTATAAATTACATAGCCACATTTTATTTTCTAATGACTTAGTAATAGGTGGTCAACCTGTGGTCCATGGATTGGAAGTGGTCCCCGGGGCTGTCAAGCACACCTTCCACTTCCTGCATAGCACGTACATAATGTACAGGAAGGTGGAGGGTGATTTGTGTATGTCACGAAATGTAGTTCTCTGTTATTTTAAAGTGGTAAACCACTTTGTAAGAGAATATCGAGGCAAAATGGCCACTGCAATGCCATGTTGTGCGCTCGTGCAGGAAGTGACGTCAAGTAGCCATGCTGTGAGGAGCACACAGTCAAGAGAGACATCTTAACATGATTTCCTGTATCATAGTAACCATTCTTCCTCCAAAGTGGTTCAGATCTTTAAAACAAATGGGAACTCCACTTTCCGGTGACCTCTCCATTTTCCTGTAATCACCATGTGCATCGCAAGGCATGTATTTTGCTTCTGTGTTCTCTTATACCATGATCTGCCGTACTGTATTACACACAGAACACATCCTTCATTAAGACTTCCTTTAAATTTCTTCAAATAAAATGCCTTGCAACTGTGGCCTCATTGAAAAAAATCTGCATTATAATAAGTAAATATTGAAAGTAAATGTTCAAGAGGGCAGGAATGGGAAGACGCTAAATGCACCAAATGTTAATTTTAAAGTCTGTGTGCTGCTATTTTGATGACTATATTATTAAATACCTGGGATTTTTTTATGTAAATCTAACAGAAACAAGAGCGTACCAACTACTAAAGCAATCTGCAGTGAAACAGAACAACCAATTAAAACAGGAAGATGAGGAGGATATCTCTGATTTAGAGTTGCCAGGTAATGAGCAGTGTACTTTGTGCTAATAAAACTAAACTGATGCTAACTTTGTGATTGTTTTGTAGCGCTAGTATGACTTGCAATCATGTAGTATAAATGGAGGATACTGCATAGCAGAGTTGAAATTGTTTTAAATCCATGAGTGAAACTGACCTGATAGTTACTCCAAAATTTCAGATGATGAATAATGGCAGTGTATAAATTGTTCCCCTATTTTATAATGGTTGTTTGGTAAAATCTCTTGTTATATTAGTTTAACAGTATCTTCTCTGTAGTGTATTTAGAGGACGTTAACCTGTTTGAAAAGGAGTATATGCCCTGTATTTTAACTCTTCTCCACCTATGGGATAGAAATATTCACTATTTTCCCAAGAGTTTCTTTTTTATATATCTGTGACAGCACCAGCTAACTGAGCCTGTGTGCACACTTGGCATTCAGCCTGATCCCTGCTTGAAACCCTGCATCCAGTCCTTGACCAAATCTGCTTTCTTCCATCTTGGGATCATTGTCTACTTGTGTCCCTAACTTAACCCTTCAGCAGCTGAAACTCTCTTCCATGCATTTATCATCTTGAGTTTAGGCTACACTGATGCTCTGCGCACTAACCTCCTTGGCTCCATCCCGCATAAGTTACACACAACTCTGCAGCCTGTATTCTTTCCCACCCCAGGCTCCACAAACTCATTGCCCTTATGCTCCATAGGTTTCACTAACCTCCAGTATCTCAGCTTTAAGATCTTCATACTGCCTTTCAAATATCTTATGATTTTCAGCTTCCCAATCTATGCCATCTCCTTCAGTTCTATTATCCCATCCTGCAATCTAGTCCAACTCTGGACTCCTGGTCATACCTTGCTTTCCTGGTCCCACCATTGTTGGGATCTGCCGGACCTCTGGAACTAACTTCCAAAATCTCTTTTCGGTTCTCCTTCTCTTCCTGCTTTCAACACCTTAAATTAAAAATGTATTGCTTTGATCCTGTCAAAATCTTTAAATGATTCTGTCTTTGCTGCTTGATGTTTCCAATTGTCTCTATGAATCACGTCTCGCTATTCATCCTATGCCATATTTGCTGTGTAAGTGAAAGTTGTTTTAATCTGGGAAATATTTTAAAAATGCTATATGAATTTGGCTCTTGTTTATTACTTGGTTACAGTCAGGGTAGTTTTCTGTTAAGTGCTTAGGGTTATAACCATGTCCTTTTCAAGATTAATGCTTTAATCCGCATTCCTCTTACATTAGTTATTTTAAGCCTCACTTGTGCCACCATTTGAAATTTTAATCTTTTACTATTACTGTAAAATACTCTGAACTCTTTAAACTGTATTAATTCTATAAATGTAAAACAGAAGGTGTTCAAACAGAGAAATTATATTGACTTTATATTGACTCCTTATATTGTGAGAAATGAATTTTACATTTAACAGAAATTTACTGTAGTCCTTTTTGAGGGTTTCATTATTGCTCTCTAAACCAAGACATGCCAAGAATTATGGCTAATTCATTTATTTCTAGGCACTAGAATTATGTCCTCATAGCCTTGTGGTTAAACAAATTGTTATATTGTCAAAAGTCATGCAAGTTGCTTAGGGCGGTTTCAAAGATCTGCCCTATTATAATACAGTTCAGGACCTGCTTAAACAGTCTTTTTTATAGTTTGGTGCAGAACAATCTTCATATCTATACTCCACTGTCTCACCCCGCAGGCCGCCGAGGTCCTCATACGTACATTCATAATGTCCAGACTCGACTACGCAAATTCCCTGCTTGTCGGCCTCCCCAACTCCTCCTTCCATAGGTTGCAGATCATCCAGAACTCTGCAACCTATGTCCTCTCCTGCACCAGGTTTGACCAACCTATTAACCCCATCTTCGCCCGACTCCACTGGCTTCCCATCACACAGAGGATACAGTTCAAGATCCTAGTTCTCACCCTTCAAAGCCCTCCATAGCCTTGCTCTCACCTACCTCTACAATTTCCTAACTCCCTACCAACCCGCCTGTTCACTCCACTCAGCGGGTTCCGGCCTGTTTCACGGCCCCCCCCGCCTCGCCTTCCTCACCATTGGCAGGCGGGCCTTCAGCCACCCTGCCCCCACCCTCTGCAACTCCACCCCGCAGTCCCTCCGCCTCGCCCACTTCCTTGCCTCCTTCAAGACCCATCTCAAGATCTTCGTCTTCGACTGCGCCTTTGTTCACCCTCCTTCCCTTTCTGCCCTCCACCTCCCCCAATCCCTACCCCTAGCTTACATCCGAAAGATTGATTGTCGAGCGCCTGGGACCATCCTCCCGATGTGAAAGGTGCTATACAATTGTAATTTTGTTATTGTTGTTGTTCAGTCTTTCTATATTAAAATATTTTCTTTAAAAAAGTCTTCATGGTGGAAGTAGATTGTGTTAGCAAATTCAAATAAGAATTGGATAGCTGTTTGGTGAAGAATTTGGTTCAGATTGAAACACAGAGTAAAGTATGATTTTTAAAAAATATATTAAGGTTATCTGGGTTGACTGGATTCAGTACATTACTACATTTTCCGGTCAGGTACATTACTACATTCTGATGTACATTAACATTTGGTATATGCTTATATCTAGAATTGGAAACTGGTTTGAAGTATTCCTGTGCACTGCCCACTGTTTTATGAAATTGGTCCATTTATTCTATGATCAATGTCACAAATTGAAATAAACATAACCATGACTGCATAAAGGCTTAATTGCTGCTAACTGGTTGATTCCTCTCCTCTCATGGTGCTTTTCCAGTATTCATATGGGTTACGATTTCATTGTATGTCAGTGGAAAATTACTTTGGAAATAAAATGGGGGAGAAACATTTTCTTGGATAGCCTGCTGTGTATGATGCTATGTACGCATATAATTAATTTCAACATTTTTACAATTTTTTCAACTAGCTGCAGAAGATTCCAATTGCATTCATGCATGAAGTTAGGCATGAAATTTAATTCAACTGTGCGACTCAATTATGTCCTTAGTAACCTTGTGCCCATGTCAATAGCTTGTAATCGTCAAGTCACTTTACAGTATATTCTGTGAAGCACTTTGAGATGTCTCGAAGACGTGATAAGGCGCTATATCAAATTCAAGGTTTATTATTATTGTAACCACCACATAAATTTCCAATTATTTGTTTAATGTGCTTTGAGATTTTGTTTATGTGAAAGGTAAATGCAAATTATTAGTATTTAGCATGATGTTTCCAGTCCACAATTGAATCACATGATATTTAATTATTATCCTTTCTTCCTTACTTGTTTTTCAGGTTTAGGCCATAAGAAACATTCCAAAAATATACAAAATAACATTGAGGATAAATCTGACTTCAGTGAAGAAACTTCGCTAATAAGGTAAAGGCAATAGAGGTCAAATGTGATTATTATGCAGTATTGTTTATCCGAAAATACTGCATTGTTAATAACTCCTTTATTTTACTTACGTTCAGAACAAAAAATAATTCACTTAGCTTCACAAACTCTCCGGTCTTAACTGTAAATCCTAGATTTCATTATTTAGTCAATTATTGCTTTTGTTGCCCACAAAAGTAATATTTCAAAAAAATCATAATTTTACAAAGATGCACAACAGTAATTCATACATTGTGATATGACACTCAATGATTGCTGGCTGTATTATTGTGTTTCAACATTATTTTGAAGAATTTCGAGAGCTGTATGTCCAGAGAATAGCAAATTCCTCACTGAACTCCTCTTCTAGTATTTCTTTAGCTTGTGCACAAGATACCAATGATTTATCTTTCCCTTGTTTATATATGAATTGTTGTTCTTAGAATCTATCATGTTTTATTACTGTTAAGCAGTTAATTGCTTTTGTTGTGGATGTGATGGTTATTTTTGCTGCCTACAAAATCATTATTTTACATATGTGAAGATTTGCAAGATGACTCTCAGATGTGACATGAAACCTTATTTCATGATTCACTGAAAGGATACAGCAGCAAACCTAAGATAAAGGCATTTCGATGTTGGTGATTGTGAGCTCTGAGTGTTTCTTCGAGTTAATTTAAAAGATTTGTAATTTAATTGCAAGTTGCATACCTTTTTAATTAGTTTAAGGACAGAATTTCACTATCACCAATGAGATATCTTACACACAGTTAATAGAAAGGATGATATCAAAATATCATGATGATTTTGAATGGCTCCAAATATTGTTCACAATAAGATCAATTGAGTATACTCAAATCCATATTTAGATCATGGTTTTAGATCATAATTGGCCAAATCATCAAATTATAAGAATAAATGTCCTACTTTCCTTTCCATACAACCATGGTTTGTTAATTTGCAAACATAAATATAAATAAAACATCTAATCTTTAACATCTCTACACAGTAGAACAATGATAGAACAGTATAACAAGTTGATTTTTGTTTAATAATGTTCATAGAGACATTGAAATAAAATGCTACTTTGGACGGGGAGGAATTACTTTTCATATGGATTACTCCCCCATAAAGTCCATTAGAACAGAAATATTAAATCTAGAATAGAAAGCAGTTTGTGGAGACCTGGTTTAGGCATGACAAGCAGTCGTATTTCACGTGTTTAACTGCTAGGATTGGCATCCCAAGAGTGGGAAAGTGTGTTCTCTTCAATGCCAGGCAGCTGGAGTGGAATCTGCCAGATAAATCTCTTTGTGCTGCTTTCCAACCTGTACCAACATCAGTACATGCTGTCAGGAAGACGATATATAAATATATACTATCAGGAAGCAGATATATAGCTGTATTTAGGAGATTATCTAGAGATTTTTTTTAAGAATTGTTGCCTTTTACATCTTTAAAATCTTGCATGATTATGAATCAAATGATGCCTACAATCAGCAAGGGGCAAATCAAAACAAATCTTTAACTGACTTGAAGGTAGTCATTTTCTGGATATTGCTGATTTCATGTTTTTTCCAATCAGATATGTTTAAAGCATTTATTCCTGAAATTTGTTCGTACTGTTGCATTACAATCTGATCGCTTTCCCCAAACCTCAAATTTCTTGTTTAACTCTGCCTAAGGTGTTAAACCATATATTGGATTCTAAACCGACCGCACACCAACTGCAGCGTGAGCTTAAAAGGGATTGTGTGTCACAACAATATATGAATAGTGTCTGGCCAAACAGACATTGAACTTTCAACTCTCTCAATACTGTCTCTAAAACATTTGTTATGTAAGTGCACATTCAGTTTGCAGCTGGTTATAAAACTAGAAGTACTATTCCAAATTATTTTAGAAAGCATGTCTGTCATAGTTCAGTTAGAAAAATCTTTCAAATAATAATTTCAGAATTTGCAAACAAATCTTAAAATAATTTCCCCATTATTTTCTTATAAAAATTGACACCTACTGTATACACCAATATCTTTAGGCTAAAAGTAATCTGAACTTTAATCTTCATATCATAATCCAAATTGTTAGTGTTCAGCCTAAAAAGATCCTGCATGCTTGAAGGAAACAGTCTTTAGGCACCACTTGTGCAATTGTTAAAATAAAAGAGAGATGTGCAGGTTAACAAAGATAGCAGCCAATCTAATTTTTATCTGGACCAACCAGCCATTCCTGTTACATACAGTAGCAAATATGCCAGCAGACATCAGCTGTTCCCCAACTTAAAATCTTTTCTCAGCACTAAATCTGAGGGGATTCAGCAGACTCGGGAAATATTCAATAAGTTAATGATTACTGCTTTGCACTGTCTAAGGAAAATGCCCTTTGGGGAGAAAAAAATAATTATATTCAATTTGGGTAAAAACTATCAGTAGAAAAATTACTGGTAAACTCTTGGATACAGTTTACACTATAAGTTTTGAGATAAGCTGTATACATACCCTTGACTTTATCTCTAGTTATTAGGTCATGCCCACTTGTACAACTTAAAGCTTACAATTCAATATCCTTTATTTGCATGTTAGAAAACTTCAGTATGGCACTGCTGAACACAGCATCTCTTTGTATGTCTATGATGGTGTTCCAAAGTGTGAAAGAATATGTACTTTCATTCGTTTTTTTGTGTGTGTGATCTATTGATAATTGTAAAGTATGTGTCAGACAACTTGGTCCCATTCACTACAACACTGTTTCTATTTCTGAAGGGTTTAATTGATTAGATTGTTGGAATGAAAGGCAGCTGGAAACGTTCACACTTATACCAAAAGTTTGCGATGAAACCAGGTATTGTGCAGCGAGGGTATTTTCATGTCCAGACTCCATTGACTTACTGGTAAGCCACAAATGAGTGTATACAGCTGCTCCCAGTAGGGTTACTGGGAGACCAGACAATGGAGGGGTTTGACAGAAAGGTCTGAAAAGTTAAATGCACTGAGGAATGTAGCAGCTGAATTTTAACATTTTTAAGGTCTTGAACGTTCAAGGATCTTTCTTGAAGCTTTACTTCATTGCTTACAATAAATGTCACACAAGTCAATAAAGGGCAATCTTATAAGATGATACTGTACTCTTCCCAAAGATAGCCATAGGTGAAATGATTTCTACTGACCAAGATTAACATTTCTGAAAATAAGTGTAGAATGTATTTTTTTAAAACAATTTAAAGAGATAATAATACAGGCTTATGCTGGCAATAATATCTTTGTTACCAAAAATTAACATTTTAAATTTATCTGCAGTTTGTTACTACTTAATGGCACAATCACGATTTACACTATTTAACATACTTGTTTAAAAACAATTATATTTTCTTTTAAAATCAAATAACTAAAGTTATTAGCGTGCACCTACACTTCTATCAGGCTTACCATTTATTGAACTTTTGTTGTCATTTGGTTCTGCAGTTGAATATCCCTGTTTAACTAGAATGAAACAAAAAGAGAGAGCTGGGAAAACTCAGCAGGCCAGGCAGCATTTATGGAGAAAGGAAAGTGAGTCAACATTTCGCGTCCATGACCCTTCGTCAGAATGCAAACGAATAGGTCGTGGACCTGAAACATTGACTCACTTTCCTTTCTCCATAGATGCTGCCTGACTTGCTGAGTTTTCCCAGCTCTCTCTGTTTTTGTTTCAAATTCCAGCATCTCCAGTATTTTGTGTTTTGTTAACTAGAATGAATCTGTTCCTCAAAATTCTATGATTCAGGGACAAACACAACAGTTCCATTACAAAGATTGTGAGGAATTGGATAAATATCCTAAAAGGAACTCTGAACTCAGCCAATATTAAGTTGTTACATTTCTATTCATAACTACAACCATAAAACTTGCATAAGCCTTATCTTTATAAATCATATTATTGCCTAAGTCGTACATAAGAACATAACACATAGATTTCTTTGCACTAGTTGTATTTTATAAGTAAATCACCTCCTAACAGCTGCTCCCCTATCCTCCATTTCTCCCGAAATTACTGGCTGCATTGAATCACGGGAAATGATGTCCTGACGTATGCGCACTAATCAGCTGGCTGCATTGAAATGCGAGAATCATAGTCAGTATCCAGAGGATATTGTATTAAAATGATTCCCTTTAATTTTGCTCCTTTGGAATGATTTTAAACAAAGAGTTGTTTCGATGTGGAATGCCTTTCTGGGATCCTTTTTAACTTTCAAAAGGAAACTAAACAAATATCTATAAAGCAGTCATTTGAAGGGGTTGGGGAAAAGGCAGGTGAGTGGGACTGAATGGAATGCTGTTTTAAATAGCACAGAAAGTTGAATGGCCTTCTCCTGAGCTGTAAGGTTCTAATGCTTTTATACTTGGAAGACTACAGACTTGGACATTGCTTAGTCAATTCTGTTGATTAAGAATGGGAGGAGGAAATTCTTCTGGAAAGCAAATCTCATACTTCCTTAGCTGATCTCTTTTCACAAATGAAGTGCTCCAATAATAAGTCCTAGTTGTGTCTGGTGACATAATGGTTCAGGTCATAGCTCAGTTTTTGACTCTGGCTCCATTCTTAGAGATCACTGCATTTTTCCAAATCATCTATGATCCATCAATAATTCCATTTGAACATGTCTGATTTATATTGGTTTAGTTCCAGTTAGGGTGGAAACATTTTATATGATCCTAATATCTACTGAAGAGAACCTTTACGTTTACTGTGCTCACCTTCCTCATCATCATTCCAAATATTGGAAGTCTTATGCACATAGTACTCATAAAATTATATGCTTGGAGCACAAAACTATGCTATAAATAAATGGTTTGCTGCAAATGGGAATGGTCACACGCCTTTATAAACTTTTATCCACCAAAATTATTCTGGTGCAGAGATAGTCAAAGCTTAAGGGTATTGTAATTCTATTGGTGATAACCAAATGCCGATTGTAGATTTTGAGGTAGGGATTTGCTGTGCTGCTTCTGTTCCGCAAGAGAGAAACTTCTCTGTCAAAATTGTTCAGAAACAATTCAGCATTTTAAAAATGACTATTTTCTAATTCACATTTCTTTGAAGCATGAAATTAAAGATGGTAGGTAACTATTGCATTTTAATTGTAGACTTCTGTAATATTAATTGGAAATCTGTACTGAAAGTAATAAGTTGCAATATGCAAAAGAGAAGCCTGTCGACTTCAATGTTTTTATTTCATGTGCACTAGAAAAGTTGATGTGGCTTCTATGTAGCATAGAAAAGAAAATTGAAATCTCGGTTTCTTTTGATATTTGAAGGTATATATTATTGCCATCGCTTACAATAATTATTGAAAAAAAGACTGATATTCTACTCAGTGCTTCGAGATACTACCCCACATGAAGGGTGCTTTACAAATGCAAGTTATTGTTCTGTGTGTTCATGTTCTGTGTTGCACTTCTGCTGATTTGTAGTAAACGGATGTTAATAGGTTTATAATAATGTGGATCATTTGACCCTCTATAAAGAGTAATATGGTGCTGGCAAGGATGCTGGAAGCTTGATTACAATTTATAAAAGTCTTTCTGTCAGGGAAGAATACTTAAATAGAGGAGGGAATTGAGTCATTCGAGGAAAAGTGTAGTTCTTAATATATGGTGAATACATAACTTCACAAGCTTTTTTGACTGTGCAGCTACATTTAAAGTCAGCTGGATGTGGTCATCTTTTAGTGTTTAAGGAAGGGTACTAGTTCTTTTGATGGATTCACTAATACATGGTGCTTTGCACTTGACACCCATCTCCAAGGAAAGAGATTAGCAATCATGAAGCTGAGAAGGGGCTGGGAGAGCATAAGATGGATAGCTCAGGTGCTCACTTCCTTTTTGTGATCAGGACATAGAGACATTTCTCAGATACTTACAGGTGAAGATTCCACTTATTGCAGTCACTTTAGGCACTTTATTGGTTCTGTAAGTGGCTTTGAAGCTTAGCACTTGAGAAACAACATAAGGATAAAGTCTGGTATTGGTACACCACATCCCCCCCCCCCCCCCCCACCCCCATGTGCTTTATTATTGTTAGCGAGCTGATGGCTGAAATAAAAAGAGCCTGATTTCCCTACGCCCCTCCACCACACACACACACACATATCTCCACTATTCCCTCCCCCAAAAAGAGTATTTTCTGAAGTCCAAACAATGAAGGTATGCTTAAGCTCAAACTACAGCTGAGGGATTTTCAGTTTTAAAGCAGAGGCTTTGGTGCAAAAAATGCATTTATAGCTCTTTGTGTGGCACCTCATTATGTGTGGGCCTGATTCATTAAGTAATTGGTTTGCAGTTGTTTACATGAGTATTAAGGCCTTCTATTCAGAAGCCTTTGAGTGATACATTGTGCAAATGTAGCATGTTATGAATGCAGAATGAGAACTCAGAGGCTAGTCCCATTGGCTAGACCCTGCACTTGGTTGAAAAGAGAGGGTAAGACACTGGGCACTGCTTTGCATGGCAATGACCGTTCTTAATAAGCTTTACAGATTAATACATGCAGCCTATAAAAGAGCTAAATACTGTAGATACTCTTACTATATCTATGTGCTCATTTTGTTATTATGGTGCTGAAGGTGGGGTAGAATTGAGTTCTTTCATTCTCCAATTTCTTCACCATAGCATCTTACTGCATAAGTGCTAATAGAATTTGATGTTTATTGTATTATAAATCATGGTGAAGCAGGACGATTGCTACACTTTATTATTAAAGATTCATTCATTGTAAATCTTTTGCTGCTATTGTAGTTTTTGAAGCAAAATCATTTTGTGGTTGAGTGGGGATGAAAGACATAATGTACGAAGGAGTGAGTCTTAATCAGCAGCTGCACTCCATGTAAAGACCACTTGTTCCCTTTTGTTCAGAGGTGCATGCCACTGCTTCCTCTTCACTGAGAATCATTGTTCTGTTTTACCAAAGGCATCTGAACAGTTTTCTTCCACTGATTTATTTTATTGAGAATATTTTCCAAACTGTTTGACACATATCCTTGACTCTCTAAAATCTTAAGAATAAGGCGTTTTTATTTTACAAAAGGGCCTGCAAGGCATCTGTTTTGTATTGATTTGGGCACAATAAAACTGAGCATAAGCATACAGTGTGACTAGAGCAGGTGAAGGATGTCATGTGGTACAGTGCAGCAGTAAGAACTTGCAGCCAGTGGAGGTCACTCTCATTCTAACTACTGCTATTTCTGTACTAAGCAAGAATACAGTACTACCTGGGTTTGAAAAGAATACATTCACTCAAAGAAAAAGGTGATAGCAATCTATTGTACAAGATTTTTCCTTTGAATATATTCAAGGAAACATGCCTGGTTTCTTGAAAAAAACCTCTCATACAACAGAGATATACAGGGTTGTATGTATTTATTTTTTATGAACATGTACATTGTATTTGGATTTTATTTTACAATTTAATATTTTTGTACACATACACACCTCTCAGCTTCTCAGTCAAAACCATGAAACCTTGATGACCTCATTCTGTGCAATCTTTAACTTTTAAGAAATTAAATAAGCAGTCTTCAGTCTGTTTTGAGAAATATCAGCTCTGTGCCAAAATGGTATCTTTATCAGGGAGTTCATAAATCATTCAGATTTTAGAGTAGTATTCTGCTTTGTGTCAGTTTGGAACAAGTAGTCAGCATCCCAAATGTGGAAAGTGTAAAATAATTTGTACCAAATTGTGACAAAACACAATGTTTGCCATGAATAAGATTGTTTTTAACTGACAGGTTTATGATGTGCTGTCCTGAAAGAAGTAACCTAGTTCCCAGTTCATCATTATAATAATATAATAATAATTCTTGCATTTGATATAGCAACTTATCTCATTTTCAGGATGTCTCAAAGCGCTTCACAGAATATACTGTAAAGTGAATTGACAGTATACATTGTGGGCGAAACGTAGCAGCTAATTGCACCCAGCAGTGTCCCACAAACAGTTGTGGATTGAGTGACCAAATTATTATTATTATTTTTATTATGGATTAAGAGGGCAGGATTAAAAATTTTTTCATTGTCAGAACATTTAGAAATGTTGAAACAAGAAGTTGGCTGTAGTTATTTCTCTTTTTCCCATTCACAACCCAGCTATGCTTAGGTTAAAACTACCTCTTAATATTTTCTCATATTTGGTTTTTCTGGACACAATGTATCTGCAGCTAACAAAAGATCAAAACACTTCCGATTTGTTTGACAGTTTCAAAGGCGAGTGACGTTGTACACAGACAACTGGTCATTTGTCAGGAGCACTGAATCCAGACTGCATATGCATCAAGACAGATCAAAGCATGTTCAAGGCACACATTTGCAAACTGATATTGCTGATGCTATGGGAACCCAGCAACCCAATTCTGAGAACACTTGTACAAAATGAGAGTCTTGTGAAAATCTTTGAATATTATTAGAAATGGAACTCAATTGTTTCATGGATTTTTTTGTCTGTGTGCAAAACTTTGCAAAATAATTCTACTTTACTGACCATGAAAAGAACATTTAAAAAATGAGTGCTTTTTAAATCTCTTACTCACCTGTCCCTTTTTCCTGGTAAACTTTGCTTTTGTCATGGCATTAATTGACTACGTTCACTTGAGCAAGTTTAAAAAGCTTTACAATTTATAAATTGTATTATCTCAATGGACACTGGTTTCATAACTAATAATGTTTACATTTGATTATCATACCTTTCACGTCGGAATGACATATCAAAACACTACACAGCATATACTGTAAAGTGGAGTAACTGTATTTTGGGCACACATGGGCACAACCTGGAAATTATAGATAGTTTGTACCTCAGTAACAAAAGTACTTGGTTACATTTTGAATAAACTTTCTTACAGTTGCGCTAGTATAATTTTGTTGCATAGATGCTATCCCAATAGTTAAAGGATTAATTAGCCCTATTGAGCTAGAAAGTATGCTAAAACGTCATTCAAACATTAATTATTCAATTAGTGTCATTTATTATGCCCATTTATAAATGAAGGTTAATATTTCCTAATATCCAAGAAATTATCAGCAGGCCCACATTTGTGTTCAGTTATAGTCTAATGTAGGAGAGTATTCATTGTTTCTTACTTGAAGTTTAACAGAATAATCTTATTGTTATTTTCAAACCCATTTGCATGCCATTTGTCTTATTGGTACAGTAGTTGCTTACACATAACTAACATATTTGTTGCTTGTTAGATCAAATCAAGAGTTCCAACTAATCAGATTGCAGCAATGACTGCATATTTCGCTAGCAACAATAATTCACATTTCTATTGTACCTTTCACTTCGGGAAGACATCGCAAAACTATTAACCCAACTCACTGAAAGCCCGAGCTGGTGGCAGAAAGTGCAAAGAAGCGTGGTTGAAAGTTTAGGTCTCGAGGTGAAGAGGGAGAAGACCAGATGGCGGCGTGCCAGGATAGAGTTCCAGAGAGCAGAATGGCTGAAGGATGACAATATTATGATTGCTCCCAATGCTCTTTTTGAGTTTAACCAACATGTTTTTTTTCAGGATATCATTACAATATCTCTCTCACTTTTCCTATTTTCCACAAGACGTTTGTTAATGTTACAATGAACAATCCAAAGTGTGAGGACCTACTGGTACAGTTGTGTTACTTTTCTAAGCTGTTATTAATAGTGTTACAGTAGAACAAAGTGGAAAAGAGGCTTATTTATTATGGCTTCTTGAAACAATCTTTGTTAATATTGCAAGCCTGCATTAAGTTTGCCTATTTTCCAGATAGTATTTGCATTACTACCATTTATACATATGATATAATGGTATACATTGTATTGTTGAATGTAATTCTTGACAATATTAAATATTAACGTTTTTTAAACTTCTATAGGAACAGAAAGAAAAAGAAGCTAATTCATCCTATGAAATCTAAAGGTAAGCTGAAGTTTTTTTTAATGTTTAGGAACTCAGGTGAAGGGCCAAGATCTATAGTCCAGTGCACCACATAGCTTGAAAAGAGTAAGAGACAAAAAATGTGATATTTCAGGGAGTGGTTGGATGACACCAACATAAGAAATTTAAAATGATGTATGTCACATGAAAAAGAAAAGACACAGAGAAGGAAGAGAAGAAATTCCACAGTCTTGCATTTGACAATATTTTATTACATCCAAATATCTCAAAAGAGCTTGACAACTTATTACTTTCAACAACAAAACAAATTGCATTAATATAACGCTTTTTACATTGGGATGATGTCCCAAGACTCTGGACATTCACTTTGAGATCAAATGCAAGAATTATTATTCCTAAAAAAATTACAACCTTTAAAGAATTAAAGGTAAATTATTATTGCCACCAAAAGGTCATATATGAATTCAAGGATTAGTGATTCAGCATTACCACTGTAGTAACACTCAAGATATTTGAAGGAAGTTTGTTAATGTAGAGGGCAATCGTGAGGAAATCATTGGGTAAAGTTGAAAGATCAGTGAAGGAGGTATATGATATAGAGAAGGAACAAAGTGGCAGAGAACAGATCCCTGACGTACTGCTGACAATAGATGTCAGATGATTAACCATTACAGCTATAAATATAACCATGGAGAAAAATCTTGGTAAGTTTGCTAGGAGTGCAAAGAATGGGTATTTTGGAAGGATTTGCCTACAAAATATTCACATTCAGTATACTTCAGAGTAAATTCTGTAAAGTATTTTGAGACATTTCAACAACATGGTAAATGTGTGACATCAAATGAATTAACGGTGAGATCAAATGGACTGAGGAGCCTTTTTCTACTCTCTTTCTCTTGTGAACAATTAATTGTCCAGACGTGTNAAAAAACATAGAAAATGCATATTTTCAGATGGTATCTGATAGTCACAATAGCAGTGAAATGGTGAAAGCTCATTTCTGTGATCTTAATGAGTTTCATTTGGCTGTGTCTTATGGCAAACACAACTTGGTCTTTGAAAATGTAATTAGTTCCGGGAAAATGTATTCACCATCTGGATTAGTCAACAATGCAATTTCATGCCAGTTTTCATTAGCTGGAATACCAGACCTAACAGGTGCCAAATATTGTGTACAAATTTGTACAATTCATTCACAGTTTTATTCATTTGAAAGATCTGCATACTCTGAGAAAAGCATTTCATCAATGAGACAGTTTTCTCTTTGGCAACATTCAATGTGGCAACGATTGTCAGTTTGAAAATTTGGGATAATCAACAAGAACAACTTGCATTTATATAGCGCCCCTCCTGCAGGGCAGTGTCCCAGAGTCCCAGTGGGGGAGCACAACGCCGAACTGGGACAACAACAAAATTACATTTACAGAGCGCCTTTCACGATGGGAGGACGTCCCAAAGCGTTGAACGGTCAGGTGTTGGGACCCGAGCATGGGGGAGGGGTGGTGTATGGGTGAGGGAAGGCAGAGAGCTGGGAGGGCAACCAAAGGCATGATTGAAGAGAAGGGTCTTGAGACCGGCCTTGAAGGAGGCAAGGGAGGAAGCGAGGCAAAGGCACCGTGGGATGGAGTTCCAGAGTGGGGGCGCAGAGGGAGGTGGTGATAGGTCGAACAGGAAAGTCTTCAGGCGTGACCTGAAGATGGGGAAGGAAGCGGCAAGGCATAGGGATAGAGGAAGAGTGTTTCAATGTTCCAATAACCTTATTGCCATAGGCATACTCCACTTCATAGGAAAAACACCAGCAGTGTAGAGCTATGTTGAATAATAGAGAAACATGTTTTTTCAGTCTCCAGTGTTTGACAGTAAAGTTTTTGTTTTGGAATCAATAAAGATGGTTTCATTTGACAAATTGGTAGGATCAGATGTCAGCTAATTGCTATCTGTCAGAAGTAAAATGCCACAAAGAATTTAAGAACTACAATTATTTCATTGTGTAATATCAATCCAATGGTGAATTGCCTTGAGAAAGCTAGAGAAAAGAGAGGAATCTTTGTCTTCCACCTCAAAATAAATGAGGAGGCTATGAAGTATAACTGATTCCAATGCACATGCCAATAGAAGATAAGGCAGCATTAACAGAGTTATAAAAGTTCAGATTGCCCTATCTCAGTTAAGAGAATTTCCTATTTAGAGATTAAATCAGTAATACTTTACACCTGATTGATACAAGGTCCATCATTTCAAAAGCTAATGAAGTCAGCACACAAACTTGTACAAAAACATAACTTGTATCATTGAACCACTATAGGAACAGAATCATAGAATTATACAGCACAGAAGGAGGCCATTTGGGCCATCGTGTCTGTGCTGGCTCTTTTAAAAAAGCTACCCAAAATCAATCCCATTCCCCCGCTCTCTCCCATAGCCCTGCAAACTTGTTCCTCCCCAAATAATTATCTAATTATTTTAAAGCATTACAAAGTGGGAGATTTTTAAATCTTTGATGAAACACTTATCAAATGGGTAGAGTTAAGCTACTGAATAATGTTCAGATGCAGTTTTATATTTTGATATCTGAGTCTCGTATGGAGAGAATTGCATTTAGATAAAACAATAATGTTGCTGAAGTCGAATTCTTTTAAGTCTTCCTTGAAAAGATCAAGTTTAATCACAATGTTTTTAAATGAAATACAGCATATTTGAAATTCATACATTTTGAAATTCAAATTTTCATCCAGATAATATTCTCAAGATGCTAATTTAAATTAATATAAAAACAGATTTACAAGTATTGTTGCAATGTTCTTTCATTCTGGCAACAGCATTTTCTGAATAATAAATGACAATTTGCATCTGCTGATGTCATTGGAGTCATTGGCATGTTAATGTTGACTTTTGTTCTATGCATTTTATGTACAAAAGCAGATGTTTGATTTGCAACATTAAGGTTTTTGAATGTCATAAAACATTGTAAAACCACAGAAGAGTAACTATGGAAATAACAATGTCAATCTAAGTGCTTGTTTTTATGACCTCCGAATCTTCTGTTTTTAAATTTGAATACTTTGCAGCTATTTTTATTCATTGTTCACTCAATAAAACAAATTGACCAAAGATCAAAAGTGAACATACTATGTGATTTGTTTTTCTTACAGTTGATGCATTAATGAGGGATGACTTTGGAAGTAATAGTCTTATGTGTTTTATTGCAGCATTCTGGGGAGAATCCGATGACAGTGATTCTGATATTGAAGCAGTTCTGCATCCCAAAGCACCAGATGTACTTGAGGGTGGAGATGATTTTGAAGATTTCATTTAACGATAAAACATGAAGCTCAGTTTTTGGTAAATGAAACACGAATATGTAACAGCAATATCAGTGTAGAAAAGTTGAGGTGAGGTAAACTTCAAATATAACAACCCACTTCACAACAATTGGCACTTTTTTCAGTTTTACGAATTACACACAAAGGAAAATGGTATAAATCGTCGATTTTGAGAAATGTTTGCAACACCATGATGGTTGAGAGACTAGAATAGCATCGAAACCAAAAACAGATATTTCCATCGCTTACTAAAAAATTCTCAATCATAAAGACTATAAGGAAAGTATTTTTCGCGCTGTACCACTTGGTAAATATTGCTTTTTGGCATATGAGAGTAAATTGTTTGCCTCTCTTTGTGTCTTAAAGCAGACTATTTGTTATCAAATGAACAGACTCCAAAAACAGTCAGTTATAAGAGAAACCATAAGTTAGCATTAGAAAAAGTAAAGATGACAGTGCAGAATAGCATGCCAGATAATAGGAATATGTTAACTACGGGTAAGAAGCTTGGCAAAGCAGATAAGGAATCAGAGAGTAGAGGAAATGGTAGGAAATTAAAAATGTTATATCTGAATGCGCGAAGCATTCGGAATAAAACTGATGAATTAAAAGCATAGATAGACACATATGGGTACGATATAGTAGCCATCACTGAAACATGGTTATAAGGAGATCTAGGGTGGGAGTTAAATATTCCAGGGTTCTCGGTTTACAGGAAAGATAGGCACTGTGGGAAACGAGGTGGGGGGTAGCCCTATTAATTAGGGATGAAATAAAAGCAGTGGAGGGAAGGATCTGAAATCCGATGACCAGGAGGTTGAGACAATATGGGTGGAAATAAAAAATAATATGGGGCAGAAAATATTAATGGGAGTGATTTATAGACCCCCAAACAATGATCACAAAATAGCACAGGTATTAATCAAGAAATCAGTGGAGCATGTAGGAAAGGTAAAGCGATAATAGTGGGTGATTTCAATCTCCACATAGATTGGGAAAACCAAATTTTTTGGATTCTGGAACAGTCTCCATGGATTGGAAGATTGCAAGTGTCACACCACTATTAAAAAAGGTGGAAAGGAAAAGATGGGGAACTATAGGCCAGTTAGTCTTACATCAGTGACAGGAAAAATTTTAGAATCATTGATTAAGGATGTGGTAGTGTGGTATTTAGAGGAGCACAATATAATTAGGCCAAGTCAACATGGCTGTACAAAAGGGAAGTCATGTTTGAAAAATCTCATGGAATTTTTTGAGGATACTTTGAGTAAACTAGGTAAGGGTGAATCAGTGGATGTGGTCTATTTGGACTTCCAGAAGGCATTCGATAAGGTGCCGCATGAAAGGTTAGTCCAAAAGATAGGGGCCCATGGAATTGGGGGGAGCATATTAACGTGGTTTGGGGAATGGTTAACGGGTAGGAAACAAAGAGTAGGGATAAATGGATCCTTTTCAGATTGGCGGGATGTGACTAGTGGAGTGCCACAAGGATCAGTCCTTGGGCCTCAGCTATTTACCATCTACATCAAAGTTAATATATCTAAATTTGCGGATGGCACAAAACTAGGAGGAAGTATCAACACAGAGGATGACATTAAAAAAATGCAGCGCGACATAAGATAGGTTAGGTGATTGGGAAGGTAGGTGGCAGATGAAGTATAATGTAGAGAAGTGCGAAGTCATCCATCTACGTAGCAAAAGCAGTAGAGCGGGTTATTTTTTTTAGAAGGGGAGAGATTGGAATGTGTTAGTGTCCAGAGAGACTTGGGTGTCCTTGTACACCAATCACAGAAAGTTAGTCTGCAGGTGCAGCAAACAATTGGGAAGGCTAACGGTATGTTAGCATTCATTATGAAAGGATTAGAGTATAAGAGTAGGGAAGTCTTGCTGCAACTGTATAGGGCCCTGGTGAGACCACACCTGGAATACTGTGTGCAGTTTTGGTCTCTTTATTTAAGGAAGGATGTACTTGCCTTGGAGGGGGTGCAGCGTAGATTTACTAGGTTACTACCAGGGATGAAGGGGATGAGTTACGAGGATAGTCTCACCAATTTGGGCCTATATTCTCTAGAATATAGAAGAATTAGAGAGGATTTTATAGAAACCTATAAGATCATCAAAGGGCATGATAGAGTAGATAGTGGGAGATTGTTTCCCCTGGTTGGAGAAACTAAAACCAGGGGTCACAACCTTAAATTCAGAGGCCAGCCCTTTCGCACTGAGTTGAGGAAGAACTTCTTCACTCAAAGGGTGGTGAATGTATGGAACTCGCTATCCCAAAGGGCTGTTGACGCACAGTCCTTGAACATATTCAAGACTGAGATAGATATATTTCTTATTGCAAAAGGGATTAAGGGATATGAGGATAAGGCAAGGTTATGATATTAGCTGGAGTTAGATTAGAAGATCAGCCATGATTGAATGGCGGGGCAGGCTCGAGGGGCCGAATGGCCTACTCCTGTTCCAACATGTTATGTTAAATAATATAGCCTATCTCAGAAATGGAAGTTGCTGTTTTTCTGACAGATACTTAGAAAGACTGGTAGAGCGGAGTGTAAAGAAATTGTACACCTTTTGTTTTAACATCTGCTTTTTTTACAACATGGTTCATAGCCCTTTATTTTTGTACAACCACTAATACTTATATTTATCCGTTCAATCATACAAAGGTCCGATTTATTTTTTTAGCAGCCCTGTTAATTTCACACAAAGAAAACTTCCGAGTGTGAATATTGCAAATTAAATGGGCTAAGAAAAAGATCGGTTCACACTAGTAAATGCAGTCTTGGGCAAATGTCAGAAATCTTAATTATGCAAGTGTGATTAATCAGATTGTATAATGGAAAACACCACTTAATTGTAAACTTATTTAAAAATATTTGTGCATGAATACAGTACATTTACCAATATGTAGTTGGTCTGGCGAGAAAAGCAAGACATAGTCATATTTCACTGTACTCATCTCTGAGGACATAGTAATATAAATTTGATACTTCCACTCATCGAATCGAGCTCTGCATATGAAATTGTGCTTTGGCAAGAGAAGCATGAAAGGTCATAGAAAACGTTTGTTGCATTAAGAAGTATATATGTACAGTATATCTTGAGAAATTCCTGGTACCTGCTGTCCTCCAAGCAATGGGTTCAAATGTGTGCTTGTCAGATGTTTCACAACTAACTTTAACTATCCTCTTGGAAGAAAGGGGTGAAGGTAAGCAGGATCTCCTTACGACTGAGTTGGCTCCATGTGACAAGCCTGACAATAAAATATTGGAATCAAGTCAGTCCTCTAGGTGTCTTGAGTAGTCCAGTTCCTGAACTAGGCAGGTCCACAGTACTCAAAAACACTTTTGATGATGGATTGCAGCCTGCTTTATTAGGCTGGAGGAACAGACTTGGAGGAACAGATCAGTCACTGGAGCTGGGGTTCTTCCATTTCGCTCTTGTTAACCATGCAAGCTAAAGCTTTCACTGAAATCAGCAAATGGGAAGCTTGCCATTGTTTGTAATAGCAAGCTGTGCAGTATACTCTGGGTGCTCAAGCCTTGCCAACCCATGCCTATACCCACTGGGATTAGGCAAACATGGTGCATCCCTCTTTGGGAGAGTACTCACTCCATACCAGATAAACAGAAACCTGTGTGGAACACTCAGTAGTTCAGTATGAGGACTATTAAGCATGGTGATAATTTCCATGTGTGTTAGACGTCTGGCCAATAATACTAATAAAAAAAAAATGCCAGTGTCTTGGATGATGAAGAATGATCCTTAAATTTGACACAGTGCCTTTCACGTCAGGAGGACTTCCCAAGGCAATTTTAAAGAGTAGTGACTGTGTTTTGTGGACAAACGCGGCAGCAAATTGCGCACAATGTCCCACAAACAGCCATGATTTGAATGGCTAATTTTATTTGGGGGATTATCGGCCAGAACACTAGGAAAAACTATAGTGCCATGGGATCTTGAATGTCCACCTGAATAGACTCAGTTTAATGTCTCATCTGAAAGATGGCAGCTCCAACAATGAGGCACATCCCCAGCACTGTACTAAAATGTCAGTTTAGACAAGATGAGTTCCAACTCTCATCGTGAGGCTTGAACCCACAACCTTCTGACACAGAAGTGAGATTGCTACCAATCTAGCCAGACTGACACATTCTAGACTTGTTGAGATTTCTCTGAACGTGCTATTCTCTGTTGGGAACTAAACCTCGACTGCTAGAACTACCAAACGATGTGACCCACCATGCCTGGTGTTGGTGTTAGCCCTCCTAATGGAGCTACCCACAAGAGTAGTTTCTCTTGCTCGTCGGACAATAACCTTTCATAATATTTTCCCTCAAGTATTTATCCAATTCCCTTTTAACTGCTGTTTTAGACTAAACATGCATCTTCTACTATTTATACATAGATTATGATTATGTGTTTTTTTATAAGGAAGCATCACATAGAATTGCATGTACATTGTGTGATATTTAATAAGATGATGTTGGATTTGGGACCATGGTAAATTAGCAATTGCAGAGCAGCTAAAAATATGTCAAAGCAGCAGGGAATTCAAAATCTGTCCCGAAGTGAAAAAAAAATCAGTGTAACTAATTGGATGTTTAATACAATTTGAAATACTGTGAGTAAAGAAGACATTTTTGCCTTTCAGTTCAGTGACCTGGCTTAGCAGACAATTATACTTCTGTTGTTGAACTGTTAACTGGTAATTTCTACTGATCCTACAGCAGGGGAATCGAATTGGATAACTGGTGGGGAGCTTGTAATGACATATGCCCAATGGTCCAAATAACCTTCCTCTTCGTCAGGGTGGTCCATTCATTTGGCAGTTGAGGGCCGGGTGCCCTATTTGAGAAATGGCTGCATAAGCAACATTTTTGTGTTTCCCTTCCAGAAGGGATACAGAGGGAATGTATTAAATAAACAATGCAGTCAAAAAAAAACAATCATATACCAGAAGCCAAAGTCATTTCAAGATATTTTTTTCCAGCCTCACTCTTCTGTTCATCCCACTTTGATCAGCAAACCCAGTCCTGCAATGTGTTCCCACTCCCTCCACCAAACCTTCAGGTACTTTGTTCCCACCTTCACGAACTCCCACTTCCAGCCCCTCAACCTCACCCCCTCTCTATCTGTCTTCAAAAGCAGTCTTAAAAAATCCTCCTCTTCGACTGTGTCTTGTCACCTCCCTCCTCCTCAACCCCCACCCACATCAATAAACGTGCTGTTTCTAAAGAGCATCAAGATGTCATTCTAAACGAAGCGCACCATACATACAGATGGTTTGGAGTTGAAGCAGGTAAAAGAAAAAAATATGTTCTGAAAAATTAGTCTATAAAATCAATAAAAAATTAAATTTATGTTTTCATTTTATTATACAAGCACCTGTTTTGCACTTTTTTTTATATCCAGCACTGCTGCCTCATACTAACAGAATGATCCAATTTTTTTTTCTGCTGCTCGAAGTGTGTTCTTGGTTATAGACAGGGAGGTCTCTGGGCTGGTGCAAGTCTTGGACAAATCCAGTACCCTACAGAAGACTCATGTGTGTGTTTAAAATAATAAAGTGATTTGATAGGGTAGCTCCTGAGAAACTATTTCCTCTGGTGAGTGAATCCAGAACAAGGGAACATAATCTTAAAATTAGAGCTAGGCCATTTAGGAGTGAAACAAAAACAGAAGTCGCTGGGAACACTCAGCAGGTCAGGCAGCATCTATGGAGAAAGGAAAGTGAGTCAATGTTTCAGGTCCACGACCTGACGAAGGGTCGTGGACCTGAAACATTGATTCACTTTCCTTTCCATAGATGCTGCCTGACTTGCTGAGTGTTCCCAGCAATTTCTGTTTTTGTTTCAGATTCCAGGATCTGCAGTATTCTGAGTTTCATTTAGGAGTGAGATCGGGAAGCATTTTTTCATGCAAAGGGAATACAAATCTGGAACTCCTTCCCAAAATGGATGCTGGATTCATTCGAATTTTCACTGGGATGGATAGATTTTTCTAAGGTCAGGGTATCGAGGGATATGGGGCAAAGACATGTAATTAGAGTTGAGGTACAGATCAGCCATGATCTAATAGAACGTAGAACAGGCTTGAGGGGCTGAATGACCTACTCCTGTTCGTATGAGGGTATTCTTGGGCATGATTCACTCTTCAGGACTGTTACTGCACTATTACAGTGGTCCAACTCAGGACATTGAGCCCAAATGTTGACTTTCAACTGAGATCAACTAATTCAACCCAAGGATTGAACCTGGTACTTTTCTTGTCTGTATTGCTCAGCTAATCACTGGAAACGCCTGCTGAGCTATTAAGAGAAATTGTTTTATTGGTTTGCTGAATAAGTCATAGATGAGGCTTACTTTTGTATTTCATTCTGAAAATAAAGGGGTACAAATGAGCAGGCAAAAGTCATCCTGTTTGGGATGAGATGCACTTTCCACTTCCCTCTTACACTCCCATTGTGTATCAATGGAAGCATTTGCAGGGATGTGTTGTATAAAATGACCCTTTAAAGTGTTTGCACAATGTGTAAAATACATTGATTAAAAGGGAATAAAAGGGTCACTGTCACCCACTGTAAAAAAAAGGAATTTAGTGAAATTTGAACACAATTGTGTGTTGAAGAACAGGAAGTTCTTTGAATGCCCTGCACACAAAAGCAACTTTGTTTTTTCCAGCACGTGTCAGTAATATTTATTACTATTGCTGATGCAAACTAGAAGCCAAAGCGTTTGCACTTGCCCTGCTCTGCTCAGAAGTTTTTTTCTTGTAATCTACAAATGTCAAGATGATTCCGCTGAATGTCAAGTGCTATTTCTGTTGAATGATTTTTTTTGTTTCAAGAATATTTAAATGTGGTTTCAAATCCAGTAACAGGAAGTCTAAGGGAACTAAATGTATCAATTAGTTATTGCTGCCATAGTAGCTTGCCTTTTTATTCATCAAGAAGCCAGGCCACAGTTCAATAAAACACAAAGTACTTAAGTTCCTTTGGCATCTGGTAGCATGAAAACAAGCTTTCCATCACAAATCTAAAACAATTGTTAAAATATATAAAATAGTTTATCTCTAGTGAAAGTAAAATTGCATACCTGCGTTAGATGAGTAAACAGGCAAATTCCTATTAGCTGTTGGACTGGAATTTACAGAAATTGAAGTTATGCAATGATAAAGCTACATACTTTCCATTTGTGAATGAACATAACATGTTGAACAGTGCTTGCCATGATTGCAATATGGTAACATGCAAGCTGTTCAAGTACTGAATAACAGTTCTTTTCTGGTCAAAGCTGTGAATGAAATCTACTTTGAAAAGGTTAACACAATTCTATTCACTGAATGGTTAGAATAGTGTTCATTTCCTGTTGTTCTTACTACAAAGCCAGTTCCTGCTTCTTTGGTTTATTTGCTACATATTTTCTTCTTATCTGACAGAATTTCTTCTGGGTTTTCTTATGCAATTTGAGTTCACCTTCAATTTCTTTCCCTTTTTTTCCCTATCCATCTTTCTTTCAAAATCGATTGTGTACTAATTCCTATGATTCTGTAAGACTGTCTGACCATGGTGAGAAAATAGTTGTTTTACACAAAGGACTGCTTTTTATTTGGTGATTTTATTGACTGAAGTTTTAATTTAAGAACTTGCTGGTAAATCAACTGGTGGATCAACAAATAGAAAGATTTCAAACTGGTTTTATTGTTCACATAAGACGTTGTCATGTTTTGCTTTAAACTGAATTTAGACCTTAATGCTGCAATGGGCACTGTGGGATCGAGTTCCAGGTGGTGGGGGCAGAGAGGCTGAAGGCTCACCCGCCAATGGGCAAGGTGTGGGACGTGAAGCAGGCCAGAGCCAATGCGGAACTTCTGCATCCTGTCCCTTGTTGACCATATCACCGCCATCTTCGCCCAACTGCACCGGCTTCCCATCACACAGAGGATACAGTTCAAGATCCTAGTCCTTACCTGCAAAACCCTCCATGGTCCTTCTCCCCCCCTACCTCTGTGACCTCCTAACCCCCTACCAACCTGCCAGCACAATCTGCTCAGTGGGCTCCGGCCTCCTTCACGTCCCCCGCCTTGCCCGCCCCATGGCGGGTGAGCTTCCAGCCACTCTGCCCCCACCCTCTGGAACTCCATCCCGCAGCCCCTCTGCCTCACCCCCTCCCTTACCTCCTTCAAGACCCATCTCAAAACCCTCCTCTTCGACCATGCCTTTGATCACCCTCCTTCCCCGTGTGCCCTCCATCCTCCCCAATCCCAACTCCCAGCTCGGTTTGGAAACACTGATTGTTCAGCTCCTTGGGATGTCCTCCCGACGTGAAAGGCGCTATACAAATATAATTTTGTTGTTGTAGTAGTCCATTCTCATACTCCACATGAGCCCTAACCCATTCTGCTCCACAAGCCTTTACTGCTCAATTCCCTTTTCCCTCATGTATACATCAAGCATTCACTTCCTGGCTATTTGTGGGCGATTGCTGTATGCAAATTGGTGCCTTCAAAGTACAAAGTCACTATGCTTTTTTACAGCATACCCTCTGAAGTGTTCTTGCTGATTTCCCCAGTTTTACCGTCCATAATTTCCAGCTCATCCAAAATTTTGCAACCTTTATCCTCATCTGCATCAAAGCCCACTGGCTCCTTATCTTCACCCTAACAACTTCAAGGTCCTCACATATAAATCCCTTCATACCATTTCCTAGCACTGCCCTATCTTTCTGATCTGCTGATATCCTGCTTCACTCACTTGCCAGTTCACTCTACTAACCTAGTGCCCCACCCCCTCTGCACCTCTATCAGTGGCCAGGCCTTCAGTCTGGATCTGGAACTATCTGCCTCTATCCCTTTACCTCATCTTTAAATTCACCTTAAAAACTGCCTTTCCAACTGTGCTGATGTGCCTACTTTCCCTTGATCTGAGTACAACACCACCAATAAAGCACTGTAAGATGTAATGCCCCATGAAGCATGCTGTATGAATGCAAGTTGTTGCTACTACAAAATTGTTCCTGTACTATGGTGACCAGAACTGTACCGGTCTTCCAAATGTGGTCGAACCAAGTTTAGAATTCAACATGACGTCTCTGCTTTTATAAATTAATAATAATAAAATAATCCTTGCCTTTGCTTCAGCGCTTTATCACGTATTCGAGATGTCTCAAAGCGCTTCACAGAATATACTGTAAAGTGAATTGACTGGCAGCCAATTGCGCACAACAGTGTCCTACAAACAGTCGTGGATTGAGTGACTGAATTATTATTATTCGCCTCTGCCGCATCTACTCTGACGATGCCACCTTTCATGCCAGAGCAGCTGAAATGTCTTCCTTTTTCCTCGACCGAGGATTCCCATCCACTGTTGTAAGCAGGGCCCTTGATCATGTCCACCCTATTTCCTGCCCCTCTGCCCTCGCCCCTTCCCCCTCTTCCCAGAACTGTGATAGGGTCCCCCTAGTCCTCACCTTCTACCCCACCAACCTCAACTTCCAACAAATAATTCTTCGCCATTTCCGGCACCTCCAGCGTGATCCAACCACCAAATCTATCTTTCCTTCCCCTTCCCTCTCAGCATTCCAAAAGGACCGTTCAGTCCGTGACTCCCTGGTTCATTCCTCCATCACCACCAACAGTTGCTCTCCTCTCCCCAGCAGCTTCCCATGCCAGCGCAGGAGATGCAGTACCTGCCCTTTCACCTCCTCCCATACCACTGTCCAGGTCCCCAAACACAGTTTTCAAGTGAGACAGCGATTTATATGTTTTACCACCAATGCAGTTTACTGGATTTGCTGCTCACGATGTGCTCTCCTCCACATTGTGATTTGCTGAACACCTCCGTTCTGTCCACAAGCACAACTCTCAGCTTCCGGTTACTTGCCATTTCCAATTCTCCCTCCCACTCGCACCCTGACCTCTCCATCCATGGTCTCCTACGCTGTTCCAATGAGCCACAGTGCAAGCTCGAGGAACAGCACCTCATTTATCTACTAGGGACATTTATCCTCAGGGCTCTGTCCTCGGTCCCCTCCTCTTCACCCTTTACATGCTCCCCCTTGGTGACATCATCTACAGTCGTAGAGTCAATTTCCACATGTATGCGGATGACACACAACTCTTATCTGTCTGCCTCCACGCTCAACTCCGGGACTGCTGACGTCCTGACCGACTGCCTGTCCGACATCAAGTCCTGGACGAGGGACAACTTTCTCCAACTCAACGTCAGCAAGACCGAGGCCCTCCTGATTGGCTCACGCCAGCACCTCCACATCTCAGGCGCTGGCAGCATCAGCCTCTACGGCTGCACACTCAACCTCACTTTCAAGACCATCCATGGCCTTGCCCCCTCCTGCCTCTCTGACCTGCTGACTCCTCATCAACCTACCCGCTACCTCTGTTCAGCGGGCTCCGGTCTGCTCCATGTCTCCCGCCTGACCCGCCCTACCATCAGTGGCCGGGCTTTCAGCCTCTCTGCCCCCACACTCTGGAACTACATCCCACGGTCCCTTCGCCTCGCTTCCTCCCTTTGCTCTTTCAAGGTGGGTTTCTTCGATCGTGCCTTTGGTCGCCCTCCCACCTCTCTGCCTTCTCTCACCCCTACACCCTCCCTTCCCCATGCTTGGGCCCCGACACGTGACTGTTCAGCGCTTTGGGACGTCCTCTTGATGTTAAAGGCGCTCTATAAATGTAATTTTGTTGTTATTGATTTCAACTATTTCGGACCATAACAGCTCACCTTCCCCCTCCCACTCTTCTGTGACCATTACCACATCATCTGAGTCCCAGACACACCTTTTTTCTCTCTGATCTGCCTCTTTTGTTGCAGTTCCCCCCTCTTGTTTGTTTTGCATCATTAACACCTCTTTAACCCATCACCCCTGTCCTCTACCCCATTTTCTCCTTTGTCTTCTTTGCCCTGCCTCTCCCCTCTCTGTTTGCCCATAAAAGCCTCTCCCTCCCAACATGTCCCAGTTCTGACGAAGGGTCCTAGATTCAAAATGTTGACTCACTTTCCTTTCTCCATAGATGCCGCCTGACCTGAGTGTTCCCAGCGATTTCTGTTTTTGTTTCAAATTATAATTTTTTTTAAAAAGGGGATTATCCCGCAAAAGTCATCCCCCAACGGACTGACAACTGGGATCACATTTACTGCTCGGTAAACCGAGGCGTGCAGAGTACGGAAACTTGCCCGTTGAATCCAGTTCCTCTCGCTTGCGAGGCCATCGCTCTAACCACGAAGCTACAGGACTCCATAACATTTAGAAACGATAACATTTAACGGCAATAGGCTGGTGGAGGGGAAAGGGCAGTTGAGTCATTTTGTTGAATTGTGAGGAGCAGATCAGTGAGAGGGCGGATTCAGCTTCCACGACAACATCAGAAAAGGCCGACTGTCCAACCCCTTGGGACGTCCTCCCCAAGTAAAAGGCACTCCTGTACAAATATAATTTGTTGTTGTTATTGCTGTTGCCAGAAATTAAAACACGTTTGTAGCCAATCACGAGCCCAAAAGTAGCCCAATATTATCCGTCGCCTCCTACAGCGAGCAGAGAGGCTGATTTAGGTTTTACTGCTTTCGAAACTATCAAAGGAAAGGTCTTTAAAGGAGACCTCACCTACAAGGCCATTCACGGCCTTGCTCCCTCCTACCTCTCCAACCTACTATCCCCCTACCTACCTGCCCGTACCCTCCGTTCCTCTGGCTCCGGTCTGCTCCACGTCCCCCGCCCCAACCGCCCTACCATCGGTGGTCGGGCCTTCAGCCTCTCAGCCCCCAGGCTCTGGAACTCCATCCCCCAGTGCCTTCGCCGCCTCCTCCCTTTCCTCCTTCAAGGCCGGTCTCAAAACCTTTCTCTTTGACCGAGCCTTCAGCTCCCCTCTCGACTCTCTTCCCCCTCCTCGCTCCCTCCCTTCCCTCCCCTCACCCTGACCATTTCCCCCCTCCTCGCTCCCTCCCTTCCCTCCCCTCACCCTGACCATTTCCCCCCTGCTCGGGTCATGACCCAACTGTGCAGCGCCTTGGGACGTCCTCCTGACGTGAAAGGCGCTTTATAAATGGAATCTTGTTGTTGTTGTTGTTGTTTAAAGGAGAGAGGGGGGAAAAAAAAACTTCTGCGGGTTTAAGTGAAACACTTATAAATTAGGCACCCGCCCAAAGCCGTCTTCGTCGCGTGCAGTAGCAACAAACCCCGCCCAATTGGGCGTGAATCCGCTCCAAGCTGACCGCGGTGTGCGGAGACTTCACTCTGGCTTCCCATTGCCTGGGGCGGGCGGGCGGGTGCGCGCTTCTCATTGGTCGGGGCGGCCGGGCGCTTCTCATTGGTCGGGGCGGCCGGGCGCTTCTCATTGGTCGGGGCGGGCGAGCGCTTCTCATTGGTCGGGGCGGGCGCGCGCTTCTCATTGGTCGGGGCGGGCGCTTCCTATTGGGCCGAAGCGGGCGGGCTCCCAGAATGCCGCACGCTCTGAGGCCTGCGGGGTAGCGGCAGCGTGTGAGCAGCGGTACCGCGAGGCCTGATTGAGCCGCCGTTCCCTTTCCTTTGCGCCTCCTTCACTCACTCCTCATCCGACATGGGAGTCCCGGCGTTTTTCCGATGGTTGAGTCGCAAGTACCCGTCCATCGTGGTGCACTGCCTGGAGGAGCGGGTGAGTGAGGGAGGGAGGGAGGGAGGGAGCGAGCGGGCGGGAGGCGCAGGCCTCAGGCTTACAGCTCGTCACGGCCTCTCCCCTCCCCCCCGCCCCCGAGGCCCTGCCCGACCCCCTCTCCCCCCGCGTCATGTTTTTGTTCCCGTAAAAAAAACTCCCGAGTCCAGGCCGTGACCGCTGAGGCCGCTTCACTCTGACGCACTTCGCCCCCCGTCTCTGGCCGTTTACCGTCTCCGATGCCTTATTACGCGCACTTTATTCGGGACGTTGACACTTGAAATGGAGTTTTTAACTTCCTTCCTGGTCCCGAGTCGCGGCGCAGCGCCTGTGGTTTTTTTTGTGTCGTCGTCGTTGTTGTTGTTGTTGACTCTTCTTCAAAGGGGGTCGATTTTCCGGACCCTCGCGTTCGTTTTCAAATCCCTTCCACGCCCTGTGGCAGTCCTCTCTCCCTCTCCGATCCGCTTACCCCCCATCGCCCCCCCTCCACCCCCCCAAAAATAAACTCTGGAATACTCTTCCTGTGTACCTCCGCCTTGTCCCGATCCTTCCCCACCCCCATTTTCAGGTTGCGCGTGAAGAGCTTCCTATTCGCCTTTGCGAGCGAGACACCCGGGTTCAATTCCAGGCAGAGGGCGAAATCTCGGGCACGTTCCCTTACTCCACACAGAGCCCTAATAAAATAAAACGATAATAAATTGGGTCATTTTCAATCCACGACTGTTTGTGGGACACTGCTGTGCGCAATTGGCCGCCGCGTTTCGCCCACAAATATACGGTCAATTCACTTTACAGTCTATTCTGTGAAGCGCTTTGAGACGTTCTAGAAGACGTGAAAAGCGCTATATTAAACGCAAGGATTATTATTATTATTCGCCCATGTCTACGGTCGCCTCCCCCTCTCTCCGGCTCCGAGTCGTGCTCCGCCACAGTCGAGCGCTCTGGTACGCTACCCTGCGTGAAGGCGCTATACAAATGCAAATTGTTGTTGTTGGTTCACCAGCTTGTGAACTTATGTAGCTTATGTAGCAGCATTTCCTCACGCATGTTAAAAACATGTAAGGGTACTGCAACTCTAATGTATGGATCTAAAAGAGAATGGTAAAAATGATAGCATTGAAGCAGGCCATTTGGCCCATAGAGTTTACCCTTGTGTTCGCCCCTCAACAAAAGCTGAGCAGCTCTGATCTGATTTACATGCTCCCTCACCATACTCTTTTATTCTCTTACCATCTTCCACGTGGGAGAGGTAAGCAGGGTCCCCTTGGAGCTGCGCTACCTCCAAGGTGATGCGCTTGGTAATTGAATGTCACAATCAAGTCAGTCATCTGTGGCGATCTTGGTTATCTGGTTTCTGAGGCCGGTGGGTCCACAGTATTTTGGGGGCACTACTGATGACAGACTAGTCAGCCTGGCTTATCAGCAGGGCTAAGAAGGGCAGACACAGTCACTGAAAACTGTCAATTGAGTCATAATGCATAATACAATGTTTTGTGTTCAACAAATCAGGAGTTCTTCTGTACTGTTACGCAGACAGAGTCTTTTCTCTTGTAGGTGTCCCCACACTGTCCCTCACTAATTTTGTGTGGTGTCCTTTTCTCACTTCCTGTTGTTCTCCCATTTTATTTTTCTCTTTCCCTCCAACAACAACAACTTGCATTTATGTAGCACCCCTCACACAGGGTAGTGTCCCAGAGCATTTGACCATGGTGGTGCATGACTTGTATTTTACCTGAATCAGTTTGTTGAATGACCAAACGTGGCCTCACTATCAGCTCACTTGCACTCAGGAAAATTCTCCAGTTATGTGGATACACAATATGATGCTCCAATATAACTAATACAATTATGACATGGTTGTTGGTGGAATGGTGGTCAGTGCTTCTGACATTGTATACAGAAAGATATTGAGAAACTTTGTGTAACTAGTTGCCAACATTTATCTCAGTCAAATTTATAAAATATTCCTTTATGGCAAAGCATTCCATTTTCTACAGCACTTTGTGAAAATGTTTATTTTAATCTTCCCTTTAACTCTTCCACTGAGAACTCTGATCTCATGCTCCAATTTACTAACCAATGGGAATACAGTAAACTCTTGATACCTCACCCCTGGTTTAACTCATCACTACCACTAAAGTAATCATGTTGTTGATATCCCGGCTGCAATTACTTGTGTTTATACGTGCATCTAACTCGGCACTCCCGATAACTTGACACTGAGCCTTTTCCCTTGAGTGATGAGTTATTATTATATTTCATAATTTATACACTCAGCACTTCCAAATTTCCAAGCAAATCCACTCGTTCCCCCCATCCTTAGCATCGTTCTTGTGAACTTCACTGTGTCCTCTCCATGGCTGTAATGTCCTTTCTTTAATTGACTACTTTCAGCCTTCCAATTGCAGCCCAGATATCATGGTTCTTTTGGAAAAACTACAAACTTTTGATTTGAGTATCTTAATGCATGTGATGATGTCAGGAAGCCTAACCCTCCATAACAAAGAAAACGTTGTTTTAATCCGATTTCCAGCCTGAAATAGGTGAAAGATTAATTATGTGCCTTAACCTTTCACCTATTTTTCGATAAAAAAAGCTGAAAATGAAAGAGACAAAGCATCCAAATTTACCTCCTAGACCAATGCTTGATCAATGCAATTAATACAATCAATTGTTGAAGTAACATTACTTGAAAGTCAGCAGCTGCTTTCTTTTTGTTACCACATCACTGGAAAGGTACAGGAAAACAATATGATGTAAAATGGATGCGTTGTCAAGAAAAATTAAGTCTAGAAGATGCACTTCATCAAAGTACATAAAATATTCAATGCTAAAATGAGAGAAAATCAGATTATGGCTTGAAAGTAGAACATAAATGGAAACTGGTAAAAAGTAAATTTACAATTGATTTCTGGAAAAATGCCTTCTCTGCAAGAGCAAAGATTCTTCGAATCAACGCAATGTTTTTCAGCATACAATTAGATGCAATAATGGGAATTGGCCATGCGAATGATTTTTTTTCCCAGTGCCAGTTTTAGGTATTGCAAACCCTGTGTCATAATTGATCCAACTTTGGAATTCTAATTTAGCCCAAGTGAATAAGACCTGAGGAATTTATACGACATTGTTGGATGCTGTTCAGCAAAACAGTTTTGGAAAATAATTGAAATAAAAACAAGTTGCTGGGAACATGCAGCAGGTTAGGCAGCATTTATGGAGAGAGGAAATGGAAAATAATTGGCTTATTTGGACAAGTGATTATGTACTAAATCCAATGTTGTGCTGTATTAAGTGATGCTCGTCATGGAAACTGTTACCTGGTGCAATAAAGTAATTATAGTACAAACATGGAAGGTGTAGCTTTCTTGGTTGGCTAATCAATTCAGATAAACAAATTTCAACTAATGTGAAGTTACAAATGTAGAACATTATGCTATGAATACAAAGTAAATAGAATTGTAATCTGAGATTTTAATGTACTGTATATAAATGTGGATGTTTTCAGAATGGATGGATTCAGTTAAACAAGCTCCATTAAATAGGCTTACTGTGCCTGAATTGCCNTTTTTCTCAACTGGCTATGTACCAAAAGTGAGGAAGTAGTCTTAAAGCTAGTATTGGTTGAGCATACTGGAGAGTGGTGTCAGGGAAGGACAGACATGCTATGCGTGCAAAATCTCATAAATTAATCTCATACAAAAAAAAGGTTTTGGCCCTTGAAATTCATCTTATTGTTTCCCAGAAAATTCAGCTTTTTTTAATTGCAATTTATTTTTTCTGTATAATTTTAGAAGTTTATGTGCAAAACGATGCATTCACAGAACTAGATTTTTATTTGCATCTTGGTTTCTTTGTTTCGCAGGTGAAAGAAGTTAATGGAGTTAAAATTCCTGTGGACACCAGCAAACCTAATCCAAATGAAGTGGAGTTTGATAACCTCTACTTGGACATGAATGGCATCATTCATCCATGCACACATCCAGAAAACAAGTAATGTTTTTTTCCATAATAATTAGATTTCTTTTGTATTTGTTACAAAATTCTAACACTTGTTTTGAATCTACTTTGCAGGGCTGCCCCTAAAAATGAGGATGAAATGATGGTGGCAATATTTGAATATATTGATCGATTGTTCAACATTCTTCGACCAAGGCGCCTTCTTTACATGGCAATAGATGGAGTAGTGAGTGCCTATTTTACTGAATCCAAAGCACTAGTTAATTGAGCTACTAATTACCTGAGATCCTTGAGGTTATCTGAATTAAATTGGTATTTAGAACCACTTTTCTTAAGGCTTTGTTCTGGTAATTTTCAAATTTTAATTTTTCTGCTGTGTCGCGGAAGATCTTGTGGCCTGTATTGACCACCAAATCGCAAATTATTTTTGGTCAGCCGAGTGTCTGACACATGCGGAAACCCATCACCATGCTGAAAGAGTATCCAAAACAAGCTGAGATTTTCAAACATCCCACCTACACATGGAAATCTCAGAGATGGATTGTTGGATTGGAATGCACACTCTCTCCCTGGTGGGAGACGCATCTGCTCACCTAATTCCGGAAAGTGCAGATTGGCAAGAGCTAAGGCTTGGTGACTCTAAGAGTGTGTGTAGAGTACTGCTGGAATCTAACCAGCTAAGACCGCACAGCTTACCACTGATATTGCTGTCTGGCAAGCTTTCCCGCTGCTTGTCCAGCTAGGACCACCCTACCAATTAGGGCTTTGGCTTGCAGGGCTAACAGGAGCTGAGTGGGATGACTCCTGCCCCCAGTGACTGGTCTGCCCTTCCAGGTCCTGCCGATAAGCCAGGCTGGGCTGTGCTGTCATCAGCAGTGGCCTGGAGTCCTGTGGACCTGCCTGGTTCAGGAATCGGACGATAGATCGCCACAGAGGGCTGGCTCCATTCTGATATTCCATTGGCAGGCATGTCACCTTGGAGCCCATTCCAGACCAAATCACAAAAATATCTAAATTTGTGAAATTATTGCACATTTTCAGACTTTCCTTCCTGCAAGCATGAAATATTTTGACACAATACAGATTTGCTAGAAATACAAATTAAACAGTTGAACATTATTGTAGTGAAGGGCATAAATGAATTGTACAAGTATTTATGTAGCATGCAACATGTTTTGGTGTGCTAATGCAGCCTTTTAATTTTGCTTTTACAGCATTTTATATTGGTTGAATCGTGGTGCTGTGCATTTCACTGTGTTGAGAAGATAGATTTGAAAGCAGCAATTTCCATCTTTTTTTTCTTGTGGATCTCTGATTACTAATGTATTCAGGCCAGAGAAACAAAAACTGCCTGTTTACTCCTGGAAAATTGATAGCAGCCAGTTCAGAGGCAACATCTATGCGTTGCTCTAGGTGGTATCCTTGGATACCAGAGGTGTCAGTGAAAAATAAGGGAAACTGAAGTACATAGCTAAAATTATGCTGTTATGTTGCCAGATATTCTCAGGTTGTATACAGGATCTGAATGAAGTCTTGTTCATTTTACTATTGCTTTTCCTGTGGCTTCTATCATGTATTCTTTTCTGATCCTGGCCTTTTATGTACGAAAAAAGTATATTTCCTTTAGCCTCTACACCCCAAGACTGGAACTCTGTGTCTCAATCCCTCCGCCTTGCCCCCTCCTTGCCTTTCTTCAGATCATACCTGAAGTCCTTTCTCTTCAACTGTGCCTATGGTTACCTCTCCTCTCTCTCCCTGGCTCTGCCACTGTTAAGCGCTCATAGACACTATGCCTCATGAAGGGTGTTGTATAAATGCAAGTTTTTTTTAGTTGTTGATTCCAAAAATCTAATATATTTTGTGCATGAGTGAAGATTCCCAAAGGCTGTAATTTATAGCTAGGAGTACAATACATGGAAGTCTCTTGATGGACATAAGGGTCTAAGGAGTATAAAGTAACACATGCCTTTCTATGCTCGGAGAACACAAGTGTTGGTTGACAGAAGGCAATCTATTGTACCACTGAAATTTTAACTAGTTAAATGTATGCAGCTAAACCATACGCTTCCAGCGTCTTGTCGAATCTGAACCACCCATCGGCTTGCAGGGTTATCAGGAGTGAAATGGGAAGAATTCAATCTTTCACTCTTTCTCTCCTACTCCAGGAAGCCTGTCCTATTGTCAATGACCTTGCATGCTGCAGATTTGCCGGGCTCCAATTTGACACGGGTGTCATTGAGTCAGAGACACACCCCTACCCGCACTGAACAGCTGACTTCAAATTTGCTTTTAAGATTCAATATTGCATATCAAAATTTCCTTGTAATTAAAGGCATTTGTTGTAAATCTATAACAGAACAAGATTTAAATCTGAAAGAGATATGCATGTCTCAACCATATTGGTTATTCCAGGCTCCTCGTGCCAAAATGAACCAGCAGAGGTCCAGAAGATTCCGTGCATCCAAAGAAGGAGTAGAATTGTTGGCAGAGAAAACACGAATGAGAGAAGAAGTGATTAGTAAAGGTGCAACATATTTTGATATTGATTTAGTGTTCTTTCTTTTACTTAATTGTTAGGATGGATAACTTAGATATAATAGGCATTCCATGGATCACTATGTTCTGAGGCCTTAAATTCCACCTCGACTTAGCCTATTTGTCATATTTAAGATTGCACAAAATTGTGGAAAACTCCTAAACTCAGTAATAATTTTGGAAGCCAATTCTTTTTCAGAACTGCAGGAGACTGGCATTCAAAATGTATTATTTTAAAAAAACTTGGTTTAAGTCAGAGTGGTCTGCAAGCTTAGACTTGGTGGAATTTAGGGCCTCTGGTGCTGCTGCACAAGATTTTAGTGGTTCTGATAATAAATAAAAATCTTTGTATTTGCTATAGTGCTTTTCATACCAGGAGGCCATTCCAAAGCGTTTCACAGGATTTACTGTGAAATTGAATGACTGTATTTGTAGGCAAACACAGCAGCCCAATTGCACACAGCAATGGCAAACAAATGACAAATTTTGTTTTGGAGGACACCAGTAGAAACTCTTTTCTGAGGAGGTGGTGCTGCCTGCATTAGCATAAAGATTGGATATCTTGCTTTTGTACAGTTAGTTTCCCTAGCATTGTCTTTCCTTTTATTTATAAATTTCCTTTTATTCTCTCCCCTCCAGCCAATGTTCATGCTTTTAGTTTCCTAATCTGATGGGCAGGTACCGATCTGGTACATCTTTTTCAAGCCTTGTGAATTAGATTCCCTCCCACATCAGGCTGCACAAATGGTAGCATGATTGCTGGCTTAAAGAAAGAGCCATGGGCAAGCAGGATAAAAATAATTAGGTACTTAAAATTTAAATATTCAGGACCTTATGTTATGAATCTAATGTTCTCTGTGGCTGCATATTAATTCTAACTTGCATTTTTAATCTGCACTATGTATAAATATGATACTACATCAACTAAAATCTGAACATTCCAGATTCCCCAACATTTTAAATGGATGTCTGACTCCAGGATAGGATAAAGGTTTCCAACTTGCTTTAACCATTTCAAGCAGTTTTGGCAGCAAACCAAGTTGGTAGCAATTTGTTTCACTGGAATCTTGATTATCTACCAATTTATATTATCCACAGGGGATGGTAATTATGGCAGATAATTGAAGTTCTACGGTATTAATTAACTTTCTCTAATTTACTGCTTTCATATACTAAACTTAGTTGAATATTAAGTGAAGTATCTATGTTTAAACAAGTTTAGGAAACTTACTGGAATTTTAATTTGGTGGATGCTACGGACTTTAGAATTTTTTTCGCACTATATAATGAGAAAAATCATGGAATTGGAAAAGAGTATTAGGCCCATCTACCTGTTTACTTGACAACTTGTGCACTAAGACTTCAAGACTCCCAACATTCATGCCAGTCTACATACTGCTCTTAACAAAACCTACTATCCGTGCAACCAGCATCCTATTTCTCAACAGATACTGATCCAGGAACTTTCTTAGACACCAGCCAATGATTATAATGATAATGCTTTTGAGCACAAAATCTGTATTTTTTTTAGATTTGGCTTTTAAGAACATACTAATTGCTCGTAAGCGTTAACATATACAATAATTAACATTCCACCTTTGCAGGCGGTTTCCTATCCGAGGAAGTAATTAAAGAACGGTTTGACAGCAATTGCATTACGCCAGTAAGTACTGATTCACTTGTTGAGAATGGATGAGTGAAGTTTAGTTTATATTACACTTGTTTGTATATTAATAATATTTGCATTTGATATAGTGCCTTATCGCATCTTCGAGACTTCTCAAAGCGTTTCACAGAATATACTGTAAAGTGAATCAGCTATTTTGCGGGTGAAACCCAGCGCACAGCAGCGTCCCGCAAACAGTCATGGATTGAGTGACCAAATTATCAGTATTTTTGAAATAATTGTTAACCTCAGAAAAGCAATCCGCCAATCAACTACAACCAGGTTCCTACTCATTGCTGGGTAAACAGACATGTGTACAGTGAAGTTTGGTGCTGATGTGTTGAATTACTCTATTAATTGATTCAAGGGAACCGAGTTCATGGACAACCTTGCACGGAGCCTTAGGTACTATGTTGCTGATCGCTTAAACAATGATCCTGGATGGAAAAACCTAACTGTAAGTGTTGGTTTGTTTTGAATTTTAAGATTTCTTTTGATCAGGATTTAACAAATATGTTATTAGTTTATTATTTATCCACTTTTTTTATAAATTAGTTTCCTTTCTGAATGCTTCAGTTACATATTCATTCACTGCATTATTTGGCAAGTAGTTCTGTGTGTGGGACATCTTTGTATTTTAGTTGGCTTTTTGAGCTTAAAATGATTTCTCCCAGTCTGTTTCAGGCAAATCATTCCTCTCTACTCACTTAGTTGAATTTCCCTTCCTTCTTCAAATCTTATATAGTATTTGTGCTATTTCTAATTCCCAATATTTCCTCATTTATAATTAATACTTTTGCTCAGTCAAATTGCTTTATTTTGACAAGTCGTTATTACTGTAGCTGTAACTTTTTTCAAAGTATTCAGATTTTGTGATCAAGTATGGTCACTACACTGCACCTACATCCGAGCCAAATGAGAATGTAAGACAGGTATCAACTTGGTTCAGTTGGTGCCACTTTTCATGGTCGATTGGTGGTTGGTTCAAATAACTGAACACGGCAGTGATACCCCTAATTTGGTTGTGCTTCTTTCTCTCTTTTTCTCCCTCCCTTGCTCCCACCTGTCCTTACAATTTTGTTTAGATTGATTGAGCAAAATATATGGCAATTTATGTGAAAGTGAGTGCAACATTGTGTGTGTGTGTGCATGTATATATTATATATTGTGTGTATATATAAACACAAGATAATTAACCAATATTTATATACTTTTATACCTTCCAGTGCCACACATTTATTTGAGGACCGCCTTTAAGTTTTAAAAAAGTAAAGAGATCGCAAGAGAAATCCCGAGTATTTGAACTGCTGTATTTGAACAAAAAATTGGATATTCGTCTTTCACTAGTCTATTTCATTGAAAAGAGCTTATATGGTCATTTTTTGTTTTTTATTTCAATCCGCCAGGTTATTTTATCAGATGCCAGTGTTCCTGGTGAGGGCGAACACAAGATCATGGATTTCATAAGAAGACAACGAGGTACTGTAAACTCTTGATAACTTGTCACTACTACTTAAGTCATCATGCTGTCACTATCCCAGCTGCATCTCTTTATGTACCTATACATATGCCTAACTCCCCACGCTGAATAACTCGTCATTGAGCCCATTCCCGTTGGAGTAACGAGTTCGCAAAAGTTTACTGTATTTGTGCAACTCATTTGTGGTGATTGAGGGAAGGTATGATCTTGCCTTTTGTTACTATAATTGTAACCTAAATCCTATAATTTTCTATTTACTTTACAGCTCAGCCAAACCATGATCCCAACACTCACCATTGTTTGTGCGGGGCTGATGGTGAGTTGCCGCGTTGTCATCTTTGGTGTAAACTGTGTAGGAAAATGTAACGTGGTATTGAAAATTGAGGGTTTTGAGGCGGGACTTGAAGGAGGCTAAGGAGGGGGTAAGGCGGAGTGATTGGGGGATAGAATTCCAGAAGTTCGGGGCAGAGTGGCTGAAGGCTTTCCCGCCAGTGGTGGGGCGTGTGGGTTGGGGGACGTGGAGCAGGCCGGAGCCGGCTGAGTGGAGGGAGGGGACGGATTGGTAGGGGTTTAGGAGGTCACAGAGATAGGGTGGGGCGAGGCATTGAAGGCTTTGTAAGTGAGGACCAGGATCTTGAATTGGATCTTCTGAAGGATAGGGAGCCAATGGAGTCGGGCGATAGTGGGGGAGATGGGGTCACGGAGTTTGGTGCAGAAGAAGACACGGGCTGCAGAGTTCTGGATTATCTGCAGCCTGTGGAGGGAGGAGTTGGGAAGGCCGACAAGCAGGGAGTTTGCATAGTCGAGCCTGGAGGTGATGAAGACATGAACAAGAGTTTCAGCGGCCTGAGGGGTGAGGTAGTGGCGGAGTCGGGCGATGTTACGAAGGTGAGGGAAGGCAGAGCGGGCCATGGATATGGGGAAGAAAAGACAGTTGAGGGTCGATTAAGACACCTAGGTTCCTGACTGGCTGGTGAGTTGAAGTGTGTAACCATTGAGGTTGATGCTGCCAGAGCCTGAGGTGCAGAGGCACTGGCGCGAGCCAATCAGGAGGGCCTCAGTCTTGTTCACATTCAACTGTAGGAAGTTTGCCCTCATCCAGGATTTGATGTCCGACAGGCAAGATGTCAGGACATCAAGAATTCGGTGATTATTGCAGCATTAAAATGCCTATATCAGTTCTATGTCTGGATAATAAACTTCTCCTGTTTCCTTTTCACAGCTGATCTTATAATGCTGGGATTAGCAACTCATGAACCAAACTTCACTATTATTCGAGAAGAGTTTAAACCAAATCAACCAAGGCCTTGTGCCCTTTGTGGGCAGATTGGTCATGAAATCAAAGAATGTCAAGGTTTGCCCAAGGACAAACAAGGACAGGTATAGTAATAGTCTGTTGTATGTACTTCAACAATATCTGAAAACAATCTATCAAATGAATACGTCACTTTATTATTGGTAAAATGTATGTAATTGGCTCTTTAGAAAAGTGCTGTGTGCATTGCTTGCAGAATTTACAGTGAGCTTGGGAAAACAGCAATTGTAACATTGAACTTTTTAAAGATGCACATTTAGCAAGAGAGAGAATAAGATATTGGGATTGTAGCATGGTGTATTTCTTAACATCTGTAGTATATACCCCAGTTACTGAGGAGTTATTCATATAGCAGCAGATTTCAGGTGGAGTTAAAATGCTATTCTACTTGTCAGCGGGGAAATGTAATAGATAATGTGAATAGTGTTTCCTTAAAGATCTGATGCTTTTTGTGTTCAGTTTGATCAATTTGCAGGTAATTCTGCAGGTGTCGAAGAACAGGAATTCATATTTATCCGATTAACTGTGTTGCGTGAGGTAAGTAGATCATTGTGAGCATTACCCAGATTGAATGTCCATTGTGTTACTTTCAGTTCAAGACTTTAAGGATGTGGTTTTTTTCCAATTCAGTACCTGGAAAGAGAGTTGACCATGGCTAGCCTGCCGTTTACGTTTGATTTTGAGAGGAGCGTTGATGACTGGGTTTTTATGTGCTTCTTCGTGGGAAATGACTTTCTGCCTCATCTGCCATCCTTGGAAATTAGGTATGCTGAATTGCTAAGTATTACACCACATACCATGTCTTTATTGTTGATACGAATGATTTCCTGACTTGCCATTCTGTTTATTCTGTATGTCAACTTCTGTATAACATTTTCACTTCAATGTAATATAGTGTTGCATTTGTGCTAAAATATCAAGCTGTGATAAAGAATTAGGATTACTTTGGAAATCTTTAAGGAGTTACTGAGCTTGACTATATGGAGCAAAATTTATATCAGCTACTCGGCATAATTCTGCAGCCTTGTAATTTCAACTGCACTTGTTGATTTAATTGTTGTTTTCATTGCATTTTTGTCTTGCACATGACATCCTTCAAACTGGAATTTCTTATCAGCACTAGAACTATTTATTTTGGTGTACTGGCCAACAATTGTTTACTTCCCAATGCGTTACCATTGGCAGGCCAATTCTGCCCATCCTGTGAGATTTGGACAGTTAATATCCCACAAAGAGGACATTGTGGGATATTACATTGTGTCCTCTTTGACTGGGAAGTGAAGACTAACAAAATTAAAAAATGCTTTTGCTGCCTCCTCCCTACCAACTCAATGTTGGCAGATATGAAATAGCAATAGGATGAGTTTCCCGTCCCCCTGCCCCCTCAGGTTCACTATTAAGCGCTCCGAGCTTAAAATTAGTGGCTAAAGATTTCCATTTTGCTTCTCATTCTTGCTGAACAGTAAATGTTATGTTTTTCAGGGAGGGTGCGATAGATCGTCTTGTTGGCATTTATAAGAATGTCGTACATAAAACCGGAGTAAGTATAATGAAATTTGTTAAAAGGCAATACACATCAGCCAAAAATTCTTTGTACAAATTATTTTTGTTTCTTTAAAATAGGGCTACCTTACAGAAAATGGTTTTGTGAACCTGGAACGGGTTCAGTTGATTATGATTGCTGTTGGAGAAGCTGAAGATAACATCTTTAAGAAGAGAAGAGAAGATGATGTAGGCAGTGTCTATTTTTACAGTGTTTTTTTAAAAAAGTACAATTTGCTACTATATTATGAAGTGAACGGAACCACATTTATTAATTATAATGCAAAGGCGATTCTATTTGGGATAAGCTATTATCACATTCAATTATCAGCACTTCATTGGATTTAAAAATTGCGCTGCAAACTTAGTTACTCTGTCTTTTATTAAAATAGCTTGAAGTCGGTTGAATATTATATGAGAATATGTAACTTTTTAATGGGGTCTTTATGTTAAAGGTTAAAATGTGACGTGTTGTTGCTTTTAAATGTAGTATAATGCCAGAAGCACAAGTTTGATGCATTTTGTTCATAGATCTATGTTCTAATGGAACTTTTTTTTGGTAGGTGCTGTTCAGGCAAAGACAAAAAGAAAAGAACAAAAGACTGAAAGTATGAAAGTACTGACTTGTAGAAATTGAGTTGACCTATTGATGATATATCCAGTATTATGTTAAAGCAAGGATTAAAATCAAAACATTGCTGGCAAGTTATGTTCCATAACTTGAAATTCTAAAAAAGTAAGACTAAGATGGTAGAAGTATCAGCTTTACACTTGCCAGCAAAAAATATGTGCAATGCACATGAGTGAGATCTTCTTGTAATCGATTGGGAAAAACTGCTTTGTATTTTTTTCAATCCTCTGTATTGAGGCATTAGGATGGCAAGAATGTGATTTCTACCTGTATTCATGAATAATTACTCTAACACCAACAACAAAATTACATTTGTAAAACTCCTGTCACATCAGGAAGACATCCCAATGCGCTGAACAGTCTGGGATCAGGATCCGAGCATGGTGCGGGGGTGGGGCCAGGGTTGGGCTGAGGGAGGGCAGAAGGATAGGAGGGCGGCTGAAGACACGGTCGAAAAGGAGGGTCTTGAGTTGTGCCTTGAAGGAGGCAAAGGAGGGAGTAAGGCGAAGGGATTGTGGGATGGAGTGCCAAAGGGTGGGAGCAGAGAGGTTGAAAGTCCAGCTGCCAATGTTAGGGCAGGTTGGATGGGAGAAATGAAGAAGGCCGGAGCCTGCTGAACAGAGGGAGCCGACAGGTTGATAGGGGGTTAACAGGTCAGAGAGATAGGAGGGGGCAAGACTGTTGAGGTCCTTGAAAGTGAGGACGAGGATTTTTAATTCTGTCCTCTGAGGGACGGGGAGCCAGTGGATCCAGGCGAGGGTTGGAGTGATGGGGTCACAGAGCCTGGTGTGGGAGAGAATACGAGCTGCAGTGTTCTGAATGATCTGCAGCTTGTGGAGGGAAGAGGCTGACGAGGGAGTTTCCATAGTTGAGCCTTGAGGTGACGAATGCATGTATGAGGGTTTTGGCGGGGTGAGGCAGTGGCGGAGTCGGGCAAAGTTGTGGAGGTGGGGAAAGGCAGAATGGGTCATGGCACAGATATGAGGAAGAAAGGACAGTTGAGGGTCGAACAAGATCCCCAGGTTCCTGACTGGCTCAATGTCTGTCCGGATGTCAGTTGTCCTGGAATCAAGGGTGGAAGGCAGAGAGATAGAGTTGGGTGTCATCCGTGTACTTGTTGAAGTTGAGTCCCGTGTTTGCGGATTGTGTCACTAAGTAGCCATGTAGGGGTTGAAGAGGGGGGGGAACTGAGGATAGAGCCCTGAGGAACACCGCATGAGACTGCGGGGCTGGAAGAGAAACCGTTGGCGGAGACAAATTGAAGACGGTGTGAGAGATAAGACCTAAACCATTCCAAGGACAGAACCTTGAAGGTTGAGGTGAGAGAAAGAGGATGTGGTTCAAGGTATCGAAGGCAGTTGAGAGGTCGAGGAAGCAGAGGGAGCCCTGGTCACAAATGGGCAGGATGTCGTTAGTCACCTTAACCAGAGCAGTTGAAACCCGATTGGAGTGGCTCATGAAGGGAGTGTTAGGAGAAGAAGGAATGGGATAAGTCACAAATGGGAACACCTTTATCGATGTCCAATCTTAATGATTGTTTTAATGAGTCCTGTTAGAAATCACTGAGTTTTAAAACCCACATCTTAACTGGTAATTTAGTTGCAGCTTTCCTTTGAGATGATTTTAGTTCTTGGGTTATATTTCAAAGGTTTGGAGAATTAATCTCCACGGCCTGTACCAAACCAATTATACCATAACTGTAGGAAATGCGTTTCCTTCTATGAACTTTCTAGGACCATGCACTTGGGATTTTCGTGAGCTCAGAATGTTGCAAATGAACTACACTTTTTTGCCTTTGCTGATAGCTAAGACATTAGGGTTTAAACTCCCAACAAGTTTGGTGGATGTAAATGCATTGAGATCTTGAGTCTCTCTGGCCCAGTGAAGTCTCTGTACCAAGTTTCAGTTTTGATTTGCCAACTGATGCACTGCTGTTGCTCTAATTCATAGTGAAAGGCTCCTTTTGTAGTTAGTTGAATGCCACATGAAATAGAAGATCATTAATCCTCTTGCCTACCTAACCAACTTCAAAAAAGATTTCTTCAACATGTTTGTCACCTTAAAAAGATTCCTTTAATCTCCAGAATTTGCAAAATTCCTTTTTTGATGGTTGTGTGTTCCACTTGCCTATTGCCAGTTTACTTATATAGCCCACTATTTCCCATGCACCACAATACATTGGTTTCTGCCAAATGTCCATTTGATAATTTAATTGAATACATTTCTGACTCTTTCTTCAGTCTGAATCCTGTCCAATATTTTCTTTTGTGGAACAGTCAAATCCCTTTCTAACATCCAGGTAAATCATATCCATAGTCTCACTTCTTTCCGATTAGTTCTGAAACATCCTCAAATGCCCTAAATTTGTTACTCGCAATTTTCCACTTCCATTCTGGCAGTCTCTGATTAAACTATGTTTTGCAATGCACTGTGTTTCTTTCTATGACCACGTTCCGTATGGTGGACTGAACTTCAAACTGTTTTTGATGAAAAGGTGGCTAACACCATCAGATATTTACACATTTTGATGAAGACCTATCTTTATCTGTCTTTAAACGCTGTTGCATGCATACTTGTTACCAAAATAAGTCTCTGCTTTTTTTTTAACTCAACTGCTTTATCTGTAATTCTTGTCTTTTTTTCTCTTTATCAGGGCAATAGACCATCCTTTATTCCAGGTGGACAGTACTCTCCTCAAGCTTTGGGCCAGTCGAGTGGCGGAGGTAGGCCACAGGCCATACAGAATCCAAGACAGACTGCCTTTGAAATGAGAGTAAAGGATAGAGATCCACAAAATAGGGTGAGATATGGCTTTAGAGGCCATACCAAAATTTATTTCAATAAGATGGTATTTTTATACAATTTAATTGAAGACGATAATTACATCAAAAGTTGTACATTAACTGTTAATGTTCTAGTCTTGTACAACAGTCATAAGATATTTAAAGATTAAATTGTATTCTAAGGTTCAGTGCTAGTATGTTTTTGGAATCATGGAATGTTAAGCGTAGAAACGGGCCATTAGACTCAAGTCTGTGCTGGTGTTTTTCTCCAAATAAGCCACTAAATCTTATTTAATCTCCCGCTCAGTTTCCATACCCTTTTGATATTTTTCAAGCATCACCATTTAGGGACTACTTCATGAATGGTTTGTGGCGGAGAACTGACATTACAGTTACCTTCAGTTGTATCATGATTTTCAATTTATGTCCTCTTTACTAACTTGTAGATCACCAGGAATAATCTATTACAATTTACCACAACAACAAATTACATTTGTATAGTGCCTTTCACGTCGGCACGACGTCCCAAGGCGTCCCACATCATAGTCCTTCATAATCTTGAAGACCTCTTCCAAGTCTTGAACTCTCACCTCTATTGATAGTGCCCTTCTTGCGTCCATCTTCATAACTGGAATGCCTCATTTGCAAAATCCTAATGAATCTATGTTGCAACTTTTCTATTGCTTTTATATCCTTGCTCTAATGGGGTGCCCGATACTCTCAATTGACCTAACTAAGATATTATACAAGTTCAACATTACCTTCTTGCTTTCGTATTCTGTTTCTCAGGATATAAAATAAAGGATGGTACTTAAGGCCTTAAAGTACCTGCACTAACACCAGTTATCTTTTTATATGCCAACTCTGCTCTTCTACTCAGTTTGCCAATTTGCTATTTATGTTGTATTTTCTTTCTTCTAAAATGTGTTGCTTCCCATTTTTCTTGTAACTGCATGTTTCGCCTCTGCCTGCCATGCAAGCCTATCTATGCCCTCCTGCAGTTTTTCACATACCTCACCATGCTTCTCAATTAGGAGTCAAAACAAATTACAATAATCCTTCAATTCCTAAATTTAGATTATTTACATATAGAGTAAATATGAGCAGCCCAAAACTGACCATTGTGGAGCACCAATCACTACATCTTCACAGTATGAGAACGTATATTTTATTCAAGAGTTAGGTTTAAACTTAATTTTATAGGGCACCTTATGAAATCCTTGTGAAAATTGTAAGAATCACTACACTTAAAAAGCAGGTAAGAGTTTGATACTGAACAGTACTCGGGTATGATACATAGCTGATTCCAGCAGTGACATTGGTGACCTGGACATCTGGCAGTTTGTATCGCTTCCCATGTGCGCGAGCATTGTAGTTACAGGTTGTGCGTTTGCTGTTATGGTGCAGAAGCTTTGACTGATGATCTTGCCCCATTTCAGACTAGTTGGGATTTTATGGACCTCAAATATCACATTCCCGAAATATAGCCTCTCCAGGGCAAATTGAAAAATGTTTATTTCAATTTTTATGCTGACTTTTTTTCTTAAAGTCAAATTGTAAGCTTAACATAGTAGCACCATCTCTTCTGGGTCAGAAAGTTGTGGGTTCAAGGCGACCTTCATCATGACTTTGAGTTCACAGTTTAGGCTGAGTCTCCAGTGCAGCTGGATGTACCTTCCTTTCCAGTGTGATGATGAACCAAGCAAGCTCCCACCTGCCTGTCAGGTGAATGTTAAAGATCCCTTGACACTATTCAAAAATAGAAGGGAGTTTCTCCAAATGTCCTATCAACAAAACCCTAGGAAAAAATTGGTCATTTGCTTCATGGATATTTTATGTGTGCAAATTAGATCCTGCAGTTGCCTATATTGTTACAGTTAAACCTGTGAAGCACTTAGAAATATTTTGACAATGATCAAAATATATTGTATAATATTTATATGTTGTATCAAAATATAAAAAAAGTGTTATCCTGTAATTTCATTAAAACAATGAGGCAAACTAGATCAATTAGCCTGATCTCAGTGGTGGTGAGAACAGCATTATATGGCATGTTGTCACTGGGCATCCACAGATGTAGTGAAGGTTGAGTTCATACAGCAAAATTGATGAGCATTTGAAAAGCCATAGGAGGAAAGAGAATACTTTTAATTATAATAGAAACTCGCGATTAATGGTAGTTAGTTGATTTGCCTATTTTGCCGTTATCATTGAAGTATGCTTATTAGTGAGTTGGGAATTTTGATCAGTTGGTTTCAATTAAAACAAGTCTGAAAAATGGCCTGTTTTGTGAAATGTTCACAAGGTAAGGTTCTACTGCACCTGGAAATGTCTAATTTTCCATTAATTTGAGGGCTGATGGGGACAGTATAAAAACTGATTACATTTCATGCCTGATGCATCAGTTCCATTTTGAAATACAAAACAATCAGTTATAGAAGTTACTGAAAGATGGCCAGTTCATAAGTGGAGGTGATCTTCCTTGCATCAATGTTGAGAATTGTTTTCCTTGCAGCATTCTTAGATTTCAATTATTTAGTACTGGAAATAAAGTAAAGGTTGCTTTGTATTATTTAAGTAGAGACTGAAAAGAAGTTGGTGTGACCAAAGGAGCATTTTCCACCAAGTTGGACGGATTTTGCCACAAGGTTGATTATTTTCAGAAATGGTCATGCTGCACATATCTGGTGATGGATGGTTTGGGTTCAAGATGTGTTTGGGCTTCCATGAGTGTGATCTCTGCTGTACGTGTAATTAGAATTAGGAATGTATGATGTAATGCTGGATACAAGAATGCATCAAGCCCCACCATTCTTGCAGAATTGCATGTAGTTTATTATTCTTTTAGAAGGTCCCAGTTTCACAGTGTACTATCACGGATGCATAAAAAAATAGTAGGTGTCTAATTAATGTGACAATTCTGCTTACAAAATGTTGAAATGTTAAAGAAAATGTATCTGAATGGATCTTTGAGTGAAATATTGTGCCAAAAGCACTAATTTTATAAATGAGAATTTAACATCCCTTGCTGATTTTTTTATTATATCAAAAGCAACATTTTAGTCCAAATTCTAGATGTTTTTCAATGAATGTTCTGATTTTATCTGCATATTGACAAACTTGATACTTGAATAAATTTGTGATATTTGCTTCAATAGTATTTCATTCAGTAAGATGTAGGGAGCACTCTAGTTTTGTTAGATGAGGTGTAAAGNTTTGGCAAGCCAGGTTACCGTTTTAATTGCTGTTTTGTGAAATGACGTAAAGATGCATTTTCACCTTCCCAACTTCAGGCTTCATCTCAAAATAGTGCGAATTCAGATGGGAGCCCAGTTCCATTGGGAACAAAGAGGAAGAATGAGGATAGTGATGAAGAACAGGAACCATCAGATAATATCAGGTACTGTTGGTAGATTGCCTTGTTATGTAGTAGTTCAACACATTGCTCAAATGGACACATGATAATTAGTACCATTTAATTTGAAGCAGCGAGTCTCTTCACCTCGTACACTATTGTTTCTTTTTAGCAATTAATGTTTAAGGGGCAGGATATTCGGCAAAGCTGTGGGAGATGCAGATGTTCGAGCTGTTCAGGCTGAGTAGTGAAATTAGTATGCGAGTAGGTCATCCTATTAAAAGTTGCTTCTTCCTTAGAGACCAAACTGCAGATTGGATAGACCTTTTTTTTCCATGCGTGCATCTGATTATGCAATCTGAACGCTCATACAAGCTCTAGCTAGTTCTGTCTGTTCCCATCTTGGAGTTAGCAGCAAATTATTGTTGGGGACTTTACAATGCATGCTGAAAAATGTATTTTAGGACTGAACGATGTGAACTGAGATTGACCCTTTGAAAGCCGTGCTGGTTTTAGATTAGAATAGTGGCTGGCAGCAGCAGTGAAAAAGTGAAGTCAATTTATGCTGATGGTTTATTTTGTACTTTGATTTTAGCATCAGGGTTGTGGTTGTAATCCAGTAGCATGTGCAGACTCTTGATGAGCTGATGGTTCCATACTGTTGCATAGCTGCGGTTGATCCTGGTAATCTCCTAAAATAAATGGCACTAGGCTTTTGGATCAATGTCTCCAGAAGTTCCTTACACCTTTGTCTCCAGAACCAGACATTATATAATTAAATCTGGTGCAGTGATGGGAGTTATAATTTTCCATATTTCTTAATCTAAACCAACAAAAGCCCTTTCATTCTGTTCTTTGTTTTTGTGGGGAGGGAAAAAAATATTTAACAAGGCACTGGACCTGTTTTTTCTGAACAGTGGCACGTAAAAAGACGTGTAGAAATGCATCTCATCTAGTGATTTTGAGGTGGGCTAGAAACTAATCATGCAAACAAAGGCTAGCCTTTCTATTTGTGTTCAATGTCTTAATCCGAAAGCTATGTTCCATGTGCAAATAATGATGTAGTTTGGGCAGAAAATGTTACTTTAATAGCTCATCAAAGAAACTAGTTTTTCTCATTTAAAAACAACATGAAGTATTGCTGTTTGCTTAAAAATGTTAAAATCTGAAGAGGTACGGATGATATCATTCACCAAGTCTACACTTGAGTTTCCAGCGGACCAAAATGAAAACAAATGACTTGTTAGTGAAGGATGATGCATTACACCAGTGGTTTTTAAAAATGTTAATCTTAAAATATATATTCAGCCTGAAATCTTCAGTACATTTTATGCTAACAAACACAGCTATACAAGAAGCTCAATATTCTCTCTAATTACTAAAACAATAGAAAAGTATTTCATTTAGCCCTCTGCATATGTTTAGGAGAGTCCTATTGTTCAGATTGAATGAATCATTGAGCAAGTGCTGCTTTCAGGGACGTTAGACTCTTTGAAGTCATTTGCGAATTAACTGACCTTTCCAATCCCATACCACACAAAGGTCTTCCTGCAAATTATCTCCCATCAGCAGTTATGTTAGCTGCTGCTGTCCTGATAGCAAGAATACTCAATTGCTTTTGTACTTTAGATACTGGCCGATTCAAATGTGTGATTCTTCCATGTTAATTTTATCTGAATTTTACCAGTGTTTGGTGTATAAATTCAGTTTATTTATCCTGTTGTCGGATTTTTTTCCTTGAAGACAATATGGCGTTGTTTTGCGTACCTCTCATCAGTAATCTCTGTATTGAACCCCAAATCTTAGCTCCCAAGTTCATTCATGGTAGCGCAGTAGTATCATTTTTGGATTGAAGGGCTGCTGATTTCAAAAGCACTTGTCAATAAAAATACACAATTTCTTCATCCAGGAGGAAAATGTGCTTTCTTCACTCAGTCAAGCCAGCTGCACTGAAGCAATAGACAGCGTTCGTCAGTCTGTCATGGTCATGTGAGCTAAGAACGCAGATGTATCTGGCTCCAGTTCAAAAAAAAGCCAACATCTTGGTGAAAGGTTTGACCTTTAGTACATACTGATTGAGCGCACTGAGACCCTACCCTGCGTGGAGGGCGCTATATATATAAGTCCACGTTGGTGTTGTTGTATTGAACCTCAATTCTAGAACCTGGACCATTGGCTTCGGTTGAAGAAGGATTTACCATAACCGAGAGTTTGAAAAATTTGCAGTCAGACAACACATCATGAAGTTTCTCAAAGGGATTATAATATTGCACAGCAAAACTAAAGGAACACTTCTATTTTTGTCATGCCTTTATCACATTGAAACATTTGTGCTTCACATTTCATTAAGATCAAGTGTAGAAACTTATTTTATTCGAATGCAGTGGCTATTTGCAGAAAGAAGGTCCTATCCACGTGAGCTGAATGACCAATTAATCCAGAAAATTTTGTTGGGATGCTGGAAGAAGCTGTGTTCTCTTTTCAAATATTTTCCTGGAATCTTCAATGTCCACCTGGAAAGCCGGGTGGAACCTTGGTTGAAGTTCTCATTTGAAACTTGGCACATCTGGCAGTGAAATTCTAACTGACACAAGCTATTCAATGCCTGCGGCAATAATTTGTTGAATAAGATTAGAAAATACTGGAATTATACAGCTGGATATTTTACATATTGTAGTTAAAGGTAATTGTTCTGACGAAAGGTCATTAGTGAGAGGTCAACTTCTTTCAGACTCAGGTTTTTAGTATGTCATGTTTTTTTATTCCAGTGTTTCTTTTGTTCATTTCTGCTGTAAATACTGTGCTGTGCCTCAGCTCGAAGCATGTCCTTGTAATAGGACATCTGCACCACTTGATGTTACAGGGAAATCCATTGTTAGGCATGAATTTCATTCTGGCGAATATTATGAGACTGTCAATAATTGAAGATTATGTGGGCTTCTGTTTGGGAATGAAAAACAGGAGTGGGAAGGTCAATATATAATTTGCATTGTGGCAATATTTTATTTGCCACAGTCTGGACTCAGTTTTGTCAGTGAGAGCTGCTATGACTTGAGTTTTGCATCTTCAACCTAACTTTTTCTGTTGCAAAGGAAATGTGAGTGGAAAGTTACCTTTGGTTCAGGTCAGGATGTGTGAATCGTAACTAGTTCCCCTGTCTTTTGGTGTAACTGCTCCACACAATGCCAGCTGCTGACAAGGCAGTTTCGGATTTTGAATTCTTATGCTAATGTGTTCAGCCAAAATCTCTGTTCAGTAAGTGAGACTAAATGACTGGTCTCTTAGACATGTTTTTAATCAGGGCTCAATCAAAATCTGCACATTAATGCCACTGATTTGGCCATGTTTTGTGGGTAGGTGTGTTCTGACAACTGGACACCCTTGGTTGGTAAAGTTTCTTACATTTGATATATATATATCCTTCTGCCGTTGGTTATGATAGGGGTTTGAGTATCCCTATAATGTCATTGAATACTGTACCTTTTTGGATCCAACGATGGAATACATGTCTTCATTGCTTCAGGTGATTGAAAGGTCTAATTTCAAGTCAGAAATAATCTCAATATTTCAGATTGCTTCAGTTTACCATTGCAGATTGCTTGAAATGGGCTTCCTTTGGGCATTTTATAATTTTGGCTGGTCTATCATCTAGATGGAAGTCCTATAATGATTCATCAGAGTGGTACCTAGGGTTAAAGGACTTAACTATGATGAACAGTTGTGTAAATTGAAACTACCGTTGGTGGCCGGGCTTTCAGGCTCTCTGCCCCCACACTCTGGAACTCTAACCCACGGTCCCTTTGTCTCGCTTCCTCCCTTGCCTCCTTCAAGGCCGGTCTCAAGATCCTTCTCTTCGATCATGCCTTTGGTCACCCTCCTACCTCTCTGCCTTCCCTCACCCCTACCCCACCCCTCCCCCATGCTCGGGCCCCGAAACCTGACTGTTCAGCGCTTTGGGACATCCGCCCAACGTGAAATGCGCTCTGTAAACGTAATTTTGTTGTTTGCATTGTTAAAGTTCAGGCAGTTGAAGTGTTGCATATAATAAAATTCCTTCGACTTGTTGGGAATCCAGGTTAAGAGAATTTAATTTACAAGTAAAAGTTAAAGAGATGAGAAAAAATTCTTTATGGGAATTCCTTGGCATCCAGAACGATCCTGAGCTCTCCTTTAAAGCTCCCTCACATCTGGTCTTTGATGAAGATTGTTTCACTTCACTTCCACCACATTGTCCACCTCTGCCCCTACCTCACTCTAAATGCCACCAAAACTCTTTGTTGTCTCCCGGCTGGATTTTTCAAATGAACTCCTCAATTGTCTCACAAGCTCCTCATCCATAAGCTTCCACTTATCCCAAACTCTGCTGCCTGCATCTTTACCCAAACCAAACTCCATATATTCATCACCCCAGTCCTTGCCAGGCACCATTGGGTTCTTCTCTCCAGAAAAATTGATTTCAATGTGTTGCTCTCCCTACAAATCCCTTCTTGCCCAAGCTCTTTGCAACCTCTCCGATCTCTTCCCACACCATTCCTGCTCACCCTTCCAATTGGCTAACTCAGGATTGTTGCAGAGGCCCCACCCTACTTTTCGTTGTTGAACTTTCTGATTCTACATTCCTCCCTCTGGAATTGCTCCCTGTACTCCCCTCTCCCCCCCCCCACCCCCCCCCAATTCCTGCCTTAAAAGCTGCCTCTTTGACCTTGCCTATCATCATCTCCTTCCTTCCTCTGCCCCATCATTATAAAACACTCGAAGAGGCTATTCTACATGAAAGGTGCTATATAAATGTAAGTTTTGTTGTTACACCAATGCATTACATGGAACAGTGGAGGCATTTGATAATCTCTCGAGGAGCCCAAGAGAGTGATTGATAAATAACTGATGAGTTAAGAATATTGAGGAAATAGAGGCTCATGTAGCAACTGTTTTTTGTGGTCCAGGCTTTGGGAAGAAGGTTGGAAGCAACGTTACTACAAAAACAAGTTTGATGTGGATGCAACTGATGCAAAATTCCGCAGAAAGGTTGTAGAAGCCTATGTTGAAGGTCTGTGTTGGGTTCTTCAGTACTATTATCAGGTATGTATTACTATGGTATATATTATGATGTGTGTATATCATATAAATGTACCATTTAGAATACTGTGGGGATATTATTGTGCTCTCTGCCTTATGGTTTGATTTCATTGTAAAATTGCTTCTTATAGCTAATTTTCCTTGTGGTAAAGGAGGAATTTACAGTGATGTGAAGTAACTTTCACACAAACTGGACCAAATCGATTTGGTACATAACCGTTGACACAAGTGCGGCTGTATTGCTGTGTCTGAAGCTTGTCTTGTGGTTGTGGAGTAACACTTCTTTCATGAACAGATTTATTAGATAGTGGTTGCTATTTTGTTACAAATAAATGCTGGGGTAAGCAATGAAAGTTGGAGATTCATCGTAACAACCTTATTAATTGTCTTTCAAAGAATTAATTGATATAAATGATATTAAGGCTTTGATTGCTTACAGGGTTGTGCTTCATGGAAGTGGTTCTTTCCATTCCATTATGCACCATTTGCTTCGGACTTTACTGACATTAAAGAACTACCTACAACATTTGAAAAGGGAACAAAGCCGGTAAATTTTGCAATAAATATTTTTGGTACACTGAAATGCCTCGTTTAACGTGTGAAACCCTGTAATTGGAAAAACGTTTCCTCAAGTCTTATCAGGTTGGGAACAGTTAAGAAAAACATCCTTGGTGGCAACTGTGTCACTTTGAATTCACTTTTAATGCATACTTTTAAATCATGTTAGTCAGCTCAATACTGGTGTATTAGGCAAGCTGGAAAGAAATACAACTACAAAATAGTCATTACACCTTATAGTAAAACAACATTTTTTAAGCACTTTGACTATATGATAAGGTGCTATGTAATAATAATAATCCTTGCATTTGATATAGCGCTTTTCACGTCTTTTAGACGTCTCAAAGTGCTTCACAGAATATACTGTAAAGTAAATTGATTATATTTTGTGGATGAAATGCAAGGATTATTCCAAGTAACTCTGTAGTTTGTGCAACAAATAAATCAGTTTTGATAGCCTTCTTTGTAACTTAAATGCAGACGTTCAGATGTTTAAACAAAAAAAAATCTCTTGGCAGAATTTTCTAAATATTTGTTTGAGAGCAATTTTGTCTTGCTTTGTTCTTACAGTTCAAACCACTGGAGCAGCTGATGGGAGTTTTTCCTGCAGCAAGTGGTAACTTCCTCCCTGAGACATGGCGTTATTTGATGTCTTATCCGGTAATGTTTTTATGATTGAGATTGTTGAGCCATAAAATGGAGACAATGAATGTGAAGTGATTTTACATCTCAATAAAAATGGATTCAAATTCTAGCTAACATAAGATTAGTTTCTTGTGGTTTGGTAAAGATGCATTGGAACTTGATCTTTTCATTTATCACTGAATATTAATATACAAATGAATATCTGGTTGCAGTATATAACATCTGTAATTGATTCTGAAAGACATACTAACAGGATGAATTAGTAGGATATTTGACCCAAGCAGTGATGGACAAGTTAACTTGTCAGAGTCTGTCAAGCAATTGGGCCTTGCTGAGAGTATTTCCATTTGACAACTTTCTTATGTTTTACACACAAGCATGTTAGATCAGCTTGGTAAAGGCATATCAGTCATTGGTGACTGAACTTTTGATAGGCTTAAATTTAGTTTAGCTCATTAGCCAAGCTTTTCAAAATTGCTTCTGTCTCCAAGATAGAAAAAAAATAGCATTTCAGTAGATTCATTACGGGAATATGCTGTTGATCTTAACGGAATGTGACCCTAAGACTTGAATGTATGTGAACTAAAGTTAAAATTGATTACGTGGAAACTGGAGATTTTCTGCACTTGTTGAAGGTTGTAACAAATCAATTGATTGAATTGAAATTGACTGTGGTTAGCGAGCTTGCCTCGCAAGTGAGAGGACCGTTTGATTCCCAGGCAGGGGAAACCTTAGGCAAGTTTCCTATACCCACATGCCTCTGTTTACCTAGCCGTAAGTAATAACCCGGCTGTAAGTCAATTGATGGATCGCTTTCCAAGGGTAACAATCGATCCAAAACAAGGGGAAAAACGTGGTCACTCAGTCCACGACTGTTTGTGGGACACTACTATGTGTAATTGCTGCGTTTCGCCCACAAAATATGCTGTCAATCCACTTTACAATATATTCTGGGAAGCGCTTTGAGACTTCTCAACGACATGATAAGTCACTAGTTCAAAGACTCGTGTACATTTTTAGATTTTATGGAGGTTTTGAAAATATACTACAAATAATGTATGAACACATTGAGTCTGTTTAAAGGCAATGTGTTTTTACATTGATACAAAAAGTATATTCAAAATGTAATTTTGTGTTAATTATTGCTACAGGTAGTCTCTGCTTTAAATTCATTAACAGAGCAATTTTAATTGGTTTAAAATATTGTATTTGAGGCTAATTCTTTTGTGAGGAATACATGATCTACCAGCAAAGCCTCTATCAAAATTCTGAGATTTGTTTTTATATGGCGTGCCTTATTATAGAAGTTTAATTGCAATTTGTTATTCTTGGTCATTTGATTTTTACATGAAATTGTTAGATCTTCAGGAGCAAGTGCTAATGTACCTCAATGAGAACAAAGCTCAGTATAAGTACTCATTTTAAAAACATATCCTTGTTAATTGCTTGATAATTCTTAATAAATGGCTGAAAATTGACAAAAGCATATTGTATTAATTATTCCCAGGCAAATATGAAATATACTGTTTAAATTTGTTTTAAAAGCTGCACCAAAGGCTAATTTTCTTGTAAGAAATGGATATTTTGGTACATAATGACAGCCTGGAAGATGGTCATCATTAAAAAAGAAATTTAACATAATTTTCTTCACAACAGAATTCTTCAATCATTGACTTCTACCCTGATGATTTTGCTCTTGACTTAAATGGAAAGAAATTTGCTTGGCAAGGTAAGATTATCAGCTCCAATCTGTATTCTCTTCAATCCATATATGCTTCTCTGAATAAAATAAGATTTTAAATATGGATGGCAAACCTTGGCTGTAATGTTGTTGAATTTTTTTCTCAGAGAAAGAAAATTAGACATCCAAGATTTTTTAGATTAAAAGCAGACCTATGTTTGAAAAATGGGTGACTATTTCTGGAGATGAGAATAGATTTGATTCTAGACCTGAATAAGGATAAGCAATGAGTAATTTTGTCTTTATTTGTAGATGAATAAGAGTGAAATTATTCCCTTTTTCTCACCCATTATTTTGTATTTGGGAGCATTACCATTTTAATAATAAAATTAATCTTTGCATTTGATACAGCACCTTATAACGTTGTTGAGATGTCTCAAAACGCTTCACAGAATATATTGTTAAGTGGATTGACTATTTTGTAAGCAGAAAGTGGCAGCCAATTGTGCACAGCAGTTTAACAAGAAAAAAGATTACCAAAATAATCGATTATTTCAAGAATTCAGCTCCTGGTGCAGAAGCTTAGATTTTGTTTCTAGGTTCATAGCTCTTTTCTAATAAAATGGAAGTTTTGTGCAACTGTTTATTACTTATTTTACACAGTTGAAAGTTATGTCAACACCTTAGTAGGTTTGCAAACCCAAGTGACCGTTAAGATGCTGTGTTCCATGCTTAGTTTTCATTAGCAGGGACTTAGGGCTGATATTGTTATTGCCTTTATTTAGTTGTTCTGAACTTTCTGGTGTTCAATAATTTCTTGGTTAAATTATTTATGTTGCCCAATGTTAGGTTTTGGATCTTGCTCTCTGTTGTGCAAAAGTTGGCCATCATGTTTCCCTTGAAACTACCCACTCTCTAACCTTTGGAGTCAAAAGCATTGAGAGAAATTTGGGTAGTAACACAACATAAACAAAAGACCAGCCCTCAACTGTCCAGCGCCTTGTGACATCCTCCCATCGTGAAAAATTATATAAATGCAAATTGTTGTTGCTGGGTCACGACACCTCTCCAGGCTAGGTTATTCAGTGGCAAAAGTTGCTTTCATTATTAGTTCAGCCTCCACAAACAATAGTTCCTCCACAAGCAGAAATGTTGTTCTAATTTGCAAGAATCATGGCTATGAATATTTCAGGAAGAGTATGGGTAGGAATACATTAAGGACTGTTCTATTAAAAAGTATACTCGTTGGCTTATGCTGGAAGTCATGGGTAACACTGCAAAACATTCAAACTTGCACTTGCTCAGAACAGTGTAAACCCCTAAGGTTGACCAAGCTTCGATCAATATTCAAAGAGATTGAGGAATCCCAGGAACACCCTTTTAATAATCCTTCCTTTTAATACAGAACTGCTTGGCCGATTCAGAAAAGGCCTGTCTACTAATTTATTTTAAAGTAGAATTCACTTGTGGTTTTAAAGGAAAGCTTTTATAAAAGTATGACCTGTCTCGATCTTACATTCAATGTGTATTGCTAATTTATTAGGAAAGTAGTAGCAAGATTAACCAAAGAAATTTGTTTGAATCAATATCTCTACTAGTTACTTCGAGCACTAATTGATTGATTGCCTGCCTTTTAGGTGTTGCACTGCTGCCTTTTGTTGATGAGCGACGGCTGAGAGGTGCTCTGGAAAAGGTTTATCCTGACCTCACTTCTGATGAAAGTAAGCATTATGATGCTTCATCATTTTGACTGTGCAGTTATTAAGCTTTTTCAGTGTTCGTATACTTGCATGTATTACAAAGCCTTAAAGGAAGCAATGGCTGGGATGGCTTTTTATAAAAAGAGAATTGTGAAAAAAGGACAGAATCCATAGAAGTGATAAAATATATATATTTGTTTGCCATTGGTTTAAGGGTTTTATTTTTAAGTTCTATTTTTTAATTGTAATCAGCAGAAATAAACACATATGTGGGGGAGGACATGTTTCCAGGGCTATGGAGAGAGAGCGGGGGATTGGGATTGAATTCAAAGAGCCGGCACAGACACGATGGGCCAAATGGCCTCCTTCAGTGCTGTGTAATTCTATGATATGACAATTTAATCATGAATAAATGATGCATTAGTTGTTTTTAAACAAAATAAACTTGTGAATATGTTTTAATTCCAGCTCGGCGGAACAGTCTTGGAAGTGATATCCTGTTTGTTGCAAATTCTCACAAACTCTTTGATTTCATTGTTGAGATGCAAAAGAATGATTCTCAGGTTCGTTTAGTCTGATGTTTATATTGGATGTTTTATTTTTCTCATAATGAATATCCTTACTAAATAAAGTTTGCTTTTGCAGGAATTGCAACTTCCTCCTGAGCTTTGTCATGGTATTGGTGGTTTGCTCACATCGGAAAGTGATGCAGTGAAACCAGGACAGTAAGTGTTCTTTGTTTGTAATATTATTTTCAACTGAATTCTCTGATCGTAAAGTTGAAGCATCTTGGATATGGAGATAGAATGGGCTCCTCTATATAGCCACAATCTTGTCTTCACTCTTTTTGATGGTATTTGGTGTAGCTTGTTTTTAATTTCAAATGTGAGGATCTTTAAATCTTTTTCTGGCTTTATAGAGTTTATTTCTGTTACTCTTTCAACAGGTTAGAAGTGTGGGTGAAGGAGCTTGTGCTCTATCATGTGTAGGAATTCATGGCAAATAAACAGACTGTGATTTCATGTGCATCTAAAGATTTGAACCAAGCTGCATAATTGCTCTTGCTTTCATGATATAGTACATTTTCTCCACTTAAGATGGTAAGCTTGTGAATAGGCTTGTTTCAAGCTCTGTTTCCAAGATGTAGATGAACATCTTACCTATATCAGTTTAGGAGGCTTCATGTGGGCTGTCCCGATCACAATTTAACAAAACTAGTTATGCATTTAAACTTGCATTGAAATAATGAGAAAGTTAACTAATATCCAATTTTTCCTATGCAAATTGTATCTTTCACTGGTGTACGTGAAGTGGTGATTTTACAAGCAGCGGTGTAAGACTACTGTGGGTAGATATTGTTGTCAGCACAGGAATAAGTTATGGTTGCATGGGCAGAAATAAGATATTGAATGGTGAGGAATAGTTTAAACACAAACAATTGCCATTTAAAGCACATGTGTTATATTTCTATCTCATTTCTTTTAGGATAGTAGTTTCTCCAGTTCCAACCTTGAAGGACATTAATGAAAATAATGTTTGCAGGTGAGTCAAAAAATATTAAATCTCTTCATACATCCAGTCACAAGCCTTATATTTGATATAGTGCCTTTCACATATGGAGGACAAAGTGCTTTATAAGAAATGCATTAAAATGTTGTGATTGCATTTTATAGGCCAACATGGCAGCCAGTTTGCGCACAGCAATGTCCCACAAACAACCATGAGTCAATTTTAACTAGGAATTATTGGCCAGGGCACCGGGGGAAACTCCTTTTCGAATAGTGTTGTGTGATCTTTACTGTGAATAAACAGAAAGGACCTTGGTTTAATGTTTCAAACAAAGGACAACACCTCCAACAATGCAACACTCCCCCAACTCTGCACTGAAGTGTCAGATAGTGTCAGGCTAGACTACGAGTTCAAAATCGCAGCCTGAATCTATAATCCTATGCCCTATGATGCAGACGCAAAAGAACTACAACTGAGCCAGGCTGATGCAAATTTATTCATCTAAAATGGATACTCAATACATTTTATCTTTTCCTTGCAGTGTAATGTTCAAAGATCCCCACTATGAAGAAGATTATATTTTTAAGGCGTGTGTGTTACCTGGAGCAAAGTAAGTTACATTTGTTTAAACGCATCCATCCTATACAGCAAGAAGTAAATGTTTAAAGGATGTACCATTGAATTTACATACTTGTCCTATTGTGTTAAAGATGTGTTTTCTGAAAATCCCCTTTGATACATTACTCAGAGCCCAGATATATTACTTCTTGGAGCGCCATAGATGATCAACACCCAATGTAGAATTTCAATAACTTCAGCCACAAGATACTTCCACGTGACATACAATACAAAATTACTTGCTCATAAATAACATTCAAAATGGATTACCTGACAGCATTTAGTAAACTGAGGAGTGAACGCCATGATTCACATCTGTCGTGTTTATATTGCAGCAGACGCAGGCCACACAACTCTTGAACCAATCTCCTTGAGCAGTGTGACTGTTTGATTTGTACTTTCTGTACCCTGTTTATTCTTCATGTTTAACTGAGTTGTCTCAGTAGTGGTAATTATTGACCAAACGTGTTGTTCAAATGCAATCTTCAGATTCTAAGTACTTGGTTGTATGTTCATGGAATTGTTTGGCTTCAATGATTTTTCAGAAAACCTGCAAAAGTACTGAAACCAGGTGACTGGGAAAGATCTCAAGCTAATAACTCAAGACAACCTTGGAGGCCCAGGCTTGGCTTTAATCCAAATCGACCGCAGGCCCACTTGGATCAGGCAGGGTTTAGAGCGCTTGGGTAAGTGACATTCAAAATCATCAAATGTTGAGGTGCCAAGGAGAAGGGCTTTTATTTCTAACTTCGCCATCTATGAGACAAGACTGCCCCTGCAATCTGGTTATGGCTACCTCAGTAGTAAAATTTGAGTCAAATCCAGCATTGAGTGAGTGTTGGTTAATTGCAGATTTCAAGTTTTGCATGCTTTTCAATTATTTGTATTTGATTGAAGACAGTATCTTGTAAATTACAATCCTGCATGTCTTTCAGGCTTCAGTGGCCTATGAGAAGTGCTAAAACTTGGCTTCAAAAATTATATTAAATACCAAATGACAGGGATATACACTAATGAGAACCATCTTCATTAATTTACATCAGCACACATCTTTGCCACAGAGAAATCTGTTCTTAGGGTGCGGCTTGATGAAGCACTCTCCGAAGTTTGGATTGAGTGCAGTTAAGAGAATTGGCAAGATCACTTCTTCAGAGATCTACCAGCTGTGGGTAATATAGTTGGGAGAAGGCATTCAGAAAGGGGGTGTCCTGAAAAACATATCTCAAACTAGTGAGTTTACCTGCAGCTTGTCATTGGGCAAAGTTCACCTGGTCTAAGTGCTAAGGCCACCTTGATTCCAGACTGGCACCTTTTCTCCACGGCCACAGCCTGAGGCAGAATTTTCCAGATAACTGCTAATCATATTCCCTAACATTTAAGATAAGTAAGTAAATCCTCGCTAACCTTTGAAATGAAGAAAAATGAATTTCAAATAAATTCAACAGACAAAAAATAACAATAATTTTGCACTCACTACTGTACCCTGCAGCTCTGTTAATGTCTTCAGCTAAACAAATCAGTGGCAAGCTGTAGGCATCACATTGGCAGGCGGGAGTTTGAAAACGTCAGGTGAACTTTTGAATTGCCGAATCGCAGTGTTTTTCAGACCCGGTCTGACTAATTCTCAATTCCAGATATGTGGATAGGCAGTTGGTTATGGTACTCATGTTGCCATTTTTTTTTTTATCAGCCATTTTGTGTCAAAAGATCGGCATCCAGGAGGAAGTGGCGTATACAGTAATGCTCCTCCACCTGGTTCTTTCCAGCACGGGGCAAGTGCTCTTCCCCCACTGATGAGAGGACCACCTGTCCAACTTTCAGGTAAGACATTTTGTAAACTTGTGATTTACAGTTTAAATGTCTCCTAAGATACCATGAAACTGTCTATTTAAAAAATATGATTGTTGAGTTTCCATCCTGACTTCAGAAAGTTAGAAAGAACTTTCATATTTACTGTGGTTTATTCTCAAGTACACAGGTGTCAGCCATTTTGCTAGGAACATGTCAAAAACACACAAATATCTTTGTATTTGATGTAATGTCAAAAGTCTTGAAGTGCTTGACAGGTAATTGCTGTCAACCGTAAGTATTATTTGGAGCCAAATGTAACAGCCAATTTGCACACAGCAAGGTCCCACAAACAGCCATGAAGTAAAGAATTTAAGTGTATATAACAAGGAACTAGACTTTTAATTAAAAAAGTGATCTGTTTACATTTATTCAGTAATCGTGGTGCTCATCTGCTTCCATAAGCATTAATTTTGATACTGTACTTAGTTTTTGCCAGCACAATGTTACTAAAGTAATACTGTAGAGCCCGTTATATTGCAGTGATTGGGGTCGATAAATTCCTAACGAGCCTTATCGCAGGGCCTGATCACCGCCGGTCAGCACTCGTGCTAATGATATCACTGCATATGTGCACAGAAAGTTGACTGGCTTTCTGCGATTAAAAAATGACTGTTTGATTTCTGGGTCATTAGATCATGGACACCGTCATTGCTCAGTGCGCTTGAAGTGGCATCAGCAGCAAGCTAATGACCCAAAAGTTGGCCTTTTTTTGTGTGTGGGAAGCTGGCTGTGGTTCCACAGGACACCCATCGTATAAGCGAATCATGCTATAACAAAGTTGTGTTAACATCCCACAGAATTCTTTATCACTTGTATTGGTGGTTTAAAGTGTTTAAAATCTGGACAATAAACATTGATCCAAGTTCAGATTTTTTAACTCCAGTTACTGATGGGGTAGTCAACTGAATCACAGTCTTAAGTGCTGACTGGTCTGCTGTCAATCATCTAAAGTAGTCATGTTGATTCTGAATTGAAGGCAATGATCTGGAGTGGCGGTTTACTTGAAATGGATACCACAGCTTTGAAAAACAAATTCAGTAAATTTTAAAGGAAGTTATAAATTGCACTCGGATACAGAATTGTAATCCTACAATGTATTGTGAAAAGTGCAATATCGATTGCCTGCTTGTCGTCCTATTTTAACAAAACGTCAAAGCAAAATCTAGTTGCTCAATAAACTGGCAGTAATTGCATACTCTCAGAGCCTCAAAAGACTTTGGAGGATGCCCTATGAGCCATTGCGACCATTACCCTCTCTTTCCTCTTCTTTTCTTCCCTTCCTTTCCCCATTGCTCTAGGTAGAAACAATCTGTTAAAAATTACTGGTTATGCTGGGAGGACAGTATGATAAATCAATGTCAATTTTTCCTTTGCCCTGAAATACAAGTTGTGGGTGTTTTCATCAGCGGTTCTTTGATTTGGCTAGAATATTTCAGCCTCCACACTACTGATGAATTGTCTGAGTGCTGATAACTTGTAGAAGTCAAGTACAGTCTTAGGCACTCGATGTGAATAGTATATTTGGATTTTGCAATCCAAAATTGAATCTGATTTATGACATGCTTTCATTTCTTTGTAAGCTTGCCAATTAGCTGCATTTTAAATTGGTTTTGATTAGTGCAATCAGCAAACACCAAGGCTCTTCCTGATTCACACTGATTCACAAGAGTTGTCGCTTCAGTTCCTGGTAAAAATGCTAAGATGCATTGAAAAGTATGGCCTGATAAGGTTGAAAAGTGATGAGCTTTTCTCTCTGCAATTTAATTCTGAATTGTTCAAAAAAGACTGGCTTTTGTTTCTTAAAAAGGAAACTGATCCTAATTGTACCAAGCTGTTTTTCAGTGATATACTGTGTTCAAATTTGATCAGTAAATTCAATTTTCAGATTGATATTCTGATTTTCTCCCGCTCCCCTTGTTGATTATTCCAACAGCTCTATAAAGTGATATTTTACCCACCTAATCAGCCTTCATTATCAGTAACTTCAAATTCTATGAGCTCAAATCTTCCTTTGCCTATGTCAGAAGCTGAGAGAGTTCACAATGGTGATAAACATCTTGCACATGATTGCTGCAAACACAATCTGTAATTAGAAATTTGGGATTGCATTGCATTATTTTTGCTATATTCAAATTTTATCTGCATCTGTTGGATTTAAACTTGCTGTAGTTCTAAGATGAAATCTATGCTCATTGATTTTAAATATTGTACTTTCATAATGTGGTGATAATGTATTTTGCTTTTAAAAAAATCAGACTTTGGCTTGAAATGCCACATTCTGCTTTTCATTTGTTCCTAAATTGAGCAGTGAATGAGTCGGAGTCAGTGGTCAATATTTTCTGGATGCTATTGCTCAAAGATTGCATTGTAGCCTTTCCGAGTTCACATTTTTACTGTTGTAATGAATCTGATTATAAATTTCTTACTGATCTTTGCAATTTTGATTCAACTTAAAAAATTGTGTGATAGTGACAAGAAAATCCCTCAGGCAGTTTACACAATCACATAACCATCACATCTCTATTTTTATGTTTTCCACCAAGAATAAAAAAGGTATTTGGTTGTTGTAAAGAAAACTCCACAAAGTGACTTAAGCAGCATGTTGTCTGTCTGATCTGTTTATTGCTGCCATTCTCACTTTGGAAATCTCCTCTGAGCATCGGGGGGAAAAGAATATTGTATAAGAACCACTGCAGAAAGCTTTTGTGTGGTTTGTTTTTTGAGACTTGTACAAAATTATGCTTTATGGGAAATACCATTTTAGATCCACTAGCTTCAAATTTCTTCTTACAGAATTATAGATAGATTTGATCTTGTGATTTTTAGTGGTGTATATTGGGAAAGCCTTTCCACTGCTCTGGAAAGGAGAACATTATCTTGTTACTGTTGTTTGCTGTCAACTCTTCTCTCCTGGACTGTTTCCTGTTACCTTTTCTTATATCAATGGTACCAAAATTATAGAATTGGACGGATTGTGTTGAACTGAGTGCTTTTGAAGGGAGTGTTGAACATTTATATCGTCCCTTTGGTGGAACGAGACAATTTTTAAAAAAAAAGTCTCTCCTAATTCTAGGCAGTAAATAGCTCTTAGGTTAGGTCTTACCAGCTTAGCCTTCAAAGAGCAACACATTCAGTGGGTGGTGTTTGTTAATGAGAGTTAATTTTGCTTTCTTAGAACCTCAACCACCCAGGAGGAGAATGTCAATGCTTTCTTTCATTCTGCTTCATTGGGCAGCAACTTTGTCAGCTTTTAATTAGGTCTAATAAACAAACACTTCAGCTCATTGACGAAGAGTTGTCAATGAAACTAGGATTTAGATTTACTTACAATTTGTTCATCCTTGTGAAATGTCCCTGGAATGATAGATCGGGAATCTTCAACGTATTTCTCGATTGAGCAAACTTATCAGGCTTCCAATTTGGTTTGCATTGGTATGTTGATGGCAGCTAATATCTTCCCATCTGAGCCCAGGTGGAATGAAAACAGACAAGTTGGTGGCACCTCTGAGCAAAATTATTTGTGTACATCATTGCACCATTCCATAAACATATGGTTATATCTTGGTATTGTCAAACTGAGGTTAACAGCTTTTAGAATTTTGCAGAGATAGGATGGGGAGTGGCCCTTGAGATATTTGAAAGTGAGAGTGCAAATCTTGAATTTTGAATGGGGAACCAGTGAAGCCGAGTGAGAATTCAGGTAATGGTCTTGTCAGGCTTGGTGCAGGAGAGAACACTGGATGGTTTGCAGCTTGTGTAGAGAGGACTTGGTGAATCTGGTGAGCAGGGTGTTGGAGTAGTCAACTCTGGAGGTGATTAAAGTATGGAAGAGGGTCTCAGCAGTTTGTTGGAGGAAGTAGGACCAAACGCACACACAATCTGTAGCTATGGTGGCTCCTTAGTAGAAGTGTGTAAGTCGCACTGGTTGGATGTAGCTAAGCTTTCTTCTTCCTCATCAAACTAATTGTCGTTCGGTGAAAGAACCTTCACCAGAATCTGGCTTATTCTTGGCTGCAATAAAGAGCTTGGCACATTGGTGCATTCTCCTGATAAATGCCATTCCATTGATATATGCCATTCTTTGTACAGACAATTCCTGATTCCTTTTCATACGTTTCTCCTTGAAGATCAGAGGGAGGAGTGGAGTATACACTATAGTTCTGATTTGAGGGATCAAACCTCGAATGACCGAATGACCTGTTCTCATTCAATGTTTCATACTTAAAACGCACGTCTTTTAAATCAGTTTGTGCAATCAACAGAAAAGGTGATACACATAGTGAAATTGAGTCACATTAACATTAAAGTGAGCATCATCTTGCAAATTCACTGAGTGAATTAGAAATCTGACAAGTTTATGTATAAAAGCAGAATTGATACAGAAAAAACAGTCCCAAATGTTAAATTGTCAAACTATAGGGTGAAAGTGCTGAACTTATAACAGCCCAGTTATGAAGTGTAATAATTTTATTTACTGCAGGTTTGAGACCACAAGATGCCTGGCGAGGCATCCAACCACTGTTTCAGCAAGCTCAACTCCAAAGGTAAATAAATTACATTGTTTAACTTCTGGAAATGCAAAAAAGTCAAGTATTTTCTCTTGCTTCTTTTGGACTTGTCTTCATTTTATTCTAATATCCCATTGAGCCAGTGTTCCATTTTGATCCGATATCGTATGGACCTATCAATATTTATAATAATAATTTCATTTGATCATGTCACCAAGATGTTTCGATGCACTTCACAGGAATTTACTGTCAGATGCTGTGACTACGTGAATTTACTGTGAAGTTGTAGGCAAATGCAGGAATATAGATTTGCATATTAAAGTGTTTAATAATACTTGCATTTGATATAGCGCCTTTTCACATCGTTGAGACGTCTCAAAGCGCTTCACAAGGTTTACTGCAAAGTGAATTGACTGAATTTTGAGGGTGAAACATCCTCAAAACGCCTTTCTTTGAGATTCTTAAATTATAGAATGTAATATACATCGTGTCACATGATGGGCACAAAAAGCTGCATCTCCAATGCTTACTTGTTGAAAAGTGCACAACAGTATGTTTTAGAAATATAAGCTTCTCATCTATTCTGGAGATGTGATTAGGGTGTACAAAATTGCACCATACTTGCTAATACTAACGTCGGGTTCTTTTGTCTGTTGAAATGTCTTTTGTTAAATGAACATGCACATATTTAAGGTTTTCTTTTTCTGATGGGCTGAGTTTGTCTGAATCTGAGTTTGTCTGTGGCGGTTTCTGTCCAGATTTCTGAGCATTTTGATGCATCAAAACAGCTTGTTTCTAGTTGATGCATTTTAGGAATTCATTTATTTGATTATATATAAATTATTATATTCACCAAGAGAATCAACACATGATTTAAGACGTACTGTAACTTTCCTCTGAACCAAATTATTTTAATAATAATCCTTGCATTTGATATAGCGCCTTACAATGTCATCAATGTCTCAAAGCGCTTCACAGGATATACTTTAAAGTGGTTTCACTGTATAATTTGTTTGTGAAATGTGGTACAGTGGAGTGACCAATTTTTATTTGGGAGATTTGTTATCTTAAGGAAATAAATTAAAGAATTAATTAATACCAATATTCTGATTTTAGGTCCGGATGCAAATTACTTCAGTGATTCCTCTAAACTATGATTAAAATAAAAATAAGTAAAGATAAAAATCCGTGACAGGTTAAAGTCTTGTTTCTTAGAATGGCAATCTTCAAAAAATAAACTGCCTTTGTGAATCATGGAGTTTTTTTGCAGAATGTAGCTGATAATTGTTGGCACATTAAAAACATCATGAAGATGGTAGAGGTGGTTGCATACCATTGTTACAGAACCAGAAAAGACTATTGAGGTCCATCTGGCTGGTAAAGTAAAAGACAATCATACACTATTCTTATGTGTTTTACGCCTCAATGGATTTCTTTCTCATCTAGAAACAGCAGTAAGAGTCACCTGGAGCAGTCACCTTATCAATTGAGAAACACAGTGGCATACCAGTGATCTTTGCACATGCAATAATTTCTCATGTAGGTAGCCAGTGTAACTATCCTCAATTTACCATATCCTGATTCAGAAACTTTTGGGAGAGATGCAGATACTTCAATAATTGTAGGAAAAAGTCAGGCAAATGGGTCTGAATGGATTGCTCTTTCAAAGAGCCAGCACAGACCTTTTGGGCTAAAAGGCCTTCTGTGCTGTAAATTTCTATGGTTCTGTACCGTAGCATTCCATTTAATTCAACATAAGTGCTGGAAATATGTTTTGGTTTAGTGCTACTCCATTTATACATTTTTAAAAAGTGCGAGGATTTTATCTCCCTGATTTTTGGATTTTTATTACTCTCAAGTGAAATTCCTGGTCAGCGATTCTAGTTGTAACTAGAATCTAACATTTGATAAAGCATCTTTCGCACTGGGAGGACATCTTGAAAATTGCTTGAAAATCATTCCTGCCTCGGGTTGCATTCTTTCATGATCCTGGAATTTCGGGATTTAAATATCCAGAATCCTGGAATCACAGATCTTACTTCGGCCAGGAAACCTGTGGTCATTCTCTGCACCAGTAGGGCACCTAGGAGAGAGCGTACCTCCGTGTGGAAGTTGCTTAGGAGGTTTAAACATCCTCGCAGGATCAGGTGGCCTTTTTTGAACAGGAAGGCCGACCCCCACGCCCCCTCCTGCCCGATCTATATACAATCCCGAAAGCAATGAGGATTCTGGGAACATCATTACCATATGGGAATGTAATTCTTGGGATTGCAACCCCTAATTCCTGCAGTGTGGCAGGAAGTCATGCTTATGGATGGGTTTAGGTTGATGGGTTAATCAACCTGGTCTATAGAAGTCATTGAAGCAATTATTTCAAACATTGAAAATACTTCCCAACACTGAGGCAGCAAATGCAGACCGTTTTTAGATTATTCTGATTAGAATAAGTTTACTTAGGTTTTGGAATGGCCTATTTTCCATATTTTGCCCAATTTTGCGCCTTTTGGTTTTGACCAGTTTTACACTGTATTTCAAACATGAACTTTGACCTTATTCATCTGTCCTGACTCGCCTGAATTAGAATGGTGTTCCCTTTTAGCTTTATTAAAATAAGAAATTGCATGCCAATTAAAGATTTGTAATTTTACAAAACTTTAAGTACTTTTCGTGGTAAACTTGTTTTGGAAGCTTATTTCCCCTTAGGTCTATTGCCTTTGACTTTATTGCATGTTATTTGTAACTAACATTCTGCTTTGAAAGCTTAAACAAGTATTGGGTTTATGGGTAGGCTAAACAGATTTTTTTCTTAAGGAGGTTCATGGGGCTTAATGAGGTATGACTAATGTGTTCCACTATTATCATGTTGTGCTGGAACCACAGTATTAGTACAGACGGACCATTGATTCTTGCTACAAACCTCTTGAAGTACTAATCAGCTTCTTTGGTACAACTTTTTAGGCCTGACAAGTCTATTGTGGGGCAGTGTCACTGTAGGTCAGTAGTTATTAGTGGCAACCGAAAACAGTTTCTTTAACTACTTAACATTGAACCAAATTAAATACAGAAGAAAGTTGGGGGAGGATTACTGCATTTGCAGAGTACCATAGTACTGTGCTGTAGAAAGAATGTGACATGATTTTGTAATCGGGGATGTTGCAAAAACGCTGAATTTTTGTCTGCGAAATTGAATTAACTTTGTAATTTAACTGAAAATATTTCTTCAGTGTTGATGCATTTTTAGTTGATTGTTTATTAGTTTATATTTTTACTTGTAATGGCCATTTTTGTAAAGAGCCTATCCAAATGATTCCAAATGCTATTCTTGGCTTCAACGTTTCTTTACAGTATGATATTTTCCAATCTTTAGTGGACGACTGTAAAATTCTTTTTAATCTCTAATTTAAAATGAGAAGGAGAGAAAGGTTTTTAGTTTAAAAACAGGAAAAGTGGTATAGGTCCAGGAGACTAAGAAGCATGCTTTCTCTTGCACTATTAATGATTGGGAGAAACATATCAAAGTGTTTCTTTTTGTGTGTGGAACACCCCACAGCCCAAACAGACTGCCCTGAATCAAAAAGCATATTGAGTTGTAGATCTCCCTGCCATTATCAGTGTTGAACATGTATGTGATTTGTTGATTGAGTAATACATAAAACAAGTATGCAGTCCCTTCAAGTAATGCTCTGTGTAAGTTTAAGCAACAGCTGGCAATTTGCACACATTTTGTAAGAGTCAACCTGAATTGTCTGAATTAAGGTGAATGCTGTATCATTTTTGTGTAGTATCTTCTGAATGGAACAATTGTATAACTGCATAAAATATAGTCCCCATTTTAATTTTTGGAAATCTTTGATACTTGCTGATCAAAAGTAGTCTTTATCTGTGCTTTTAAGTTGTCTGAAAGGAAGTACTTGTCTGTTAATTATTGTACGTTAACTGAGAACAAGGGATGTTCCTTGGTCCGTACTTCATGAAATGGAGGGGGAGGGGAAATAACACAAACTACCTTTTTGAAATCTGGGAAACTGATTATTCAGATTTAGGGAATCCATGTTGAGGATGGTGCAGTTCTGACCCCTTTAAGAAGCATTAAACTGCACATGGTGAAAATTATGTATTCATAAATTCATAGCAACTAAGCTGAAGATAAAGCTAACCTAAAAATACAGGGGCTAAAGCATCTTAAGCTGTAGTGAGCTGTTTTATTTTAGAAAGTTTTATGATTTTTGTACATAAAATGAAATGTTTCATTGAAATGTTGTAGATTCATGCATCCTTTCTATTTAGACATTGTTTGTTTGCAGTCCCCATAAATCACATTCTAAAATTATTACCAATTTAAGATTTTAAATTGCTCAACAACAAAACATTTTTTTGTGAGGCATCTCTGCTGGCATACTGGTTTAGTAATTGACGTGGATTCTTATTCCCATATAAACTGTACACCAAATGTCAGTCTGCCTCTGCCAATTAGTGCTTGTGTTGCTAGGTCACCGTGGTCAATTGAAACTGCATCAATAGGACTTGAAAAGGTTTCTTCCCGATCAGACCTTCTGACATATTGAGTAGCATAATGGATGGGAAAATACAGCCAAGGCCCTACCCTAGATTCAAAATACTCAGCCGTAAGAATTCATTTACAACCTGCAATTAACTGGAAAGAATGGGCTTCATGAAAGTGTCTGGGTATTTAGAAAATAAAGCCGTATTCTGTGGTCTGATTTGTTTACTACTTGCGTGGATTTTTTTTGGATGCAGCTAAGAACGGGTTTTTCTCTTCCTGGGCTCCTCAAAAAAGAGTTTGATTCATTATAGTCAGATTTAGGATATCCTCAGTCTAGAATTCACATGCATAACATTTTAGACTCGTTGATTATCTTGTCACCATGGAAGTATTTAACGTGCTTTTAAGCTTAAGATGGTATTCTGATTACTGGAAAAATACTTATCATGGATGTATTTACGAATCATAATTTGATTTTGCTAATACAAAATATGGCTGTTTAAAGCTGAGGTTTAAGAGCATAGTTTAAGTAGGATGGTTACAGAACATCGAAATGAAGATAATAACATCTGAAATGTTAACTCTTTGCTCACCAGACTTCGCAGCTCTTCCATCCACAGGCTGCAGATTATTCAGAACACTGCTGCTCATGTCCTCCTCCGCACCAAACTCAATGAGCCGATCATCAACCAGAACAAAATTACATTTGTACAGCGCTTTTCTCATTGGGAAGACATCCTAAGGCACTGGACAATCAATGTTTTGGATGCGAGCTGGGGGTCAGGATCGGGGCGGGTGGAGAGCAGGGGGCGGAAGGAGGGTGACCGAAGGCACGGTCGAAGAGGAAGGTCTTGAAGGAGGCAAGGGAGGCGCGAGTCAGAGGGACTACGGGATGGAGTTCCAGAGGGTGGTGGCAAAAGGCCTGGGGTGGGCGAGGCGGGGGTCGGTACCTGCTGAGCGGCGGATCACCCCGTCCTTGCCTGGCTTTATTAGCTCCCCATCCCCCAGCGATTTGAATTTAAGATCTTTGTCTTCACTTTCATAGCCTTTCAGCGCCTTGCTCCTCTAACTCTGCGACCTACTTAAACTTTATCAACCTTCCTGCTCTCTCCACTTTGCGGGCACTGGCCTATCCACGTCCCTCACCTGCCTTGCCATCGGCCGTCGGGCCTTCAGATTTCTGCCCCCAGCCTCTGGAATTCCCTCCTGGAATCCCTTTGCCTTGCCCCTCCCTTGCCTCCTTTTAAGCCCGCTTGAAGATCTTCCTCTTCAGTCATCTTCCCCCCACATCTCCTTGGCCCCCATCCCTCTTGATTCCAATCCCCCAGCTCGGGTGCAAACCCTTGGGTGCATCCGAGCTGGGGGTTGAAATCCTCTTGGGGTGTCATCCCGACTTGAAAGGCATTATATAAATGTAGTTTATTGTTGTTGCTTTTTAAATCTGTTGAATTGCACCAGGTCTCCTATAAAAAAGATGTGGCATGGAAAATTGCTTCAAAAAAACAATTCTCTCAAACATCTAGAACTTTTTGATATGTGATATTAATAAGTATACATTATTTAAAATGTATTTGTATTACTTGGGTTACATATTAAATCTATAATGAATATACTTGGAAGGAGGATTCGGGCAAGCTTGCACATGCAATGTCCTGTCTTGAGTTTCTGCTGGACCATTGTGGTCATATAGGTAAGGCTAGATGCTTCCTCGCGGCGAAGGAATGTTTGGATATACTTTGGAGAGGTTTTGTGAAACTTCAGGAAGCTAACTGGAATTGTATTGCAGAGGTTTATGAATAGATCCCTCTATTGGTTTAAAAAAAATGCTTTACCTGGTAGGAAATGGAATCTAAAACTTTACTGATTGAAAACTGATGCAAAGATAACATTAACCACAAACTATTTTTGTGACACAGAAGTGCTGAACAGTCCTTGGTATGGAATCGCATGATGCAGGCACAGACCAGTTTGTTCCAGCAGGCTCAACAGAGACTTGCATCAGGATTGTCAATCCAATACCATCAAAGGCCAGATGATCGAAGAGGACGACAGGTAATTTGAATGAAAAGCGATGCTAATTGCAGACTTTTAAAATTTTGTGCTCAACTATGATATTCTGTGAAAATCCACAATAAATTTTCAAAAATCTGATTGACCTAACATTTAAGGTTGCCTTAACCCTAAAGCACACTAATTTTAAAAACCTGCCTGTTGTTTCCCTACTAATTTGCTCCTGTAAGTTATCTTTCCCACACTTCATATGCTCCCCTCCTTCCCCAGAATTAGCTTGGGCACTAAAAGAGCTGCTGGAAGAAAAGAGTAAAGCATATGAGTGAGCTGGCAGCTATTTTTGTCCACCTGTGGATTCAGGAAGTATGTATTAATTGTTAGTTTCAGACCCTAGTATACAAAAGTGAATATATTGTAAACTTTAAACATAAAGGTTACAAGATGAACTTAGTGGAAATCAACAATCTTGTGGCTGGGGGTAATCAATAAAAACTTGATTTTTGTTCCCTTGATTATAAGCCAAATAGAAAACTGGCCTGAAATTCTTTCACAAATATTGGCAACCTCTAGGATAAGACACATTTATCGTATCAGGGAGCTTGAAAATATGTTAAAGCTAATTTTGTAAAGCAGTTATTACGCTTCACACTTTACAATAGATAATTTGTTTATTTTTGAAGTGATCATATTTAGCACATTTGAAGCGCGGTTGACAGCTCCATAAATCCATAGTCAATCTTGTTTTTATTGCTCTCAGCCTTCCAGTATTTTTCAAAAAATTATTGATTTTCCTGTGTGCCCTTCATAAGCATTTCTATTGCTTATGAAGGTCATGCAGTTTTACTGTCATTTATACATACTAGTCTGTTCAGCACGTGATTTGATTAGCTGATGAGAAATGGATTGATTAGCTTATACTTAGGGCTTTTGGATTTCAGTCTCAACCAACCACCCCCCCCCCCCCCCCCCCCCCCCGATCCAACACCCCCACTTACAAAAGTCAGTGTTTATTCAAAAAAATACCGGAAATGGTTACCTGTCTGATGCCAATTGCGCATGCATTACTCTTACTCGCCACCTCTCCCTTCCGTGTGACTCCCTCATCTCACAAATGAGTCACCAGGTGCACCTTCGCACTTGGAGCGGAGATGTGCCCCACTCGAGCACAGTGCCTACATCTTCCCACATTTGTGTGAGAGGAGGGAGACACTACACATGCATGAAGGCGCCAGGTGCCTCTCTCCTCCATATATGCGGGCGTGTCTGAATCTTCTCATTACACATAAGTGAAAGCCCCCCCCCCAAAAAAACAAAACTGATCTGTTTGAAGAACTGAAATTATTAAATTGAAAAATTTAAATTTTGAATTCTGAAAACCAGAAGTCCTTCTATTTATTCTCTATTTTCTTCAATGTTACATCTAAGCTTGAGATTCCTATGTTCTAAATTGAAGGTGTCCTGTACTCCATGAAAGCTGCCAACTAACTTTTCAACAGCCTATGATGACTTAAGTTTGAGATCAATGATTTATTGATGGAAAAACAAAAGTATGGTGGGCAAGCTTGGTTGTATCAAGCTTACATAAACTTACATAGATCTTACAGTATAGAAACAGAGCAATACAGCCTATAGGGTTTATACTCCACATGAGTGTCCACTCACTCCTTACTCTCTCCAATAACTTCTATTTCCTTCTCCCATATTTGTCTCTCCCTTGTATTTATTAGCATAAATTTTTAGTTTATTGCTTTTCTATGCCTGCTTACAATATAAATATTTTAATTTTCCCAGTGTATGTCCATGATTAAATTGTGAGGTAATTTTGTTTTATTAGGGCTATTCTGGAAGACAATACCCATTGCCACCAGATGCTGGAAGATACAACTGGAATTGAGAGCTCTAACTGGATATCCAACACAAGTGCTATGCCTTACAGAGTCCAGTTAATTAAACAGCAGTCATTCAAGCTGAATTTTAACAGTACCTGTAAAGAATTTTCAATTATTTTTTAATGTGAAATTATAATTGATACTTGTTTTCAGTATTTTGTGCTGCATGTTTCATGTTCTGTAAAATGGATTTGGCATTTTCCATTTTTTAAAATTGTGTAGGTTGGGGATTCAGGGCAAGATAAATATTATGCAGAATGCATACAAATAGTTTGTTACTATTACAATGGGTTTGTATGTCAAGTCAATTAGTGAAACAAATTGAGTTTTTATTCTTGTAGTGTACATTGTACAGTAGAACTGATCTTCAGTAAAAATGCTTTACCATTTATGGTTTTGGTTTCCCACTGTTTAAGATTTTTTTCTTTATCCAATTCATAATTTTCTTGAAGGTGATTCAGTTTTGCTGGTAAGATCCAAGTGTAATTAGTTTTTCACATTTTCTTTCTCAATGTCTGTGACCATTTAACAGAAGATAAAGAAAGCTGAGTAATTTTGAATACTGTGCAGATTGGAATGTTTCTCTTCATCTGGAGGTCACTTTGGATGATATTGGGAACAAGGTAAAATTAGTTCTTGAATTGCTATGTAATTGAAAAAATTATGAAACCAAAGGGAACAATTGGTCTTTAGCGAGAGCTAGCATGAAACTTGGTTTAAAGGGAACAGGTGATGCAGGCTTTTAAAAATATTGTAGGGGTGGCACTAATCAAAAAGAGAAAGAAATTTCTCCCATTGTCCTGGCCAACAGTCCTGCAGATGAAATTAGGCATTCATTAAATGACTGTGGGAAATTGATGCTTGCAAATTGACTGCTGCATTTGTCTACAAAATAGTCATCATCTTTACAGTAAATCCTGTGAAGTGTTTGAGAGGTTCTCCCAGCATGAAAGGCACACTATCAACTGCAAGGATTATTATTAACGACAGGGGTTTATGGTGAGCCAAAATGTAAGAACCAGAGGATGCAGTCGTAAGTTTAAAGAAGATGAGTTGAACAACTGTTTTGTGCTTAATTGTTATGGCGAAGGCTGCTTACTGCAATGGATGCGGTTCAGTTTGTGGTTCAAAAGGAAATTTAATCAGTTTCGAACCAGCAGAAAGTAGGTACGTGTTTGCGACAGGAAAAATAATAGTGGTGCTAGGGTTGGGGCTAGATGGGTGTTGGGTTGAAAGAATGGAATGAAGAAAATTCCAAAAGCTCTCTACAGACCTCTGGCCAATTTTTGAAGTTAGTGTGGACTGAAAATTTTACCACCTTTTGACAGTGTTTATAATTTCTAAGAATTTGCTTCCTGTGTTTCATACTTAAAATGTTTAGTTACTGAAAATCTTGCACATTAATTTTTTTCATTGCATAATAAATTCTTGTTCAGTTTTTGCAATTGTACTAATTTTTTTCCTGAATTTAACTGCAACTTTGCATTCACAATTTGTATGGTGGGAAATTGGGACTATTTGTGTCTGTTAGATTTTCACCAAATGTTCGATACCACCTCTCAAAACATTGACATTCTATTCTTTGTTCATTTCCCTTGGATATCATCCAAACTGGAGAATAATACTAATAACCTTTCCTTGCATTTGGTACAGTGCCTTATCACGTCTTCGAGACGTCTCAAAACGCTTCACAGAAGCGTCGCAGCCAATTGCGCACAGCAGTGTCCCACAAACAGTCATGGATTGAGTGACTAATTTATTTAGTTTTAAAAGCAAATATTACCCGCAGAAAAGCAATCCGCCAATTGACTAACAACCAGGTCCTACTTACTGCTCGGTAAACAGGTGTGTAGAGTAAGCAAACTTGCCCAACGTTTCGCCCTGCTGGGAATGGAATCCAGGTCACTCACTTGCTAGACGAATCCTCTAACCACTGAGCTACAGGACTACAGAATAATCTTGATCCATGCCTTCTTAAATTTGACATGTGCTGCCCTGGCCACAATTTTATTCTGGACATTATTTGAATCTAGCCGTTGAATTTCTGCAGGCTACTGAACCTGTAGGAAAACTTTTACCAACCCAATTACTGCTTTTCATTTGCCTCCTCCTCTGAATGTAAAGTTGCAATGAAACTTAGGAACATTTGATACAAGTGTAGAAACTGAACAGCCAAGCCCAATATCTTCACACGATGGACATTCCAAAACATGTTACTGGAGATGAATGCTGTATTTTTGGTCTTCCCAAGACCAGAGGTGATTAGACCAACTTTAACATCCCACTACTGGTTAGGCTGCAACAATCAGAGGATGGAACTTATCATATATCAGTATGTATGGCATCCTGAAAATCTTACGAAGAATCAAAAATGACACTAAAAGTGAAATATTAATTTGCAACCAAAGGGTGGCACAACCCATCTAGTTTTATTGCAGCATTACTTAGGCTGTAAATCTCAGCACTGATTTCAGCAGAAACATTCAATGACTCAGATATTTGTTTCCCTGTTCCATCCACCATTAAACGCACATTGGTGGAAACTCAATAGATTTGATTTGTATCCATCATCATTTCAAAGCTTTGCTGCTTACATTTGAACCAATCTCTGCAAGTCCCATCACCCAAATTCTCACTTGTCTCCACTTGCTCCATCATCAAAGTCCTTATCCTAACCTATGAATCCATATATCCATAACGTCTCCTTTTCTCTACCCTCTTCCACTCATCTAACTGGCTTCCTGGTGTTCTCTGTATCATTGGTGACTGAAACGTTATTCCCTATACCTCTAATTTCTGGAACACTTCCCTACTACACTCCATCTCACCCCCTCATTCTGTCTTTGATAAGTTCTGCCTTATCCTACTCTTTCCACCATCTTGGTGATCAGCAACATCCCTATGAAGTGTACTGAGACATTGCCCTATGTAAAAGGCGGTATTTGCTTGTCGAAGAGAATCCGATTTGGGACCCTTAAAGAAATATTATTCTGGGACTTCAAGGTATAAACTATGAAGATGAGCACTCTGGGATGCTGCACTACCTGAGGGCTGCTATATAAATGCAAGTTATTGTTTCATGAAACCAATTGCAGTTTCATTTAAGAAACAAAGGAATACAATCCAGGTTTCTAGAGGTAAGGAATGTAAATGTAAACAACTTATTTAATTTAGGTTGTGAGCACAGAACAAGAGTGCAAAGGAACAGGTATCAAGCAAGAGTGGAACAATTTTTCTCCAGCAATCTAGTGGAACAGACATCCTAACGAAAGGTTTGACTTGTATTCAAAGGCCTTCAAAAGCTTGAATAAGTATTCGGTTAAGGAAGGGATTGTAGGACATATGTAAAGTTAGAGAATCATTTGGAACACAATGTTGGAGTTATGGAAATGTGCTTCTGAAAAGGAATCTATCAAAAAGAAATCATTTATTTTATAAAATGTGTTAGAATTTCTGTAATTTGAGTTTTCCTTTTGAAGGGCAGGGAGACACTAGGGTAATGAAATATGTGTCATGTTAATATTGGGGAAAAAGTTGCCTATGGACTGGGAGAAACAAGCTTGATTGAACACATGCCTGTTTCTGATTCCATACTTTTATTTAACGTGTTAGTCATACAACTTCTGAATTGGATTTTACCTAGCAGTAAGTAGGAACCTGGCTGTTAGTTGATTGGCGGATCGCTTTTCCTTGAAAAAATTCCTTGAAAATAATAATAATAATTTGGACTGTTTGTGGGATACTACTGTGCGCAATTGGGTGCTGTGTTTCACCCACAAAATATACAGTCAATTCACTTCAAAGTTTACGTGGAGACCTGTAGCTCAGTGGTTAGAGCACTCGCTTTGCAAACGAGAGACCTGAGTTCAATTCCAGGCAGAGGGCGAAACCTTGGGCAAGTTTCCTTACTCCACACGCCTAATAATAATCCCTCCAAAAACCAAAAACAATAATAAATTGGTCATTTTCAATCTACGACTGTTTGTGGGACATTGCTGTGCGCAATTGGCTGCCGCGTTCGCCCATAAATATACAGTCAATTCACTTTACAGTGTGTTCTGTGAAGCGCTTTGGGACGTCCTCCCGACGTGAAAAGCGCTATATCAAATGCAAGGATTATTATTATTATTATTATTATTATGACCAACACTACATTAAATACAAAAAAAAATTTAATTGGTGGCCGCTGCAGATTTTGTGATATCTACAATCTTTACAGTATGTACTTTTCTCAGAGATGGCCACTGGATCCTGGCACTAATGTCACCTTACAAAGACTTAACAACTGTGAGGATACTTTGGGTGTAGTTGATGTAGCCCAAGATACAAGGAAATTGGAAACTAAATGAGCTATGGTGCTCCTCAAAGAATGAACATAACGCAGGTCATAAATGTGTGCACCATACCTTCGATTGACATCATCAAATCTCTTCATCCATTTTTGTCCATCACTACATTTATAAAATTTTCCAGGACATTTTATTTGAAAAGTGCTTTTTAAATGTAAGCTGTTAATTATAATTTTTATATAATAATTTTTATATAATAATTACTAATCATTGTTGCATTTGATATAGCTCCTTATGTCATCAAGACTTCTCAAGCATTTCACAGTTTATGTTGTGTACAGAATTCTGTACGACCACAGCTCTGGCACAAATTGTAGCTCCCATCTGACAAATTGGCATTGAGAGACATCTTAACTATGCATGGATTTCTTACTTCAGTTGTAAATTACCATCACACAAAAACTTCACTTTGAAAGCTTCCAATACTAAGTGGAAACAATTTGTTTGTTTGTACCAGGATAACAAACATAATGCTTTGCAGTTTGATATTGTGTTCTTTTAATAATCTCTCTTGCCTCAGGATCTATCACCGAATTTCTTAAAGAGTTCATATGCTAGTTACTAAAGCCTATTAACCATTTTCTGGCAGGAAACTCAATTGGAAGAAATCTGGTGATCTCTAAGCATGGAAATCACTTCTCCTAGACCATTATGCAAACTTGGAATTGAATCTTTTTATTGAAAGGATTCTCATCCATTTTTGACATGGTAAGGCTCTCAGCAAAAGCAATCAATGCCATGTTGATTAATTCCTGCAACAAACAGATTGGAGAAGTAACTTAATAAAAATTGATTTGTAGGTTTCAGTTGTAGGTTCATAGAGAAATAAATAGATACTTCAAGAAACACAACATATGCTAGAGTTCAATGAATAGTGAGATGTGAGGATAGGAGACTATTTTGGATTTGTCGCTTGGACTACGTTTGGGGATCGAGCAGTATCTTTTAAGAACTTCGAGGATTTACTGGATGGAGTCTTTTGAAATAGCAAAATTGATGGGCTGAATGGTCTTTCATTTTTGATTCTTTATTTTGTTTTTTACAAGAATTTATATGATCCCAAAAGAATCATGGTGGTTTATCTGACCAGATATGTGCTTAACCCATAGATCTCTGTGATGTTGCTTCTTATAGATAAAAATAAAGTAGTGTAAAATGTTTATTAGTTAGCAGTGTATGATTAAATGTGTTAAATGCTCTTTGTCACTTGCTAACTTTCCACTAATAGTTTATCTGGTTCGTTATGTAAGCAGTTTCAATTGATTATCTGCAAGTCAGCTGTGTGGAGTACTCTGCACTATAGAAGTATTATCTTGAAAGCTGAAAAGGAAGAACTTTTAGTGCTCAATTTGGTGGTTGATGCACAATAATGAATACAAGTATCCTTCATGTAGATTATTGTCTCACATTGCTTGCTCGTACAGTGAGCAAGGAAGGAGGGAAAGGGGTTCATATACATTGACAAAGAGTTAGGTATTCAGTTATGGCAGGATTTAAACAGATGGACAGAGGGTGAGACAGCATAATAGTGAAGTGCTAGAACATGAAAGGATTTATTGGTAAGGATGAGGACCTGAAATCTTTCCATTGACAAATGGGGAGACAGTGGGATCCAGTGAGGACTGGGGTTGCAGGCATGTGGAGTTTGGTACAAGTGAGAATGTGGGTGGCAGAGTTTTGTATCAACTGGAGCTAATAATCGACTTTGTAATGAAGAAGTACACAAAATATACATTAGAAGAGAAAAGCAAAGAATCCTAGTGGTTCACATACAAAAATCTTTAACTGTAAATAAAAGTTGTCAAAGCTGTTAAAAAAAACAAGTTTTATAAATTTTATAAATGCATGGTATGCAAAATCAATGAGGTAATTGTAAACCTGATTAAATCATTAGTTACACTTCTGTTGAGTATTGAATGCAGTTTGGGGCACTCAAGGGTATCAATTGCATGAAGAGTAAATGTGTTAGAATTAATATGGGATGAGAGACTTTTGTTATAATAATAACAATATTATAATAATCCTTGCATTTGATAGTGCTTTTTCACATTTTCTAGACATCTCAAAGCGCTTCACAGAATAGACTGTAAA